ATATTTTGATCAGAAAATTAGGATATTTATCACATTAGTTTCTAAAATTATACTACTTGTTATACATTGCTATATACCTAGAGTTCCTTATTTTATGAATTTAAAATTATTAAATAAATACTGCAAAACTCACACTTCAGATATAAGATGGTCTGAAAATAAATATTAGATGATTATATTGAAATTAAATTATTGATGCTCTTGAGATATGAAACTTTAAGTTTATTAGATACTTTTAAATGCTTTTTCTTTCAGTGAATTGTTACTGTTGGTTGGCTTTGGATGCGGTTTGCTTGGTTGGTTGGCCGGCCATTTTCCAATAAAGTGAAATTGCATTTGATGATGCCAGGATATGTTTTTTCCCAATCATTCTGATATTTCTCGCTCTTACCCGTTCTGTTTTCCCATGCTGTTTTCCTTTACCCCAGCCATTTATAGAAAATTGAATAAAAGTGTTGGTGGCATTGCGACAAACTGGTCGACGAATGAGCGCGTGATTGGAGGCGATTTGTAGAAAGGTGAGCATAGCTATGGCTCCTGGCCAGCTCCTCCACCGCGCTCCCCTTCATCGGAGGTCCTGCCAGCGAAGGAAGTGATTAGTGTCGGGCTGCTCCACGGCTTGCTTGCGTGAGTCGGGATCCCGAGAGCAGGTACACAAAGCAAACACGGCGCACCGGAGAAAACCAATTTGTAATGGGTAGCTGGCCAAGTTGCCTTTGATTTCATTGTTTTAGCGTGTTACCTAAGCACACAGCCAGGCACACACACAACCTCATAAGGACTTTTCATAACAGTTACCACTTTATATTCTGCAAAAGAAAAATCACCAAAAAGTGTTATAACCAAGATGCATTCGACCAAGATTAAAGAGGGCGATGACAGGGTGAGTCGGAATTGAATCCGTGTTCATATGTGTGGCCCATTAAACGTGGTCAACTAATTTGAATGCTTTGATTAGGAGGACATGGAGCTCAACCAAATCTGGCGAGGATGTCGTAAAATCCAGGGTGCCATCTTCCGCTATAACTTTGACATCTGTGCCGACTTAAAGCAGCACGATCCATGCTGCAGTGGCTTTGTGTCCGGTGAGCACATCCGCCGGGGTCATTTCCCTTTTTTATGACATTTTTATGACCCTTACCCACCTTCGGCAGAACCCATTTTCACTGCCGTATTGGCCAAGTATCGCAAGGTGGCCGGAATGTCGGAGTCCGAGCTCCGGGATGTCACCGACTACTTCCAAATTCGGGATGGCCGAGTGGCATATCGCCAGTTCTGCAAGGTCGTCTGCAGCGAAAGTGAGTTTCACCCAGTAAGAAAAGGTCTTAACTTCTAACTAAAATGATTCAATATTAGCCCTGCACAAAACTGCCAAATCGGACTTGGCCACGGGTCTGGAGTGGAACGATCCTTGGCATGTGAATGTTATCCCCCAGCCAGAGGATCGTCGCCGACTTTGTCTTATCCTAATCAAGATTGCCCAGCTATCTCACATTCCCCTAATGCCCTATTTTCAAGACTATGAGCTGGTGAGTTCTTTTGTATACGCTTTACTGTATTTGGAAAGCGAATTAGGCTTCAATAAATTTAGTTTAATTTGATGTACAAATTCTAATAAGGTTGATTTACATTTTGATTTAAAACATTTTATTTTATGTAGATTTTGGTAATAAAATTTGGTTAAGCCTTTTAAAAACAAATATTTTTTTATGTATTATGTATAATTGTCGATTTATAAACTCTGTTAGATCTAAATTGGTTATCAATCCCTTGTAGATTGCTCAAAATGTGGGAGTCGTCACCGTTGCGCACTTTTCGCGAGTACTGCACTTTATGAAGATACCGCTGTCCGAAGCGGACTTCCTGCTCCTACTGAGACGCTATATGAAGGACGGATACCTGGTCAACTATGTGGCTTTTCTGAAGCACATCGATAACATTATAGCGTACCTGGGCGAGCATCGTCTGCTGGACAACTCACATGTAAGTTTTACATAAGTCTAAGCTGCTTAAAATCAAAGCTAAAGAATTCGCGTCAACGTTAAATTCAACATTATATAATTGTTTAAAGGACATAATAAAGGACTTTCCGGGGCGCCTGGTTGAACTAGAGCTATCGCAACTGCCGACTGTCAACGGTTGCAAGGTGGTGCTCCCGATCTTTCCGGATGCCTGCAATGCGCCAAAGAAGAATCGGAACCAATGCGACATTCTGTTCTGCATACAGAACTACATCTATAAAAACCAAGTGCGCACCTCCGAGTTCCTGGAGAGTTACGACTCCCTGAACGTTGGCAGCATCACCAAGAACCAGTTTGAACGGGGTCTGTCCAACATGGGAGTGGGCAAGTATCTGACCCAAAGGGAAATGTCCATTCTGCTGGAACGCTACACGGATCCCTTGGACACCAATCGGGTGCGTTGGCGTAATTTTGCCGACGAAATCGATACAGGTGTGGAAGAAGTTATTTATTTTGTTGTTTATTTAAATTGCTGACACACTATTCCTGCCAGTTTTTACCATCAAAAACCTGGAAAAGATGCCGCAGTGTGTTGTGGAATCGCCATTGCGCCACATCCAGGAGTTGCCTAGACCAGGTGCCGTTGTCTGGGAGAACGTTCCTGCGAGCACCCGCGAACTTTGCGAGGATGCCGTTGCCAAGATACGCATTCGCATCCGCAATCGACGCCTCTACTTGCATCCTTTCTTCCGAAGCTACGATAAGTGAGATCCCTCATTATATTTATAAACTCATCCTCAAAAAACCATAATTTTACGGGTACAAAACATTTAAAAAAATGTTTCTGTGCGAATCTCTGACTACGAAACGTTTTTAGTTTCTATATATTTAATAATGTATAATATAACATTGAAAAATTTCTCTCTATCAAAGAAAGAATTTAGAATATACCCACCCAATTAAAATAATGATTTTAAACTATGGGTATTAATATTATTAACCTTTTGCAGACTCAACTGCGGTCATGTGCGCTGCAACATAGCCAAGCAGATCTTCCGCACCAACGGCATCCTTTTGTCCGATCCTGAGCAGGACTCTGTGCTGAGTCGCTACGGCAACGAGCTGGGCTTCTGCTACACCAAGTTCCTGGACGACGTCGATCCGGCCGAGTATGCCATGCCATCGATGGTCACCAAGCAGGAACTGGTCGAGTGTCCGCCGTTCGCGCGCGACAATCTGGATACGGAGGACGTCAGCGAGGAGGTCATTGTGCGCATCCTTACGAGTGCCAAGCGACAGGCTGTGATCAAGAGCGTGTCCGTCATAGAGTTCATGAAGGACTACGATCGCCATCGCGAAGGCGAGATCCTCGAATCGGACTTCAAACGAGCCCTGGACAATTCCAGTGTGATCATCAAGGAGGAGGAGGCCACCATCTTGTGCAACATGTGAGTTCGCATTAATTTTGTTACACAGGTAAATCAATTTTAAGCTGATGGTAAAATACGATAGTTCTTTGACCTAGATTTTTATTTTGGCTATTTCAAATGGCTTTTCACAAAAAAATTAATTTTTTGTTCCCTTTATTTATATTGAAACTGAACTTTTTTTACTGCTAAGTAGTATTAAAAAAATCGATTTTCCCTTTATAACGTGTATATAATTTATATTTAATTCCTTTACCATGTCCAGCTTTCGTTCCCCCACTCGCGTCGCCTGCGTTCGCTATCGCGACTTCTGCAAAGCCCTCGACGAGATCTTCATCCAACTGGACACAAACATGGGCGACCAGGTGGTGACTGCGGTGCCACTGCTCCACCTGCCCAATCTGGACTGCGTCGACTGCTTCCTGAGCTTCGAAGAGCGAACCATCTGCTCGCAGGCCCTGATGAAACTGGCCCGGAAGCCGGACGAGATCTCCAATTTGAGCCAGGTGTTCAAGGACTTCGACCGCGAACAGTGCGGCTCGATCACGCAGAACCAGTTCCTGCGCGGCATCACAGTGCGCGACATGCATGTAATGCTGAGCAGCCGCGAGTTCCAGGCCATTTGCAAGTGCTTCGGCGTCAAGAAGGGCATGTGCATGGAGTTCAACTACCGCGAGTTCCTCAAAATACTCGACGTTCTCTTTACCACCGGCCAGATGAAGCGCAACTATTAGGAGGCATGAGAAAATGTCACGCCATCAAAATTTGAAGTGCACCTGTTTGTGTTTTGTCTCCGAAAATTTTAGAGTGATACTACGCAAATAAACAACAATTAATGGACTTTTACTTAAGGTTTTCTTTAATGTAATTCACTTTAGAACTGCCTGATCTCGTATCGTTCAGTTAAGTAAGGTTGTAATTTCGCTTGAGAATGTTTTATTTTTTAGGGGGGAGAAAACTACGCTTACACACGCATCGTTCTTCTATTCTTGAAATGCTACCTAAACTGCCCATCCAGCACACGTGGCGGCATCTATAATCTTTTCTCCATTAGCTTATGTCGGACGATTTCATAAAGAATTTCATATAGCTATAGTAATGTATACATATAGATTTGATTTAACAATTCGCATTTTTGCAGTGGTCTATACAATTGTGGGGGTAATTAGATAATGTTCTCGCTGTGTGGCTTTAGAGTTTTTATTAAAATATAAATCTCTTCCCTTTCAGAAGTGTACATAAATATAGATATATGTATGTAATATGTATGTATAAATGTAGTCTATGAGCGTAATACATATCCGAAAACCAAAACTAATCTTGTTTCCGCTGTCTGCTCTGTATTATGGTGGATTTCTTTGTTGTTGTAGGTCGTTTCTGCTTGTTCTTGTCGTATATAGTTTTCAATCGAACGGAAAGAAGGCAACCCGATGTGCCAGCCAGTCAACGCTTGCTTGGTTTGTTTTTTTTTTGTTTGTTTGTTGGTTTTATAATTATTATTACATATTACAGTTAATTCATAATTAAAGTTAAACAAATACTTATCCACTATTGTATTGTGTAATGTATGAAACATTTTAGCTGTATGTAATTTGTTTTGTTATGCTTTGTGTTTCGTAAGTATGTTTGTTTTGCTTTGCTTTCTAATGTCTCCGATTCCCTGTGCTACTTACACGTTGAACAATTACCCCGCATAATGTATGGGACTACATTAGAAAAACAAATTAGTTTCGACACACAGACAACGTGAGTTGCGTTGCACGGCATTTGGTTTGGCAAATGTTGTGTGCCACGTTCTCAGCAAGGTTGTCCTGTGGGTTTTGCAAGGGTTGAAGGGTTGTTTAGGTGGGCGGTTGGTTGGTTGGTTTGTCGGCTTAACGAGCGTGTGGCTATGAAAAATTAGCCACTTGCTGAAAAATTACACGTGTCTCTATGCCGAACTATATGTGTGTGTATGCATTTGTGTTTTGTGTGGTTTGCTTTGTATGGTATAAATGATTCTTCTTTTCTCCTAATGTTGCTAAGGGATTGTTGCTGCTGCTTTTGCTTCTGCTTCTGCTGATGTTGTTGGAATGGTGCTACACAACAAGTGTGTAAAGGTTTGTAAAGGTAGCTGATGTTGATATTATTTCTCGCAGCCAGCCAGTCTATTCATTTCCTTCTCTTCTATATATATACAACTGCGTATATATGCGGTTATTCAGATGGTTTGTAAGTGTGAGTGAGGTGTGTTGTATTTGTAGTTATGCTGCAACGAAAGTTACTTTAATTAACTACGACAAGAGGGAAATAATGTTTTTAACTCACCATAACAAACTAAACTAGGTAAAATTCAAATAGTTTGCAGTTATCCGGAGAATGCGAGATACCCAATGCCCACGCCCCGACCCCTTTTTAGTAGGGCTGATGCCGTTGCTGGCGTCCACCGCCGCGTTGCTTGCCACCGTTAAAACCGCCGCCACCACCGCCGCCGCCTGTTTCAGAAAAGGTTGGAAAATGTTTAAAGCATTAGTCAGTTAAAATTGAGTGTTTTTTTTTCGTCAGAAAGAATGGCATGCTCAACGTCTGCGGGAAGGAAAGGTGGGGGGGTGGGGGCATCTAAAGATTTCTTTAACTACGCCAAACGACTTAATTTCTTTGGATTTAGGGAAAATTTTGGCCAACTCTAGGGGCATAGCAAAATAAAAGAAACACAAGTCATGAAAAGCCAATGGAGGTGAACCAAAAATGATGGAACTGCTGTTTTACATAAATAAAATCATTTCGAATAGGCTATATAGAGTAGAGGATAAGGGCCAACAAGTCGTTGGTTAGATAGTTTGTGCTTGGCGCTTTTTTGAGTTAATACCTTTGGGGCCGCCGCCGCCACGGGGTCCACCGCGACCACCGCCCATATTGCCACCACCGCCGCCGCCGTAGCCGTTACCCTCAAAGCCGCCGCCGTAGCCATAGCCGTCTTTTGGTTGCAATGGCAATTCGTGGTTTAATCGCACAAAAGTGTCGTTGATTTCATGGATTGGGTCGTATAGAAAATTGGTGAGAACACAAACAAAGCTTATCTTATAAAATGGTCTAACAGGACACGAACAAAAAGATGGTGGAAAGTACCAAATTGTGTTGCCAAAAAGTTAAACTATTTATTTAAAAAATTTAGAGTGTCAATGCTCAGTTTTTTAGGAACACAATCAAACACTTTTTCTATTTTGGGTACGTCAACTTAAAATATTTTTTATATTTTAATTCAAAGATCATTTTCAAGTTTTAAAGTTGAAGGACTTCCTCAAAGTGTATTAATTAAATTATTAATTTATTTAAAATGCAAAGTTCAATATTATTTCTAATTTATTAGTTTATAAGTCTAAGTATTTAATTAAAAAAAATATATAATTGAAAATGGTGATTTCAAGTTTGTTAAAAAATTGAAACTCCGGGTTCAAGAAAAAGAACATTTTTAATTTAATTAAGATGAAGTATTACATTATTAAAAACTCAGGACTTTTAAACGCCCTGCAAGTATGTTAAATATTTCGTTATAAAATAACTACAAGGTAAACATTCTTCATTTTTTATAGTAATCTTGTTAATGGCTAGTTGGCAACACTTATGGTGGATTAAAATCTGGCTATAGATCGGAGGGTGCGCTAATGTTTTTACTTTGTTAAGTTTGATTTGGTCAAAATTTGTTCTGCTTAACTGGAGCGACGCCGCGCCGAGGGGAGACAATTCAAATGGCACATACCGAGAGAGCTGGAAAGGAATCACCATCTCCGGATCCGGAGGAGATTGTAGGTGGTGGGGAGAGATCAAGGGGAGGTTGTGGGCGGAAACTGAAATACACACAAAATTGTTGTCTGGTTTTGCTTTTTTTTTTCGTTTTTCTTTTATTTGCTCATTTCTCGTTTGTGGATTTTGATTATAAGATGGTTAAAATATTTCTCCGTTATTTGCTGTAGCTCAAAAGTACAATAGGTTTTTTGTTGCTTTAACATTTGGTTGTTGGTTGTTGTTGTTGTTGTTGTTGTTGTAGTTGTTGGTTGCTGGTACACAATTAAAATTTAAAAAACAATTATCGCTCGCTCTCCTTTTGCAAATGGCGAGGATACAGGCGCAAGGCGGCGCTCACACATACATCATGCGTTTCGATTGGTTGTTGTTTAGCTCGGTTATATAATAAATATAACTCTGGTTGTTGTTGTCTCAGATATTGGTTAGTTGTCGACTTGACGCTACTCGACTTATTAACATGTTTCACAATGTATTGCAATGGATTTCTCAATTCATTTCATTCGATTTCTCATTTAACAGCACTCGTTATGCATTTATGTTTTTTAATTTTTACCTCATTTTCCACACAACAATTTCAGCATTTCAATTTCAAATTAGTTATTTTAAAATGTTTGATTGAATATTTTCGTAAAGCAATTTTGTAAGGTTTGCCAAAAAAATTTGTGAATTCATTTGCTGCTCTTGTGTGTGTGTATTTTGAATGTCTCACCTCAGCAAAAAGTAATAAAATTGTTTTTTTTTGTATTTTTTTTTACTTCCATTCGAAGGATCTTCGGGGATTTAGAGGGTCTAGGGGATAGGGCAGGATGAGGATGCGGAGTTTGTCGCGAATATTATATTCTTGTGTGTCATAAAAAACGTTTTGCGAAAAACAAAAACAAATGCAAATAGTCAACAAATTTTACTTTATACTTGAGTGAATATAATTATTATAATAATTACTCTTCGTGTTCATTGTTGTTGTTGTTGTTGTAGCTGTTGTTAAAAACAAGAAAACTGGTTGTAGCTTAAGAATTGTCTCAGAAGTGGTTTGACAATATATTATTTCATTCATTTTAAAATTACTTTAGTGGTTTCATTATCATTATCATTTTTTTTTTAGTTTTTCAATGCATTTTACTAAAAACAAATATTAATTACGCTAAATTACTTGTAAATATATACGCTTTAAATGTAATAGAAAAAGGAAGATTTAAGTAAAAAATTAAAAACGTTACAGTTAAGTGAAAAGTTAACACTGTTGGTGCGGTATTGCATGGCGGATCGCTCGATTGCTCTTGGTCGCTTGGTTGTTTGCTTGCTTTCTTGCTTTGCTTGCTAGATTTGGATGTCGGTGGATAGTAGATGAACATAGTGGCTCTACTGGTGTTGTTCTCACCAAAGATGCTCGGACACCGGTGGTATCGGTTACCGGATTAGCCGGGCAGTCGGTTAACCGCTTGCGAGAAGCTTGGACAAGACAAAGGAGCGGCTTGCGCGATCGTTTTTAGATATTCGCTTTTGGGTGGTTGGTGGCTGTGTTTTGAGTTGAACTCTCATTGGGGTTTCATTTTTCTTATGTTTTGGTTTCATTTAGTTTGCTTTTTTTCGTTTTTGTGAGGCGAAACATCGGAAAATTCGGTATTACAATCATATAATCGTATATAAATATGTTCAAAAATCATAATTACGAAAGTAATATTACATAATTTTTAACTGGTAAAAGTGTGGATAGGGGGAACCGAAACACCCGATCTGTTTATTAATATCTTGGCATTTTTAAGAGATCAGATCTAACTCGGTGCTAAAGCTTCCACTACCCGCACTTATCTATGGTTGGTGGTTAGTTTTAGAATTTTGAGTTATAAAGTAACGGAATAGAAAATTATAAAGAAACTAAAAATATATTGTAGTTAAGGTTTTAATATAAAGTGGGGCACAAAATTATTGCTATATAATTGTATGGTAAGTATATGTAAAGGTATACAAAAATTTTGTTTATATCAAAAAAAATTTGTTTACACATTTAAACATCATAATAATCAGAATAATAATTAATAAAAATATAGCATAAAATGTATAAAAAACTTTTCTTGCTTGGATAATTTTAAGGTAAATGTAAGTGTCAACTTTTTTTTTCTTATTTTGCTTATTTTTTTAGTTTGTTTTGTATACAGACAACTTGCTAAAAACATTGAGAAACATGCAATTTCTTTGTTAAATAATTTACTCAAAGTTTATGAATAAAGATATATGTAAATGTACAAATGTATATATAATTGGTATACAGTCAAATTGTCGACGCACATTGACAACATTTGAAATGATTATTAGCAAAAGTTAATTTCAGGTTCTGCTCGATTTCAAATTCAAAGATATACGAATTATAAATGGTAGATTTATATATACATTTGCGCATAGCAATGCTTGTGTATGTGTGATTTGTTGGTGTTGTTCGACTTAACATTAAAAAACCATAAGAAAATTATATATTTATATATGCTTGAATTAAAATTACTAAAATTGACGAAGTGTGTTTTCTTTTGTTTGTTGGAAAAGCTTCATATTTGTTGCTACAATTAAGATGTTATTGATGTTGCTATTGTAGTTGTAATTATTTGTCGTTGTTCAGTAAGTTAGTTAGTTTGTTTGTTTTTTGTTTTCTTTTTGAGTTCTTTATCCTGGAATCAACGTATGAACATGCAGAAGGCCGCAATGCGCTAGCGATGCAACTAAAACAAGTCTCAAAAGTGGATTGTTTCTACATTACGTTACGTTTTTGTCAAGAAAGTGCAGCGGAAATGCAAATAAAGCAAATAAAAGAACGATCTAACGAATGGGGCCGGGGGTGCTGCAGTTCAATCGGAATATGATAATATCCCGGATCCGCTGCGCTGACTTTTTTGGGCCCCGGCCTTCAGATCTTAAGAGCTCTGGTTGTTGTACTCTTTTTCGTATTGTAGTTGTTTTTTACAAGGATTTGCCTTAAAATAATACTATCAAAAATAGTACCATAGTTAAATGTTACGTTTTATGTATAAATATATAACATTTGTATATATTTGATATAAATATATATGGTAGGTATATTGACGTATGGTGCATACGAAAACATATGCATTGCAAAGAACGTGAATATTATCCCGTTGCCGGAATAATATGTATCTAAAAATATATTTATATGCTATATATAAGGTATATATATTTAAATAGACATTGAATCAAAGCTTTGATTACGCGTTTCGTTTGTTTTGTTTTTTTTTGTTTGTTGTCGTTTCTGTTCTGGTTTGTTGTTTAGTGTTTTGTTTAACAAAACAAAAGGAGAAACTATTTAAATAACTATTTTATGGGAGTGCTGAGGGGGTAGTGGATGTGTGTGTATTTCAACAGATTTTGGTTTCAGTTGGTTCAAACAATAACAGTTTAGTTAACAATTAAAAAAGGCACAAGTTGCAATTGCGCAAAAGGCCAAAAACGCTGGCATTTCACACAGTTTCACATAATTGGCACATGCTCCTCGTGTGTTTGTGTTTCTTTGTTTGTTGTTATGTCTGGGTTTGTTTTGCTGTTGTTGTTTGTTTGCTGCCCTTGCGTTTGAGGTATTTGTCATCTTTGGAAAGTCTGTTGAAGGCGACCTCGCGACAACATCGCTGCTGTAGTCTAGTTGTTGTTGGTTGGTCCGGTCTGGTGGTTGCATATATATGGCAGTATTCTACCTCGGTTCTATATATGCCTCAACTTGAACGTCACGTCTACTTTTCTCTTCGCTCCTCTTCTCACTCTCTAAACAACACAATCTTTTTACACACGCTTCGTCAGTTTTATGTTTAAATGCTACTCAACTAATAATTGGTAATTAAATGTTTCGTTTAAATGAATTTTCGTTTAAAAAAGTACGCTTTAAAATTTAAAACATCAAATATATGCCTTTAAAATTATACGTAGTTATATATATATAAGATAGATATAAATGTGTATATAAAATTACGAATTTGCTTGTTATATTAGTTAAAGAAAATTGTCTGTCAACATACACATTTTGTTCAATATAAAATGAAATGTTTAAAATTTATATGTTAGCATTCAAGAATAGTTTTTCTTGTTTCATTTTTTTTGTCTACAATATTTAGAAGTTTTCTTGTTTTTAGCGACGTTGCTTTCGTAGTTGTTGTTCTTGTTGTTGTTGTTTGTTGTTGTTGATGTTGGTGTTTTTCTTTGACATCTATATGTCATATACCCACAAATATGCATATAGATAATACATGCGGTATATAAGCATATATATAGTTAGTATATAAAAATGCAGCAAAACTTATTGTTTTTGTTTTTCTCTCAGTTTTGTTTGAATGGGAAACACAACAACGTGGAAATTTGTATCAGATCGGGTCTATGGCAAAAATTAAAAAGTTTATATGGTGTTCTGCGGTTGTTGTTGCTTTGTTTGCTTGTATTTTTCTTTCTGATTTTGCTGACCATTCTTTTTGTGGCTAGGCTCTACTTAGAACTGCTGATAGTTGTTGCTATTCTTGTTTTGATGGTAATTACTCGACGTGTTGTTATTGTAATAATTGTTTTGAGCACTACTTTGTTGTTTGTTGTATTTACCATAACCGTAGTCATATCCATTATAGTAGCCGCCGGAATAGTAGTCGCCATAGCCACCGGCACCATATCCGCCGTAGCCGCCATATCCCGAGTAAGAACCTTGTCCGTCCCACTGGTTGTTGTATCCTAAGGGAAAGAGGGTAGTGGGATTAAGAAGTGGTTCGCTGGAAGTACACTCCCTTATCTGGGTTTGCTATACTAACCACCACGTCCTCCGTAGCCACCACGTCCGCCGCGCATACCGCCACGTGGTCCGCCTCGCATACCTCCCATCATCTGGTTCTCTGGCTTGGGCGTGGCCCGCTTGACATCGACCTCCTTGCCGGCGATCTTCTGTTTGGGCGTCTTCAGCAGATCTGTCACCACCTGCTCCGAATCGAAGGTGATGAAGCAGAAGCCCTTGCGCTGCGACTTTTGCTTGTCGAATGGCATCTCAACCTCTACAATCTTTAAAAAGTAATAATAATAATAAAATAGTAAATATTATTGTATTCAAAGTCAACTCTTCCTTTTTGTTACAATAAAATTTGGGGTACTTACGTTGCCAAACTGTCCGAAGTAGGTCTTAATCTCTTCATCGCTAATCTCTGTGGTCAGGCCACCGACAAAGATCTTGCCATGGCGGGCCTTGGCCTTTTTGGGATCAACCTTCTTGCTGTTGATTATGTGCTCCTCGGCGGCGCTAACTTTATCAATGGCTTCGGTGTTGGTGAACACGATGAAGGCAAATCCTCGCGAGCGTCCAGTCTGAGGATCTGTCTTGACATTGATGCTCTCAATCTCGCCATACTTGCCGAAGTGATCGCGCAGTTCCTCTGCAAAAATAAGAAACGCAGAGTATGAGTAAATGGTTAACGTTATTTAATTACTAAGAAAAGATAGTTTCTGTTTTGATATTAAGCAAACAAAAATATGCATTGTATTTACTTTTGAACAGAGATAAAATAAAACTCGAATTAGTCTTATCCATTGTTTGAGAAAATATCAAAACTTTGAATTATAAAGACATTTTTGCACTTACTTTCAGTCGTTTCCCAGCTCAGACCGCCCACAAACAGTTTTCTGCGAAAGGTCAAAGTAGAATTGGTTAGTTTTACGGGTCAAAACACGGTACAAGTTCTACGGAGGGAACTTTTGGGAAGTCTGGGAATAAAGGTATATTTGGGAATACAGGCACGAAAAATAGGTTGTGTTTAATGCGCGAGGCAATATACTTTCTTGATTTACTTTAAATTTCTCTTCTCTTACTGTTTTTTGGTATTGGCTGCAAAAGAATTGATGACAGAGCAAAAATACAAAACGAATAAAAAAAACTCACCAAATTTGAAGTGAAAAATTGCTTTAGTTACTGTATTGCAATCAAAGAATTGATCGGATAGTGTCAAAAAACTTGCAAACTCGGAAATGAGCGAAAGAGTTCGAGGAGCGAGCGAGCGATCGATCGAGACACAAAACGAGCGAAAGATATAGATATATAATATATATAGAGATATGCAAGAGTGAATTATTTAGTTTTTGTTTTTGGGTATACTTATAGTTTTTGTTTGTACAATTAACAATTAACAATTAGTCTTTATTCAATAGGATGAGAAAAATGCAAAGGTTTTTATGCTGGATTGTGGTTGGTTTTACTTGCTTTATTTGGCTTTATTTATTTTATTTTTATAAAAAAGAGTGTTAAAAAAAATATGCATAGTCACTTATGGTTTACTGTGATGTACGTTACTCTCATAGATTTCTGGTTTTTCGGAAAGATATCTCAGCGTTCTCGGCGGATTCCCGGCAAATTTGGAACAGTCTCGTCACACGGCGGCGGAATTTCGATTGCAATTAGTGATTGTGCGTCATATAGTCTGCGGCAATTCATTACGTTACATTCGTTCTTTGTGTTTCTTTCATCGGCGATATATGATATATATTTTTTGAGCTTCATAAAAATAAACGAAAAAACTGCGAGTCTCTTTCACTCGGTCTCTCTCTATCTCCGATTACTTGGTACTTTTTTTTTGGTTGGATAATTTACAAGTTATAAGTTAAGATACAATACAATATATACTCGTATACGGTTTACATATGGATCCAATTTAAATCGAGATAATTTGTTGATAATTTTGTGTGTCGATAGTTCTATATATTGGCTGACTGACTGATTGATTGTTTTAGTTTTGGTTAGATAAATACCATCAGCATCAGTATCGGCGGAGCGGAGACTTTTGGAGATTGGAGACTGAAGTGTGGAGGAGAGGGTTGGAATCCTCCAAGTCCGAATCCGCCGAATCCGAATCCGTAACCATTTGCCGGGGGCAGGAATACGAATCCAAATCCAAATCCGAATCCAAATGCGACTCGAGCATAGCTTATACCCTTGGCATTTCACTTCTCTCAAAACCTGCCGGAGAGGAACAAGGTTAGTTCGCTCACAAGACAACAGGACAAGCTATGATTTTGGATTTAATATCTCTCCATTCCATCATCCTTCTTTTTGGGGGATTCTCCATCATCATCAGCGCTGGTTTCGTATTTTCTTTTTTATGTACAGCATCGTGTGACTTAAGATTAAACTTAGACATTAAATGATCAGTAGGATGGGCAAATGAAGTGTATGCTAAACCTAAAAAAAAACCAGGGGCAAACCAAGGACCATATTCTTATCTTATTTTTTTAAACTTTTTTCAATTTTATTACACAGCAAAGTACGTTCTTTAAACTAGCTATTATTTTTGGCGCCTTGGTAACTCTAAAAACAACGCCGGCTGTCGCTCTCCGAAAGAGAAAGAGTGGAAAAGAGATGGCGAGGGGGAGCGAGAGAACGAACGAAGCCGGCAAGCCAAAGAGAATAAGTGAAAACTGCAAAACACGCACACAAACACACACACAACCGCAAGCGTTAGTATGTATGCATGTATGCGGCCGCCATTTTGGGTACAGAACTGGAAGAGCACAAAATAACAACGAAAAGCCGAACCAAATAGTAATGCGAACAAAAAGAATACAATGGCAAATACAAACATAACATTTTTCCAACTTTTTTCTTTGTTTTTTGCAAGTGAAAGGCAACACTACATGTGTGTGTGTGTGTGGGGCAACGTGGGTACCAAACTTAACCTCACAAAGGGGGAAAATGTGCTCCAAGCTAAAGAAAAGCTCATGTTTTCAGTGCACAAAAAAGTGTGTGTGTAGAGGAGTTCCCTGAAAATTTTCCATGGCTCCCAAGGGTCTTTCATGGTGCATTTTCCTGAAGATTCTATTAATATGACTGAAGTACAGTCGCACCGACACCTTACACACACACATACACAGGGCGCAAGCAAGAGCGAGAGAGAACACAAAAGGGGTCAGACTTCCCCCGCAAAAACCCCTTAAACACCATAGCACTCGACCAACGACGTTAGCTTCGCATTTACGTAACAGAGTAGGCAATATATACGTATATGTATAGGAGAAAATCTATGGGGGGCACATGATCATCAGCTGCCCGTCGCAAAGAAAAAAAGATATATTCCCTGCATAATACACATACCTGTCGTCATCCCGCTGGCCGGATCCGCCCGACTGGTTGTCGGAACTGCCGTTAGTGGAGCCGGCGGCGGCCCCATCCCCGTTTTCAGATCCTGGTCCGTCGGCGGTCACGTCCTTGGTGAAATCCTCTCCGTTCATTTCGCTATCGACTTGCTGCTTGTCGGCCATATTGTATAATGTGAATTACTAATTTCGGGGGCTAAACAGCACGATTTTCGGTTCGGAGCCGGAGATTTTTACACACTCGCCAAAAAGTCGCGCGTACGAATGACGACCGGAAAATGACAAATGCAAGCCACAGCGTGTGTATATGGGTGCGGCGTTGCCACCTCGTAGCACTGTCAGCTCGGACGTTTTGGTATTATTTTTGTAAGTTCTTTACCAACCTGAATGATTTGACCGGGTGGATTTTCTTTACAGTTACACAGCATTACTTTGGCATTATAAGTTTATTCTCACCCCTAAATAGCAATTACAGGGGTTAAATTGGGCGCGTGACCTGTGGGTCAGTGATGTGGCATCCCTATTTCAAGCAGTGTGCATACACCCAAAATGGTTAATATTAAAAAATACCAAAACTATTTAAAAAATACCAAAATTATTTAAAAATTTTAAATACCAAAACTTATGGTTACAAAAATTACATAAAATGTAAATAATATATAAATTTACCGGATTCTTATAAAAACAAGGTAATAACTCGTGTTAACCCATATAACCAAGTGAAACTAAATCTTATCTTTCCTCAAAAATACCGATTTGTCCACCCCCAAGACAGTGTGTACACACCCGCCGCAAAGCCGCCATCATTCACACACTAACGCAACGCACACCTACACACGCAAAAAGAAACCGAGAATAAAACGCTGCAGAGGCAAAAAAGAAGAAAAGAGGAGCGAACGTCGGTTCTCTTCTAGATTCAACACACTTGTCCAATTGTATAGCGTTTGCGATTATTTTCTACTCAAAAGCCACAACCAATGCATCGTAACTTAATTCAACAACAACTGTGATCGCCAAACATCGGAAAATAAAAAAAAAACGCACGTCAAGAATTGCCAAGTTAGTTATTCTCAAGAAAAACGAAAAAATTGCAACAAAGTTAGAGAGTGTGCGTGTGTGCATGTGTTTTGTGTGCAGCTTGCAATTTTGCATTGTATTTTACAAGTTGTACCAATGATTTTTAAATCCAAAAATACCGCATAATTTCAGCGCTCCACTGCAAAATCCACCTTCCCCCGCTCCCGCAGGAAGATAACAAAGAAAAGTGCTACAAAAAGTGCCGATTTTCGCAGAATATCAACCCACAAGCAATACACATTGTGCATTATAAAAGGAGAAAAATTGCAAAAAAAAAAAAAAAAAAGGTGAGCCGGCGGCGGCCTCGTGTGCGTGGTCTACAAAAACTGACATTTTCCATTTTCATTTGGGGTGGCTAATTCTAAAAAAAATAGCTAAAAAAATCTCCACTGGGCGTGTATTTTTCGTGGTTCCGTTTATATTTTATTCCATTTTAGCGGCTTTTTTTTATTGCCTGTTCATAACCTAAAATTGTAGAAAAAATTTTGTTTTTGTAAATTTTTGTTTAAATGGTGCTCTTTAACTATCGCTTTCTTTGTTCTTCCTACACACGCGGTTCGCAGAAACAGAGAGAGGAGGCGAGAGAGAGTGGCGCGTTCATAACCTTGCATGTGTGTATGTGCCGCAACTCTTTGTGCATTATTTGTTTTATCGGCGAATATTTATGGTAAAGGGGGTTAAAGAATAGATATAAACCGCTCGATATACAACATATGGTTTACTAGGGCCTAGATTGATTTTTATGCAATTTGCCTTTGGGCCAAGCTGGAGTTCAATGAAAGCGGCGCCACAACCTTGAAGCCCGAACATAACCTCAATTTAATTCATGCTCCCCGCTTGGCGGCTTCTTTTTTATTATTATTCATACATACATATACATATATGAGGTCATTTACTTTACCCACACATGTTTGTCCTTTGAACCAGGATCGCAGGTATAAAACTCAGAGCACGTGCAGGGTTAAATATCCTAGCAAAATGCAGAGCAACAACAACTTTAGGTGACAGCTGCATTACACTAAATTGTCCCCTTTTTTCGCATGTGCGAATGTGTGTGGGGCCAAAAAGTGGGTCAAACTGCTTCGCTGCGTCTTTTTTTTTTTGTGTACTGCGGTAAAATGAGCTCCTTTATGGAGCACTTTTATCCTTTGGTCTAGTGAAACTCTAGATCCTCGTTTGGTAGCACAATAGAGGTCAAAATAATAGTGACTAAAGAAAAATAAGTGGAGGCTGCGACCACCAATTTAGATACATATGTAGAAGGAGTCTACAACTACAAACCAAATAGGTTAAATACTAACTAAATAATACTTACGTCGTTAAATATAATTAAGAGCATTTTAATAGAAAAATATTAGTTTATATTAGTTTTAATAAAGGATATAAAAACCCAGAGTCACCTATGTATGCTGTCCTTTACAAAAAAACAAAAGTGATACTTTTAAAGAATTAATTTCTTTACCCCTTTCTAAACTTGGTCCAAAAACACTAAAATAAGATTACTTATAAGTTTGAAGCTTAATATGAATACGAATTGATTCATATCAAAGAGCTAAATTTAAAGTAAACCGACACATTAGGGTTTGCAGATAACCAAGTAGGTTTATGCTTAGCTTTCAACATCAACAGATTGAGAAATCGACACTGTTTCTTTTGCCAGTTTTAATAATTTAGAAATCAGACATTTTCCCTGTATAATTCTTCTTAGTTTATATATTTAAGTGCCTGTATATTTTTTGCACTGTTTCGCAGAAGTTTGAATCCCACACTTGACTCCAAACCATCGACACCGATTATCAAATAAGTGTCGAGAAGTCCAAAAAGCGGCTAGAAAGTATCAGTAATTGGTACCGGAAATCGGCAACTGAAAAGCCCGTTGTTTAGAGCAGGAAGAATCAATCGCCAGCTATGGTCATGGATGCGACCCAATCGCAGCAGCCTTCGCCGCAGTCGGTGGGACGCGAGTTTGTCCGCCAGTACTACACGCTGCTGAACAAGGCGCCCAATCACTTGCACCGCTTCTATAACAACAATTCGTCGTACATCCATGGGGAGTCCAAGTTGGTGGTGGGTCAGCGGGAGATCCACAACCGTATCCAGCAGCTGAACTTCAACGATTGCCACGCAAAGATCAGCCAGGTGGACGCCCAAGCCACGTTGGGCAACGGTGTGGTGGTGCAGGTCACCGGTGAGCTGTCCAACGACGGCCAGCCAATGCGGCGGTTCACCCAGACGTTCGTACTGGCCGCCCAATCGCCGAAGAAGTACTACGTGCACAACGACATCTTCCGCTACCAGGATGTGTACATCGAGGACGAGCAGGACGGTGAGTCGCGATCGGAGAACGATGAGGAGCACGACGTTCAGGTGGTGGGCGGCGTTGGTGGCACTGTGGATCAAGCAGTTCAGGTGGCGGGCGATGTGGTCGCCCAGCAGCCGCAGCAACAGCAGGCGCCTCCGCAGCCGCAGGCCCAGGTGGTGGTGCCACAGCAGGTGGCTCCTGTAGCGGCCGGTGGTGCTGCCCCGCAGCAGATCTTCTACCCATTGCCAGCGGGAGCTGCTGCCGGACGTCCAGTGGCCGTTTTGCCGGCAGCCCCCCAGGCAGCAGCGGTTCCACTGCCCGCGCAGTTCACCGTACCGCCGCCACAGCCCATCCAGAATGGAGTGGTGTCGCACGAGGAACTGCAGCAGCAGCAGGTGCTGGTTCCACCCAGCGTTTCTCCTCTGGTGCAGCAGCAGCCGCCGAGCGGCACACCAGTGCTGCCCATTGTCCCGGTGCCAAGTGCAGGCTTCCAGCAGTCGCCACTGGTGGCACCACAGCTCATTCAGCAGCAGCAGCAACCTCCACAGCTGCCCCCGCAGCAACAGCAGCAACCCATCCAGCAGCAGCCCTTGCAGCAGCAGCAACAGCCGCTGGCGGAACCCGAGGAAGTCGAGGTTCCACCGCGACAGCTGCAGAAACCACCCACGCCCGTCGATGACTTCAAGACCATCCACGAGCAGCAGCAGCAGGAGAAGTACGAGGCCGCCAAGCAGCAGCAAAACGAGCCAAAGACCTACGCGAATCTGTTCAAGTCCACGTCCTCCTCGCCGAGCGGCTTTGTAAATGCCGCTCTGCAGCAGCAGCAGCAACTCCAGCAGCAGCAGCAACAGCAGCAGTCGATCAGCAGCAACACTTACAGCTCGTCGTCGGGATCCGCGGGCGGCGGCAACGGCGGTCAGGTTAGCTACTCGACCACCGCTTCATCCTACAACAATAGCAACGGCAACTCGCGACTGGACAACGGCGGTCCGCTGCCGCAGCGCAACAACTCGATCCGGAACAACAAGGGTGGTGAGTCAACAATCCTCCCTTAACTTTATTGGGGTCATTGGCCTTAAGTCGAGAAATAAGTTTGAAATGCACACTTTTCGAAGGTGAAAAATATTACTGTTTCGTTGAGAAATGTTGTAATATTGTAATGTAACAGTTTTTTATTTCTATTTTGTATTATTTCATTAGAAAGAGAAATGGATGATAAGAGGCATACATTTGATATCTTATAGTTCTTATTTTAATGCTATTCCTGAGAAATGTGTGATTTCATTATTGAACATGAATCATTTTTGTTGGAAAAGTCTGCTAGACTACATACTAACCAGAGCCACGTCATAGGCAAGATAATAATTATTCAAAATTAAATGAAAGAGAGCTTTATGATCAAATGAGTAATTTGTTTTATAGACATTTTGTGTTGTACTCATTCTAAGTTATTAATAATTATTTTTTTTTACAGACTTTGAGCAGCGTCGTCCGAGCAACACGCAACAATTCGGCGATAATCAACAGTTGTTTCTGGGAAATATACCACACCACGCCAGCGAGGATGATTTGCGCGATCTGTTCTCGCGCTTCGGAAATGTTTTGGAGCTGCGCATCCTGTCCAAGGCTGGCAACAAGGTGCCACCGGGCATGCGCAGTCCGTTGAACTACGGCTTCATTACCTACGACGATACCGAGGCGGTGCAAAAGTGCCTAGCCAACTGCGTAAGTATACCACCCTAAAATTACTCTAAACTGTCAGTGCAGACTTACGAAGTAAATTCAAGTTTTGGGTATTTTTAAATATTATTAGGTTTGTGGGTTTCAACCTGAAAACTTCAAAGTAAACTTTAAATTTAAATAATTTCCATTCTATAGCCCCTGTACTTCCCGGAGAACTCACCAGACGGCCAGAAGTTGAATGTGGAGGAGAAGAAGCCGCGCGTCCGCAACGACATGCTGCCCCGTCAGCCGATCGGTGGGAACAATCTTAACAACAACATGGGTCGTTTGGGCGGCAACAACGGACCGCAGTCGCGTCCAATGGGAAACAACAATGGCAGCGGTGGCGGAATGATGCGTAACAATCCAGGAGGTAATAATCTCCGCCAGGGAGGCGGCGGTGGAGGCGGAAACGGAGCTCCGCGCCTGGGCGGGGGCGGTGGATTCGGGCAGCGCCAGGATAACCGCACCGGCGGCGGCAACAACCAGTCCAACGGACCGCTGCGCGGCGCCGGAAATGGACAAACCAGTGGTGGCAACTACGGACGTCGCTAAAGGAATTCCTCAGCACATCAGCAAAAGCATCAACAACTACAGCAGCAGTAGCCACAAATACAAGAACAGCAACAACCCAACGTTAAGAACATCAACTTCTTCCACAATGCAATCAATCAATTACATTCAAGAACATCTCATGCAATTAAAACACACAAAGACACGCAAATCACACTGAACATAAAGTAGTTGGAGCAACAAAAAATGTCAACTGTCCTTTAAATGTTCCTGAGCGCAATTTGGGGCGTCGAGCTAAAACAAAAAACAATAAGTAACGTCAAGGTCTTGGAGCCTCTCCTTAGTTTAATTGCGTTAGGCTCGCTTTTTCCAGCCAGTTCGTGCCAAAATATACCGAAATTCTGTGCAAATCTCTGTTGTGAATCCAAAATGAACGCTTCAGCTCGTCAACTGCTACTCTCTACCACCCACCACCCCCCCACGAAATCACCCACATCATTAAACACGTGTATTAAGTTTAAGTCTCAATCAAGCACATCCATCAGATAAACACTCATCGAAGAAACACAAACAGACGGCAGACACACACACACACACACACACACACCCATCTTAGCATAAACGTAAACTTTAATTTTCAGTTTAACAAATCACTTTCAAAAAAAATTACCTTAAGTTCGCATGATGAGAGAAATTGGTTAAAAAAAAAAAGGAAAGGAGCAATGCAACACATTTTCGTTTGTTTTTTTATTTAATATCCACAAATACTTAAGCTAAATAAAAGAAGAAATTAAAAGGGAAAACTTAAAAAATTTAGCTAAAAGATATAAACAGAAAAAAAAAACAAACAAAAAAATGAAAAACCTTTGTAAAATGCAATAAAAAAGAGCAAAAGAAAGACTTGAAAAACTAAATCTAAAAACAAAAAAAAATGGTAACACGAGAAAAATGTAAGGCGCGGTTAAGCAAGCAAAACAACAAGATCAAGCAAAAACACACAAGAACACAAACCTCTTGAAAAACATTGAAAATGAAACGAAAATCAATTTAGCACCCAGCCGCATGGATGAAAAGTGAGGAAAAGAAACGCATCAACGTCAACGTAAAAAGCGCCCCGTAAAGTCCGCCGCATTTTAGAGCCTGTAAACCTTTTGCTACTTAAATCTAATTTGCAGACACTGACACGTTTAACTAGCTAGTCTATATAGGGAATCGGATCGAAAGATTATGGAGATGAAGAGTTTGTGAGAGGGCAAATGCGGTGCCGGCGCCGCAGCGGGGGCGTGGTCGATGCAATCGATGAGGGACGGTTGGACGGACGGATGGAATGTGTTTTCGCTTTTTTTCGTTCTGTGTAATCAGTTCAAGGTCGTAAACCAAACTAAGTCAAGCAACTTAAACGATTTGGTGTTTCCAACGCAGTTGTGAACTAAAATTTAGTACATATTTTTTAAATAAAATCAAGAAAAGCCCAAAAAAAATCATGAGAACCATATAAAACACACAAAACTTATTATAATAGTTGGAAGACGAAACGCAAGCTACTAACATTTTTCTCAAGGTATAACACAAGCAAAACATGTAACAAAAAATATATACAAATATATATATATATATATAAATAAAAAAAACTCATATAATTTAATGTTAACTTTTAGACTTACCAGAAATCTAAATATACATAAATATATATATTTATATAACTGCTGCAGCAAAAGAAAAATGCAGAAAAGCAAAGAGGGGAACTAAAAACATTTAAAATCGTTTAAGAATTTTTTGAATTTTGTCGCAGGCGTCCAACTATTTGCCTAAGTTATTCTTGTTTTGTTAAAGCTTAAATACTTTTGATTCGTTGGGAACATATCATTTGTTTTTGTTGGTCGACGCCTGCTCTAGAGAATCAATTGCTAAATCAATTACTTTCTACAACTATTTCTAGTACATACACACACACACACCATTCACGTTTGCCAGCCACTAATTTTTAGCACTGTGACCAGGGTCTAGAGCAATTTTAGTACATTTTTTTGTAAAACGAAAATGTTAGTGTTCAAATCTTAGCTCAACGATCAGTGCTGGAAGTGATTCGTAGACACCAACAAAAAATAAAAAAAAAGCATCTAAACAATACAATACAAATCAGATGTACTAACTAAATGTATGTAATAGTAAATAAAAACAAACAATTCAAGTTCATGCTCATTTCTAAGTAAACCGAGGAAATCACAATACTGCAGTTTGTAAAGAACATAGAATGAAAAAGAAAAAAAACTTAATTATAATTTAATTTATATGTATACAACTACAAAATAATTATAATAATAATAATAATAAAAGCAACCACAAAGATTCAGCGTGTTTACCAGAAAACTTATAATTTGTTTTATTTCTGTTTGATTTCTAATTCAAAATAATAATATATTTTATCGGATCGATTGCCTTTTCTGTTTCTGGTAAATGCGATAACTCGTGAAAAACACCAATAACTCGTAGATAAAATATCTGAAAACAAAACACCACAGACACGAGGACATAAAGTTCATTTTGCTAATCAAGTCATGGCGATTGCTGCGACTGAATCCAATATCCATTGCCTTTGTGTTGAAACAACTGAGCATACAGCATTTAATAGAAAATGATGCGCACAAAGCTAAGCATTTGAAAGAAATTTGCATAACTTTAATCAATCACAAGCCAGTTGAAAGTACTTCCGCTCTCCAAATCCCAAGTCTCAGACATAATTCAGTGGTGCGTTTTATAGCGATTCAGATATAAAACATTTACGCAAATCAATTCACTCATGCAATACTTTAAATGAAAACAAAAATGGTATAAATAAAGAACAAGAGTTTACGATTTTAAGTCTCAAAATGTGCAGTGTGGTTTATTTTTTCTCCTCTCGAAGGAATAGCATACATATCGTAAAAATATTGGGACACCAATTAGCAGAGGATTCAGGAAAATAGTCGATCGGGGTCTCATCATTTCAGATGCCTGTAAAAACAGTTTTATTAAAATTCGTAAAAAAAAGTGGAAAACAAAGTCGATAAATTTTTTTCAAGAACTATAAAATAACAACTTTGCCAAATGGTTTGTTTTGAACTCAAAACGATTACTTAAGTAAAAATCAATTGTATATCATTTTGATATTTTTTTTCTAACTGCAAATTAAAACAGTTGAAACCATATTGATCGAATTTTTAACTTTAAAATTACAAGATTTTTTGTTTAATAAGTTCAGAAATGATTTATCGATTTTCACAAAATGTTGTTGAAACATACCATATGCTGGTGGAGAGTCCCCGTTGCCAATTTTTGGGTTTTGGAGCGGGGTTGGACTTTGAGCGGGCTTGAAGATCTTATAGTCATCGGTTGGCCATTTCTTGGTTGTCCCAGTTTCAAGTGAAGCTCCCGCTGTCAATCCCAGACCCAATCCCACGCCGGATCCTCCATCTGCATCCCCTCTGGCCCCCAGATCCAATTTGGGATACGAAGGTGCCACCTGGGTGCACATATAATCGCTCCTCGGACGATCACTAGTCGAGGTCTGGGCATGTTTGTGCCCTTCTTTTGGTGGCCATTGGCCAACATTGGTGGTTGTCCACCCGTGGGTAGCACATTTTCCTGGTTTCTGGTAAGACGACCATGCATCCGGACCGTATCCGGCAAAGTTGTGCACCGGCGTCGACTGCTGATGGTATTGAGGGTGGGTGGCGTGAAGGACGGGTTTTGCCGATGGTGCCACACGTGTCACATAGGAAGCCCAGCCGTTGATGAATGCCGATGGTGGCAAAATGGCCTGTGCCATATACGGATTGCAGTTGTAGCTCTCCATTATGTGCGACTGCGGTGGCAAATAACCGGTTCTCATCGAACCGCTTACGGGGAATCGCAGGCGCTTGCCGGGATCCTGCCTCTGGTGGGACTTCTTAACCTCCACCGTGTTCATCTTGATCGAATGCTTGCCCTGTTCTGGAATACAAAGCAAGGATTTTTGATTAATTTATATTTGGGGGATTTTTTACCTTATTTTCAAACTATTTATTATATTTTAGCCCCATTCGGGTGTGCTTACAAGATATTTTAAAGATAAGTTATTCCATATGATCTTGTTAAATTTTAAATGTATTTAAATTTATAATTTATAATACCCTTGCAGAGAGTATTATAATTTAAGTCAAAAGTTTACAAAGCAGTGGAGGGCAGCTTTAACATTAAACTTTTCCAAAAATTATCTTTCCATAGCAGTTAATATAGAGGCCGCAACAACTGGAAAAAAAATATATAGTAATGGTTTTGTATTTTAGAATTTCATTTAAATCGCACGTCTACATATGACTGCCATAGGAATTATCAAACAATTTAGGAAAAAGTCAACATAGCTTCACTGTTTTTTAACACATACGCATACAAATTTAAACAAAAAGTTGTTTTAAGGAATATTTTATTTTTGCAGTAGCTGCAAGGGTATATAAACTTCGGCCTGTCGAAGTTTGCTTTATTTCTTGTTTTTGTTTATTATCTTTCTAAACATTTTGTTTTTATTTTTATATTATAATATGTATAATAATATAATTTTTTCTTGTTAGGCAAAATTAAAAAAAACATTAAAAACTCACCCAAGGCCCGTTCAGCACTAAGTGTCTCCTCGAATTCGAGGAATCCAAATCCTCGTTTACGCCCTGTATCCTTGTCCATTAGTAATTTTACATGGGCGATTTCTCCAAACTGCGAAAAGTACTCGCAAAGGGTTTTCTCGTCGTGACAGTCCTTAAGACCGCCCAGAAAGATCTTGTTCGATTTGGCGCCGCCAAATCCGAGGCCACCACTTCTATGATTTATACCTCCACCTCCTCCCGGCTTGTATAACTCTTGACGTGGCAAAGCACGCTTAGTCTCCACAGCTCTTGATGAAATATATGTTTACAAAAACATTATTAATAATTAAAACCGTTCTTTTAGATATGCAGATATCGAAGCAGAAAGTTTATACAATCTTTGATCTTTAGGCTAACACTAATAATTTAAGTTAGATCAAATTACTTTTGTTATTTTTTATAATATACATTTAAGACCAAATATTATTTCAAATTAGGTTTTCATTATAACATCCCTGATTTAAATGAAATTAACTATGTAGTAATATACGTAATAGAGTACCTAAATCTATATATAGGTAGAGATAACTATATAAATAATTGTCAATCAAGCTCACTTGTTATCCACGGTGTGTGGCATGGCCCTCTGGACATTTTCAACCGATGTGGCCTCCACGAAGGTGACAAATCCAAAGCGCCTCGAGTTGTTGCTCACCGGATCTCGCATGACCACCGCATCGGCAACTTCTCCAAATTTTTGGAAGAAATCTCGCAAGGTGTCCACTGTTGTCTGGGTGGACAAGCCTCCAATGAAAATCTTGCGTAGGTGCTCGTCACCTTCAGCTCCACTAATGCCACTCGGCAAAGGGTTGTCCGCAGTGTCCACCGGATTGGATAAGTTGCTGCTCTGGATAACTTTGGACTGCTTGAAACATTTTGGTTTTTTAGATCTGGATTCAAAAAGCCCCATCAATATACTACCTCTCGCTGGCCGGAGGCCGTGTCAGTATTATCCACTTCCATGTTGTGAAACATAAAAAGCTTATTTCAACAGTCGGAGATACGGCACAGAAATGAAGTCGGCCAAATTTTAGATGACAGTAGCAGAGTAGAAGTTATTAAAACGTCAAAATGGACTGCAAAGTCACCAAATGCAACCTTGGCTAGATATGGAATATCGTCCTAAAAAAAATATTGTTGCCACTTAAAAACGAAAAAGGATGCAAATCGCTTTGACTTTGATTTCCCTAATCCGAATCCATTAGGCTTTTTTTTTTTAGATTCCTATGTGGAACTCTTCGCGTAACATAATAATTTAAAGCATATAAATTCTTGGTCATATACAGTTGTTAATACCAAGTAGCATACACAATTTTGATAATTAAATAAATAAACATTTTTAACTCTATGCATTAGCTTGAAACTAGCTTTTATCGCTAGAATTTTTACCGCAGGATCAACAAAATTTGTATATAAGCCCTAATTTTAAACGTCGAAAATACTGTCTGTATTGATGTGGGTATAAAATGTATACGGTTACATAGTTTCTCTGCCTACTAGTACAATATTTGATATAGCAACAAGAAACTGATAGAAATAGCATTTGGAACTATGTTTATACCAAAAAAAAAAAAAAAAAACTGTACAAATGAATCCACCTTGATTCGTAATATACATAAATAATTTTATTTAATCCTCCCAGCCAATAAAACAAGTTGGAGTTTTATTTAAGTTATTAGTTCTTTATTGAGAAATTCAGATATATAGGAGCTGTTAGTAAAATACCGACAAGATACCTACACTTACCTTACCAACCAAAGTCAGCCAGAAGAGCCACCAACCAAAGTCAAAAGTGAGTCCGAGCCTCCGCTCTGTCGGCTACAAATTGCAACTTATGTTTTGGGGAGCTCTCTTTTCTGGGTAACAAACCGTTGCGAAGCGCAGATTTCGATTTCGTATCCGGTTTGGGGGCATCCGTCCAAAGCCCGGCCAGTCTTGCAAAGAAATTAGGCAGTGCATTAGTACGCGGTTTGCCCGGGGGTTAATTGGGGATCTCTAATGACGGTAACTAGCCCTGTTCGCTACCCTGCCGATCGGATGGATCGGAACCCATCTGGGTTCTCTAGGTACGCCCCGGACTGTGCTGCTGCTCCTGCTCCTTTTCGCGAGGATACTGCTCCTGTGATCGTTTCGGGTGGGTAACATTGGTTAGGATTTTATTTTGTTGGTATCTCGTCGCTTTCGCTTCTGTCGTAACGAACTAATTACAGAATTTTTGTGATTTTTCGTGTTTTTTTTTCTGGTATAGCGTAGCATCTACTTCTTAGGGTCTAACAGAGTTGGTATGTTTCGTATATGTGGATTTTGCTTTCTAGGACACAGCGAGGCGTTCGCTATTCAGAACTTACGATTTTCTTATTTTTTTTTCTTTGTTGCAATAAATCATAATATTAAAGTTCTTAGATATACAAAAAAGTTTTTACAAAATATGGTTCTATTTGATTTCTTACAATTCGCTGGGTAGCTATAAAATAAAACCAATTGGAAATACATCTAGCTGTGGCATCCGGACATGAATAAAGTTCAAGGTACTCTACCTTTTAACACCCTGTAGCAACTGGATTTCTCAATGAGAATCCGTTCCGGTGATCAATTGGTTTCTATTGTAGTCAATTTTATAAAATAAAATAATAGTTTAATTTATATTTTGTTGGTTGGTTTTCTTTCTTCTTTTCTTTTCTTTTCGTTTCGTTTCTTTTAGTTTGTTTTTGTTTGTTAATATAGTTAAAACTAAGCGTTCAGGGTTCTTAACAACCTAAACATGAATTAATCAGCGAATTAATGGTTACAAAAGAGAGATAGCAAGAGTCAAACTGTGGACAACAAGTGGGCGTCGATTCGTTTCACTTTTGGCTGTTTGCGTAAAGCAGCATGCTTGTTGCTTTTGGCCAGTAGGTTTTGGATTGGCCTGCAGGTTTTTTTGGCTGGCCTGAAAACTGATTGCTTGCACTCGCACTCGGCCTGGTTTCTGGTTCTCGATCTGGATTTATGGGCCTGATCTTGTCTGCCTGGTCTGACACACACCTGCTACTGATTGCCTGCCTGTGCCTGAGATTGCGATTGTGCTTGTGCCTCTGCATCTCCCTCTGCCTGCCTAGACTGCCTGTTTGTCGTCTAGCTTGAACTGACTCTCTCTCTATGTGTGTTTACCTAGTTGCGAAAAGGGAGAAAATTTTGCATTAGCTTCGATTCGTTCCGATTTAGATTGATTGTTTGGCTTCCAACAACGACCAAATGATCCGAGCGTTTTAAAACATACGGGTGGAAAGGGACCTAGGTCCAATTCGTCTATATTTACCTTGTCTAGTAACGTCTATTGCCGCCGCCCATGTTTCCACCCTGGCCGCCGCCTCCGGAGTTGTAGTTGTTGCCGCCAAAGCCTTGTCCTCCACCCTGGTTGCCTGCAAAAAATAAATATATTAAAATAAAGGGTATATATTGCAAATTATGACAAAATATGATTGCACATTAGAACTCACGAGCATTAAGATTATAATTAGTAAAGTGGTGTAATAGCAGTAAATATATATAATTATAAATCACAAATAGAAGTTTATTACAAATATTATATTATTGTGTGACAAATGCATTAAATTATAAGTATTATACTTGTAGCGTTAGGAAGAACTTTTTAAACAAATTAAATTCATGAGTTCTATAATTCAATGTCTATATTCCAGTACCTTGAACAAGAGAAGATCGGGAAGGGTTAATCATAAAATTTCCTGAATTCTCAATTATTTCAATTGAGATTCTATTATGTGGTTACTTTAATATTAAATTGGTTTGGAACTTTTGAACAGATCAAACTATAAACCTCTACCAAAATAGCTACGGAAAGTCATCATATTGATCATCTAATCGAACTCACCCTTGTTGAAACCTCCGCCGCCACCTCCTCCACTTCCACCTTGACTGTATGGAGCCGGGCGGCTGTTGCCAAAGTTGTTGTTGCGCTGCGGACCGCCACCGTAGCTCTGTTGGTAGTCATTACCGAAGCCGCCGCCGTTGCCGCCCCAGCTGCCATTGCTGTTGCCGCCGCCGTAGCCGCCGCTTCCACCGCCACCACCATTCCAGCCGCTGTTGCCGCCGCCCTGGTTGTTCCATGGACCGCCGCCGCCGGCTCCACCCTGCTGGTTCCAACCGCCCGCGCCGCCACCACCGCCGCCTCCAAAGTTACCGCTGCTGTTGCCGAAGCCGCCACCACCACCGGCGCCGCCCCAATTGCCTCCTCCATTCTGCCGGTTCTGGCCACCCCAGCCACCGCCGCCGCCCTGGCCGCGATCGCCCTGACCACCACGTCCGCCAAGCCGAGGACCGCCTCGTCCGCCGCCCTGACCACCGCCTCCTCCTCCACCGCCACCACCACCTCCGCCGCCCTGGCGGTCCATGTCCTGCTTGGCAATCGCCTTCTTCACGTCCAGGCTCTTGTTCTTGATGGTGTGGTTCTTCTGGAGAATGATCTTGTCAACGGGATCGTAGTCATCAAACTCGATGAAGGCGAAGCCACGCTTCTTGCCCGTATCCTTGTCGGAAACGATGTTCACGCCAACGATCTGGCCAAAGTCCTTGAAGTAGTCGCGCAGGCACTCCTCATCGTGATCGTCGCGCAGACCGCCGACGAAGAGCTTCTTCACCGTGGCCCCTGCGTTCGGAGCATCGATCTCCTGACGCGGCACAGCCCTCTTGGGCTCAACGGTGCGTCCATCGATCTTGTGGGGCCGCGCATTCTGGGCGTTGTCGATCATATAGGACTGGGAGTACGTGATGAACCCAAAGCCGCGCGAGCGCTTCGTCTTGGGATCCTTCATCACCACCACGTCCACGATGTTGCCCCACTTCTCGAAGTGAGCCTTCAAGCCATCGTCCGTGGTGCGGTAGTCCAGACCGCCGATGAACAGCTTGCGCAGCTGCTCTGGCTCAGTGATCTGTGGGTGAATTTAAAAAAGTGTCCAACGTCAGTAAAATGCCGAAAACGAAAAACACAAATTTGCCTAGGTAAGAATGCATAAGTAATGCCTTTATTCAAAATTCCCTCTACGGGAATTCAGAATTCAGGAGTATTGCATTTTGTATAAATCAACCTTTAAAATAAATGATTTGGAACAATCTCAGAGCTCCAGGAAAGTTTGCTTAAAGCCACGTGCAAATAACCATTAAAAGACTTCATTTTCGTACAAAGATTATTTTATCCAGATTTGGTATCAAAAACTAAGATCTTGAAGCCCAGGTTAAAATTTTTTTACCAAATTGCAACCGATTAATGTATTTTTTGAGAGATAGGGTTTTTGTAACATATTTAAAAACAAGTTGATAATATCCAAAAAACATCGATTATTTGTTAGTCATACCAAATAGCAAAGAATTAAACTTTTTTAAAAACTTTCTAATTTGTTTAATACACAAATTTTCTGAGCGTTTTATGTTAGACGAATAATTCAAAATATTATAAATAAATTAAAAGTATGCAGAAAGAAGCTATGTTCATAGTATTTTAAGCAACAGATGGGTATGTGTATACATGTTTTTGTGTATGAAGGCCAAAATAGATTAGAAACATCAATAATGAATCATTATCAGATTAATATGGTTAGAAACGATCATCAAATGGAATTGTTTATGATAGTAATTGCGGTAACTAAAAAACGGGCGAGAAAAACGCCGCCCGCCATTTTACTTTTTTTTTTACTATTTGCACCGCCATGACAGATAGTTTGTGTGTGTATGTGTCTTCGTTCTCTCTTTTTCGGTGAGCAGCCGGTATCGTTTTTTTTTTTATTCAATTACATGTTTCCGAGACAAGGGCCATCAAACTTTTGCAGTGTCATTAACCCGATCAATCCACAAGCAAAGACTCAGACAATCCCAAATGTGTACACATCATAAGTAAAAAAAAAAGCCGCGTGTTATATTCTTGCAATTCTTTCGGCGTCGACATTTTGCACTTTCTCGTGCGTTTGCTAAAGAATTTCAACGAATAAATAACTCACCTCGTCACCGTCGTCGTAGTTTCCATTAGAGTCGTTAAGATCCGCCATTCTTGTATTGTCTGTGTGTAAAACTCGGGTATCTTCAAAATCGAGCACAAGTTTGCACTATTTTCCAGCAGACGCCCGAAAATCAAAGTAAAAGTGTACAGCACGGCACAAAGGAGTAGTGTGACCCGGTTTCGAATGTGGCGAAACACCAAGATATCGCGCTTCGAGTTATTGTTTCGCGGCATTTGGAAGTGGAACGATAGTTGGAAAAATATATTAACACGCTGAGAGGAAAACATTATGGGGACTCCTTCCTCCTTTATAACATTTCTAGAAAATATATACTGATCCATCAGTGATCATTTTGTTCTGCTGAATACGCCCAATGTTTTTCATAGCTTTTGCTTGAAGTTGAGGAAAATTGCTGGGAAAAAATAATGCTATTGGATTTGTTTAAAAGCAATGTACTGCGTAAGCTTATTTCGGTGCATATATCTGATTATTTTCATGCTGGTATTAGTGTTGCCTTATTTATTTGCTGAAATTTCAACCAGTTCAATTTTTAGGGAATAACTGACAAACAGATAACCGAATTTCAGACATTCACTCAATTAGGAAGTAACAAAATTAATTAAGTCGTTTTAATTAAATATGTTATTAATGTTTTAATAAACAAAACAAGAATACCCCCTTCATATTAAAACGCATTGCCCGCCAAAAACATCGATATTCCGAAAACTATCGTTCCGTTCCCCCTTCGGAATGATTGTCAAACATCGTTGCCAACTGTCACTTTCACTTCCGTTTGTCGAGTCGCTTGCGTTTTTTCGTGTCGAAAAGAAGCCAGAAAAGAGAGTGTGTGGAAAGCGAGTAAATTGTAAATTTACCATAAATATTCTTGAGTCAACGGTACGTGCTAGTGATAGCGATTAAATAGAAAGTAAAGCCGATTTAGTCCACGAGACGTATTGTATATTTTTGCGAATGTTCTGTACACCCGGTACAATGCGTGCGTGTGTGTGTATAGACGTCTGTATATGGTGGCCGCCATCTTGGCAAATTACACACACGCACGCTTGTGTATGTATATTTTCACTAAGAAAGGACAGTCGAGCAAAATAGAAGCTAAAAAATACATACGTGAAAATATAATATATTATTTTTTTGTAGCACCTACAAGAGATACGTAAAAAACCGCAATCATGGTAGGATCTCGAGTGTACGTGGGCGGTCTGCCGTACGGAGTGCGCGAGCGCGATTTGGAGCGCTTCTTTAAGGGTTACGGCCGCACTCGCGACATTCTCATCAAGAATGGCTACGGATTTGTGGTGAGTAAAAGAAAACGGAAAAAATATTATGAATATCCTTAGAGGTAAAGGTTGATCCCTTGAAAATTTAATTCAATTAACATTGCCATTCTGAAAGGTTAAAAAATACCTTACATCGATTTACATATATGCTAATATATTCAAAAACAACTTGTCCTTTCTTTTATGATTGCAAGTCAGTTTAGGTAATTTAAAACGATCGTTGCTATGGCAGTTATGAATGCAATAAAGAGTATTTATCCATTAAAGCTCATAATACTACGTTGTACTTAAATAGGTGCCATCAAACTGAATATCACGAAATTTATCTTAAATTACACTTACCGTTACAGATTAAGTTCGTCAGATTATTAAGCTTATAAAATGTCATATCTATTTATTGATTATCTGGATATTGCTGTTATATAGAGCTCTTGTTTGTCGAATTACAAACCTTATAAAACATCCCTCTTCAAATTCATCAACCAATAAACTCTTTGAATTTTCAGGAGTTTGAGGACTATCGCGATGCCGACGATGCCGTCTATGAACTGAATGGCAAAGAGCTGCTGGGCGAGCGGTAAGTTCATTTTATTAGAAAGCCCGCGAGATGGAGTGATTCATGGTTGTCTGTTCTATATTTGCAGCGTGGTTGTTGAACCCGCCAGGGGAACCGCTCGTGGCAGCAACCGCGACCGCTACGACGATCGCTATGGTGGTCGGCGGGGCGGGGGAGGCGGTCGCTACAACGACAAGTAAGTAGAGTCACAGAACTCAAGATAAGTAGCGGCGATTCCGTCCTTTTACTTTGTATTGCGTTAAAGTTTGCCCCAGAAATAGCATTGCTAAACTATTTTCATTTGGAAACCCCATTCACACAGTTGCGACCAGTTTTAAATGGTGTGTTACATCATTATGGCAAAAAAAAGTAACAGTATTTGTGTAAATATCACTTCAAAGGCTTTGTTTTCTGTCCTTAACTTTCTCTAAAATGTATTATATTCCTTATAACTTATTTTATTTACTCGAAGGTCTAGGGAGATACCATTTTAAAATAAAACTTTGCTTCGAGATTTCCCAAAAATTACAATTTCCAGATATTAATTAATAGACTTTGACGGAGAAATGAACAATGCCTTTTTATACTTGCCCAAATTCATTTTTAAATCCTTTACTAAGATCGATGTCAACCATTTAAATCGATGTCCTCTGTGTGGAAGGGACCCAAAAGACACTGACTTGCTGTTAGTCTTATTATTTCCATGACGCTCCGTTTTTCCTATGCATATTATAATTTTCCTATGTCTGCACGTTTCCTATCTGCATAGTATGTATAATGTTTGTTTTGTTGCGCATAATCCCGAATGTAATTATGCATTATTCGAATTTTCACCATTAATTTTTGTGATGGAGCAGCGGAAGCAGCAGCGCAGTGTCAATACTAATTAGCGAATCCGTTCAATTATTCACCAGAAACAAAAATTCCAGATCATCCTCCCGTTATGGGCCACCCTTGCGCACTGAGTACCGCCTGATTGTGGAGAATTTGTCCAGTCGCGTTAGCTGGCAGGTAAGTCAGCATGGTTGGATATATGGGGCCTTGGGCCTGATATTCACTGTAGCTTAGATTCGAGGAGTGTAGCATTAGAATTAATAACTGCTAACCGATTGAATTGGTAATCTATTACACCACCCACTAATCCCCTAATCCATATCCTTCAATCGAGGAATCCCCTCCCAGTTCGAAACCCCTTTTGATTTCAATTTACTCCCCCGGTGTGTCTTCCCATTTTGTGTTTAACTCCTCTACTGTGACTCCAGCAATCATTAATCTGTAATTTAGCCATAAGCTGTATAGTTGACCTAGACTTAAGTGAAACGAAAACATAAGATATATTGCTAAACCCTGGTACTGATCGGTGTAATCTACCCACCATTACTTTCTCTCGCACACACCAACCGAAACCGATAAAAAAGAGTTTGATGTGCTTTGACTGAGAGATTCCCTACTCGGCTTGGGCCAAAACTAAAACCAAACCGGGACCGAAACACCCGATAGAGAATTGAATCGAATCGAATCTAATTGAATCGCCGTGAGAAAGACAGAACTAGAGACCGGTTCACAGAGTGTTTCCAAAAACCGTGAAGTGGTGGAAGACAGAGAGACAGTCCCCAGAGCAGCCCTAGATTGCGTTCGATCTGCGATTTTACGATCTGCGGCCTACGAGCTCCACGATGCGCCTTCGCCGCCGCCTCATCCATCCGTCCATTCCGAATAACAAAGAACATGTCGATCAGAATCGAACCCAAAAAAAAAAAAAACACGAACCAAACTGAAACCAAAATCAGATACTACCCAGACGATGACGATGGACGATGATGAGCTGCCCGGGTCAAAAGGCCAGCCCACGTAAGCTGATTTAACGTAGAACGTAGGCTGGCCTCTTGCGTTAGGTATTTAACTCTCTGCTAAAACATTCACAATTTTAACTACCAACAATATTATATAAAGAATTGTCAAATTCCTTATAGCCATTGTGAGTGTGAGGGCGTGAATCGAATCAATCGAGTGTGGTTAGATGAGAAGCTTGCGTTCGCTAATTCTGAGATGATGTGATGGTCTTGGCGACGATAAGATGAGAGATGAGCATATGACGATGATCGATCGATGACACGATGACACGATGCTGGTCGCGCGTTCACTTACCAACTTCGGCTAGTTAACTCCGAACTTAGTCCTTCCCCCCATTCCCGGTACTTCTGGCATCCGGCTTCCGGCATCCGGCTACTGGCTTCTGGCTTACGGCTGCGGCTCAGGCTCCGACTGAGACTACCGACTAGACATCCTCCAACCCGTTGGAGCAGCGAGAGCAGCGTCCCGAAACGTATTTCTTATTTTTGCAGTTCGTTTGTGCGTGAGGCACCGAAGCCGCTGGTTGTTGTGTCCGCCGCTGCCCGGCAAACTGCTCCGAAACGCTCCACTCTCCGGCTCGCTGGTGCGGTGGTGTTCTGGCTAGCGATGTCTCCTCTGATCTGATCTGACCTCCTGACTGTATCCGGTGTGTGGCTCCCTCCGAAACTAAACGATTACCGCCAACCGCAACACTTGAATACTTTTTTGCCATTTATAATATGATTCTGTTGTACACGAAAAAAAAAACCAAGTACCAAACCAAACCAAACCATACCAAACCGAAATCAAAGTAACAAAACGTAACGAGGTCTGGCCATCCATCTGCTCATCCGCCTGCCTGCCTGGCTACGGTTTACTGGCTGCCCGCCTGGTTGAGTTAACGATGTTCGATCGGACTTTCGATGAGGTCATGAGGTGTCCTTGGTGTCATTGGCCCACAGTTACTAGGCAGACAATCTAAACTCTCGGTGTAGAAACGATGTGTGTGTCCTCCTCTCTCTGAAAGCGCATTAAGTAAGAATTCAATTACAACTAATTTGTTAACTTTAATTATTTTTCAAACCAAATCAACTCTATCAATTGCCAACCACTGTTAACTATGATTGTTTACGCTTAAGTTCTGTGTCGCGTGCAGCGTGGAGTGTTTGAATGTTTCGGCCGGAAGCAACTGTTCCGCTCCTTCCTCCCCGCACAATTGAACCCTTCGGCCAACAAGAGGTGGTTCTCGGTTTCCCGTTTCCCGTAGGCAGGCGCGACAACAGAGAGCACGGCATAGAAGAACACAGGGCACTGAGAAAGAGGGACTCTAAGGTCGGACTTGGTTAGGAACCATCTCGGCAGCGTGTGCGAGCCCAAAATGCCGAAAACATTCAAAATGCTCCACCTGCTGCACGGGCTGTCCTTTGAGTTGCAACCACTGCCACCGGATGCGAGATGTGCGAGATCCCTGCCAATGCATAATTTCACTAATTCTTGTCCTTTTCTTCCGACTTTGTGCGTTCCCTGCAGGATCTCAAGGATTACATGCGCCAAGCTGGCGAGGTCACCTATGCCGATGCCCACAAGCAGCGCCGCAATGAAGGGTAAGTCTCCCCTTTAACTCACATAAGATTTAATTTTTTTAACTAATTACTAAATAAATCTTTTTTCCCTTGCAGCGTGGTCGAGTTTGCTTCGTTGTCGGACATGAAGACGGCCATTGAGAAGCTGGATGACACCGAGCTGAATGGCAGGCGCGTCCATCTGGTTGAGGATCGGCGCGGAGGACGCAGCGGCGGCGGTGGCGGCGGCGGAGGTGGACGTGGACGTTCCCGTTCGTCAAGCTCTCGTTCGCGATCCCGCTCGCGCAGGCGCTCCCGTTCCCGTCGCTCGTCGCACTCGCGATCCAAGTCGCGCAGCCGCTCCAAGTCCCGCGGCGGACGCTCCAAGTCCAAGTCGCCCGTTAAGTCCCGTTCTCGCTCTCGCTCGCGTTCCAAGTAAGTGCAGTGTTAAATATTGTTTATAAGGATCGTACTTAATTTGTTGTAAATATTTTTGAACAAAATTTTAGTTTATATAGTGTTGTAATAATATAAAAGAATGTATACCAAACATATAAATCCTTAGTATTTAATAAATCTAGAACCATAGTTGACCTTGTTAAATAGAAAAAATATTTGAATTTAACGATTTTTTTTTGAATTGGTCCACAAAATTTGTAAAATAATATAAATAATTTTAAAAGGCCTACTCATTTGGAAAATGCTAGATGATTAATTACGATCTATTGAAACCAATTGCTTTCTGCTGACCTTATTAACTTATTTCTCCTCTTGTGCTGCAGCAAATCGCGTGACGTGTCCAAGTCCAAATCGAAGTCCCACTCCCGCACCCGCTCCCGTTCTCCCAAGCGTGAGCGTGACTCCCGTTCCCGCTCGCGTTCCGTGTCGAAGCGCGAGTCCCGCTCCCGATCACGTTCCAAGTCCAACCGCCGCGACTCCCGCTCACGGTAAGTTTGCTAGAGACCGACCCGCTGATCTCAGCTCTCTATAGACAGTTCACGATTGTTTCTTTCGTGCTTTCTTTGGTTTTGTTTGGATGCACCTGTTCGTAGCCCTCCAACTGTGGTCGCACAAAAGCCCGTAATATAGTTTGTTATAATGCTTTTCTATTGCAGCGATCGATCCGCATCGGCTGACAACAAATCGCGTTCGCGATCCCGCTCCCGTTCGGCCTCGCCCAAAAATGGAAACGCCTCGCCGGACCGCAATAACGAGAGCATGGACGATTAGATTAGTTAGCTGTCCCATTAATTTTAAAACACTTGATTTTAGACTTCTACTATAGCTATTCTACGAACATCAACACTCAGACACCTTTACTTACCCTGCGCCCTTTGAACCAAAACCAATGAAAATGAAATCGAAATCATACAAATCCACAATAGGGGCCTCGTCATTTTGTAATATTGAAAAACGATTTGTTTCAAGACTTGGACACTCCTGAAAAATGGCTTGGATTCAAGGAGTACATATTGCTGACGGAATTACTTCGACACGTACACCGAAACACCTTAAATTGTCTATACATACGATGAGTAATTTCAATAAATACGGATACATTTAAATTAAATATTTGTTTTGCGTTGATGATTTTACTGGTTTATTTATGAGTTGATATTGCTGAAATGGGTGACAATGCTGAAAATAAAAAGTAAAGGATGTCGGATTTAATCATATATAAATTTAGTTTATTGTTTTTTGTTTGTGGTAATTTCGGAATACAAGTATATTACAAAGTCTTATTTTCACTATTTTGCATTATTTGCCTGAATTAAAATTACAATTTCATTTGATTTATTATTAATCTTGAATTTAAAGAAATCCATTGGTAATTTTAACCACATTGTCTAAAATGTTATAGTTAAATATTTAAAATTTGGAAATTAATTAGCATTCTAAAAATCGTCAAGTTAAATGAAATACATAACTAAGTTTTATAAACTGACAAAGTTTCGGTTTTAACAATATATCGTTTTTCAAAGTAATTACTTTTATTAATTAGGTATACTATTATATACAAAGCACATAAGGACAAAAAAGATTTTTTGTTTTGAAGCGTTTGACGTCTCGAATGAGCAATAATCGGCGTTGAAAAATGCATCGACTAACTAGAACAGATCATCGAAAATTCTATTTTAAATGCGAATGCCATAAAACAATATCTATGGAATGCTTATACTAAGTGTGGGGAATTCGGTTCGACATTATCTACAACTGTAACTAAATGCATTCTTTGCATAAATGCGATAGGAGAAGGTCTTGGGATCTAAGACGGTATGTCTGTCTATATAACACGCGAACGGTCCAAATATTTAAGTAATAATATTTGTTTGCTGTCCGCAAGCGTGTGTTATTTGGCACATCGTGGAGTCACTTGAGCACTGGCGTTGACTGAAATGTTTGGGCTTCTAGCTAAGTATTTGACACTTGGGTAGATCGAGGATGTGGCCTTAGTTGTGGCTACTAACTACATGCGCACCGTTATCGTAAACTAATACCAAGTTTGTCTTCAAACAGTACGTAATCATAATAAGTCTGAATAAAATTGATTTTTCAAACGTTATCTAACATTTATCGGCTATAGAATATTTACAGCATTAATTTGACACTTCATTGCGATATTTTGGCTCTTGAATGGTATTCTACGTTTATATGCACAAATAGTTGCCATTTAAATAGATAATAAATTATTTTGTTTGACTTAAAAAAATTAAATAATAATTTTATTTTGGAAATAGTCCTTTCCTTGAAACAGTATTCAAAACCCTTCACTTTAAATTTGCATGGATTTAAACTATAACAGAATTTCGAAACCCATTTGAAGATTTGAATAATGGGATCAGAATTTACGATTTAATTTAATTTAAATAAATATTTTTTTTAAATGTCTGGCGTATAAACGTAGTAATACTATGGTTGATTTTGGCTCGAGTTCATCGGATTCTGTATATTTACGGCTTCTGATGACTGGATGTTAGTGTTAAAATAGAAAGACTACAAGTGAGTGTTGCCGTTCCATAATCTTGCGCATCGCTTCTAGGTTCTATCGCTCGGAAATGGCAGTGGTTTACATTCAATTGTATAGTGCTCTAGTTGTAAGTGGTGTATATGTAAACGTATAGGATTAGTCGCTACCATGCCCACTACGTGTTGTATAGATCTATGCACTAGTTCACATTGTAAATAATATAAATGGCACATTATCCAAACGCCCACCTCAATCGTGTCCTACGTGTCAGTTAGCGAATCTATATAAGTATTTAAGTACTATTTAGAGCCTTGTTATCACTTTCGATTTGTAAGTCGTTTTTGGCGAGGGCGGTTCTGCCACTTCGTTGTGCCTGCAACCCGCTAAGCCTCCACCAATATTTAATATAGCCTCCCTCCCCCAGTTCCTAGATGCGAATGGAGAGCTGTGAGACATTGCGCTTCAGCAACGTATGCGGCCGCAGCTCGATGCTCGCCGTATCCGCCATGTCCACCATGTCCACGCCCATATAGCTGCTGTCCATGGTCCCGCGATCGGCCAAAGTGTGCAGACTCTGGGTGTCGTAGTCGTAGTTCAAATCCTGCATGGGCACCACCTCCGGCAGCAGGTGTCGGATGTGAGTGGGCGATCTCCTCAATTTGTATTGATTTCTGTGGGTGAAGACATCAATATATATCCGGTTAGCAGTCGAATCAGTTTGAAAAATCGGTTCACTAGGCATGCATGATGGGTGTGTTATAGCCTGATTTCACTAAAACATGTCTTTAGTTTTTGTTCAATTTTGTTCAATCAAATATAGATGGATAATGGATCAATGGCAAATTGTCTTATCCAGTTATATAATTCATTAAAATCAGGCTACCAATCAAATCGGATGAAATGGAAAGCTTACTCTGCATCGTTGTTCTTTCCCAAGCTTTTACTTCTGCAGAGGTGCAACACATTAAGCAAAATGAAAACAAAAATGAGTACACACAAAATACAATATCTAATTAAAGAGGCACAGGGCTAAGGCAATATTCACTAGTCAAGATTGAAGGGGACTTTTAAAGAAGAGCATGATTTTCAATAATGTTCGGAGTTTTAAATTACTCGGACGATTAATTATTAAAATTCTCCTTGTTTAAGCTTTATAAATTTATTCATTCAAAACAACAAAATCTTTAAGCTAAAAATATAAGACAAAATAGAAATATGTCTTAATTTATTTAGTTTGTTATAATCAGCTATACATTTTAGTTATTTGATTTTTAAAGAACTTGATTGAAAACCTTAAAAAAAAGTAAAAATCTCCTCTGTTTTATAAAGTCTTTAATTAAATTAAATTACCTACACATTATTTATGACCTTTTCAAGCCCCAACACATAATTAAATTCTTGTTTACACAACTAATTTAAAAGTTGGCAAAGCCAAACACTTGCGACTGTTAGTGTGAGGAGGTATTTGGCCAACTGTCTGGACAAAGAAAAGGAAATATTAAAGGTCAATCCCGACAGTGAAAGGACAAAGAGGGCTTTCGAAAGCCCTCAGACACCGGCGAATCCTATCTGAATGCACATTAGCCACTCTCTAGATAAGAGAACCGGAAAATCGTGCCAAGCCAATTAGCCTATCCCCTGAGCCTCTTTTTAATCGTGCGATTACGTACTTTTTGTGTCGGTTTCCGTTGAGACACATGCAGTGGCACGAGCACATGGACGAGTTGGTGCTTCCGTTCAGAGATTGGCCATCGTGTCCCTCGTAGCCGCTGAGAATGGATCCATTGGATGTTATCACATCGCCCTCCAGCTTCACAGCCACTTGCAGCGCCTGCAAGGGGTGTACAATGGGTGTTAGATGTAGATCATATCACGGACTTCTTGGGGGGTGTTCGAATGCCGAGTGGGTGGCGGTGGAGTATAGCGTTGAAGACTGAGGAACGGTATTCGTGTGGTTCTGGCGAGAGTGGGTTGGTGGTGCTGCTTGGTTCAGTGTGGTACAGAAAGTCAGGTGGTGAAGTGGTTTTGTGGTGGGAGTTGGTCAAAATAGTATTGAAATCTGAAAAACCGCAATCACCTCGTTGGTCCATAAACTGGACTTGGACATAAACTAAGCTCGCGTTTTGCATTTGATTGATTTCGTTTCGTTATCGATTCGTTATCGTTAAGTCAAAAGCAACCGAAAATATGCGAAAAAAGAAAACATTTATTCGATTTTTATTGGGTAGCTCTCGCAATTGGGCCTGCATTGAATAGATTGTATAAATTAATTGGTTCAAAACATTGGTATAATAGTAATAATTGAAAAGGAAACCGAAGGTGCAAGATCAAGAGTTAGCCAAGTGTGCAGCAAAGTGGCAGGCAAATATGGAATATAAAAACTATAGTTCATTTAACAAGTTTGGTCAAAAGGTACGAGAGTATAAGACAGATGGAAGTTATTCGAGTGGAATATAAGCAAAAATTGTACATATTATGGTATCAAAGGTACAGTGAAGCGTTGGTACATTGTAAAAACGGTAGAGAAAAGCGGCTGACTACGAAAAAGGGAAAGCGCCTCGAACGGGCCGAATGAATGTACGATAGTAATAAGATCCAAAAAACAGTCCTCAAGTCTACGGTAATAAATGGCATGAGTTGCTCCAATTACTCCCGGATCTCCGACAGGATCTCCTCTTGGATCTCCGGGCTCTGATCTCACCTGCATGGCCTGGGCCTCGTCGCGTCGCTCATCCTCGGTATTCATTGTAACAAACCTAAGTACTAACAAATTCAGCGAGGCGGCCACGATGGCCAGACCGAATAGTATAAATATCAGTGCGAACATCACGTATTCGGGCTTCCGGTTCAGTGCGTTGTCCCGCTGCAGGGCTACCATGTCGCCAAAGCCTGTCAAAATGCGAATATTAATGCTATCTATATCTGCCCCAATATCGGATGAAAGCGGATCAGCCCTTACCTATTGTGGTTAAAGTAATAAAACAGTAATATACTGAATCGAAGTAGCTCCAGCCCTCAAATTTCGAAAAGGCCGCAGCACCGCCGGCTATCGTCAGCGAACTGAGTGTGGTCACAACACATATAAGGTCCACTTCCGAGGCGACGGTCCTTTTGCAGCGCAGCGAGGAGCGGACCGCCTTGATAACATAGCTGTGGGAATAAATCATTGAAAATAATATCAAGGAGTAATAAGTATAAGTTAATTGAATTTATATAAATTGCTTTGAACTAATAAACAAATTTTGTAAAGGCTAGCGTTTCATGATACATCGCAATATATATATACAAACAATAAATATTTGTTTCAAAGTTTTAAAGAAATCATCACAATAAATTTGAATATATTCCAGTAATGCGTTTTAGTTCATAAGATTAACAAGAAGTTATTGTATTATAAAAATCTATATAAAAAATTTACAAATCAAAAAAATAATATAGAAAAGTCCATAAAATTTAAAATTGTTATCTTTTCCTAAAAGGAATCAAAACTGTTATTCTAGACGTGCGGTAGGCCATACACTCAGAAAACTAAACTAATATATTTAAAAGGACTTTGAAACCCACCTGCTCAGTCTATTCACTCTTTCTCCGATGCTCTGGAACATAACGAGGCCCAGGGGAATCCCCACGATGGCGTAGCACATTGTGAAGAGCTTTCCACCCACCGTGCTGGGCGTTGAATGTCCGTAGCCTAAAATGGTGGGTCATCATGAGTGGTTTAAATAACACCGTTTACTTTGGGTTAGATAACCCACCTATTGTGGTTAGCACCGTGGTTGCATAATAAAATGCACCGGTGAATTTCCACTGCTGGCCGGCCTTGTGCGATTCCGATTTGAGCACCACAGTCTCCATTACTTTGAAGTCCTCCAGCGAGATGTTGTATTTGCGTATTATCATGTCCTCGGCATCTGCAATTAGTAGCATAAAAGCCCACAGTGCTTATGACGTAGTTCACACACGATTGTCGATGACAAGTAATGGTCGTCATTTTCTTAAATGCAATAATGCACTCCAAAAAAAATGTAGAAAAAAAAGCAAAACTCATAAAGGTTTCCTTCTTAATAAACTTAAAATATTTACATTACAAGCTCTAAGCGCAATGAAAGATTTTAAAAATATTAAACGACGTTTTTAATATACTTATTTTCATTAAAATTTTTGTATTTACCAATATACTATTATATTATACTATTTACTATAATATTCTTTGAAATCCCAAGCCACATTATTGCGTAAGAATTTCCATTATTCGTCAAGAGTAACAAAAAAAATTTTTAAAAAGTCTTATTTGAGCTAATTGGATTTAATTTTTTCTAGTGTACCTACAAGGATATAATTGTGTTTTGCACTCACCTTGCAGCGCCTCCCAACGACGCTTTTCCGTTTCCGATTCGAGGGCGTCAAAGACGGCGGCGCCGACAAGCAAGTAGGTAAATGTACACACGATCAAGGATATCGTGCGCACATTTTGTTTCTTCATTCTTCATTTAGGCGAGTATTGGGTGGTGGATCGTTGGTTCACTGGCGTCGCCTCCTTTTGCGGTACAGTTTGCAGGGCTTTTCCTGGCTGCTCACCTGGCTAACCGGGCTGCACCTGCCGTCGTCCATATGGGTTTCTCGGCTTCGTCCTGCTCGTCCTTTCTGGGGTCTGCGGGTCGCTCTCAAAGGACAAAGTTCCCAAATTGGGTTAAGACCTGGCGATGACAGCGATGGCGACGACTTCGACTTCGACTCTCACTCTCGGTTTGCTTTAGTTTTGTAGTCTCTCTCTGCTTTTTGGCAAACTCACTTAGCACTTTGATTGCATTAAAAATAATATCACTCGAGGTGTGTGTGTCTGTGTGTGTGTGTGTAAGTGGGCGGGGGTTTGGGTTTGGTTTGCGTTTTAGTCGGTTAGCTTTTGGCGAGGGCGAGTAGGTGGTGGCGTTTATTTCTGTCACAGGCCGTGGGCCTTTGTCCTCGTCGCGTTCGTTGCGCCGTCCATGTCCTTGCGTTATTTATGCTGCCAGTGCCTGTGAACGTTAACTCGAATGCGAATGTGCATGTGCCTGTGCGGGCCATGCTGCAATCCTTCATCGGGCGGCGCTGCTCTCAAGGATTAATATTGTGCCAGTGCCACTGCTGCTGCGGGTGACGGGCGCCATCGCGCTGTAGTTTCTGCCGCCGTGTCCTTCCTGCATGGAATGACTTGAATTAGGTTTTATGGCTGGGCTAAAAATAACGCCTGCAACTAATCTGTCATCATCACTACCAGGCCCCACTACGCTCCACTCTTCCATGGAAATATGCAAACAATTCTTAATTAATAGCACTCATTGAAAATATAAACATTTTCCAAACACTTAAAAAGAAAACTCTTAAATTAACATGGATTTTTAATTATTAATTTTATGAGTACAAGTAAGTTTATTTGTGTGAAATAAAAATTTGAGATGGGTATATCTTACTATTAAAAAATCTTGAATGTGGAATTGAAATTTTTAGGCTACAGAAAATCGAATTTAAAGTTGCAAATTAAAATAAATCATAAATTTGAATAATATTAATAATATTATGGTATCTGTGATGGCAAACTGTCCTTAGTTTGATGTTTATGTTTATAATTAGGTACCAAAAACCATTTCAAGGTACATCAGTTTTAAGAAGTAGCTTGAAGGAAGTGTTAAAGCTTTTCTAGTTCTAAATATCCTTACTAAATATATATCCCGACTAAAGGATTCAAAATTGACTGTAAAAAACCAATAAAAGTGATTTTACACACATTTCTCGGTGGCTAATTGAATTTTTGTGCTATTATCCTCGCCGCCGCTGTGTGTACACTTCATCTCACCTTATTCACACACTCGCACACCACACAAACATGCAAATAAAAAATTCATTTGCATGTGTCCTTCGCCAATGAGCGTAAGGATTTGTGGACACACTGGCGAAACTGGCATTTTGGCAACGTGTGAAGCTGCAAAATCTCAGCTGTAATTGTTGAATAATTCAGTTATCACGCGGGATAATGAGACGCCGAAAAATGAAAGCTCCCCTTGAGTGTTTTTGGCCATCTAATGGCAATTTATTGATGAACAATGCAGTGTCCTGAATTATTCAAGTGTGTGAGTGTCTGTATCTCAGTGTGTGTCTGTGGGAGAGGTTCAAAGCGCGTTGAAGTGTACGCACACACACACAAAAAGCGGAGCAGACACAGGCTTTTTTTTTTTAATTTGTTGGTCCTTCGGTGCGGATTGTGGGGGATGGTTTTCCGCTCCCCTCACACACACACACACACACACACACATACTCGGACGAGAAGGATGCCCGCCCTTAGTTAACTTTTTTGTTAGTTTCCTTGCCCGTGCTTCTTGTTTGTTGTGCTATTTCGCGCAGCTTTCCCTTGCCCTTTGCTCATCCTCTCCAGATTCCTCCACAATTCCCATGCACTGGCAATGACAGTGACACTATCAAGAGAATCCTCCCCAGCCCCCACTCCCGTATCCTTCGCGAGAAAAAAAAGGACGATGGAGAGGAAGATGCCTCACATTTGAATTGTTCCATTATGTAAAGCCCGCACACATACACATCGTTTCCGCTGAACAGGACGAAACTGGATGGGTCGTAATTTTCAGTCGCCGCACTTCAGATCCTTTGATTCGTCAACTATAATTGCACAAAACTCAGCAGCACCCCACAATTTTTTCACTACCGTAATTTGGCTCCGTTTGATGCCCACTTTTGTCGCCACTCGGATTCGCATCCGTAATGCTCTCGACGCGACTCGCAGCGACGGAATTCAAGGAAGCTTTGCTCCGGCGCACAAAACACTCGGCTGCTGGCAGGGTTGTGAAGGATATTATAGGTAAAAACCGTGAGTCGTTTTTCACCAGAAGCCAATCGACACGTTTTTTAATGATTTCAAATGTAACCTTTTTTGTTCTAATTGCGAACGGATGCTGCGGGGCGGGCGAAAAAAATTTTAAAACTGTAACGTTGCATGTTGCTTAAATAGATTTTCGGGCGAAAGCTCATCCTGCCAAATTCTCTCTGCTCGCGAAAAATCTCTCCCACTGTTAAGTCTCTCTCCAGCTATTACATTTCAGCGAACCGGTTATTCGAATCCAGTAGGAATTTATGGTTTGAGTCCAGACTGAAGTCTAATCGTTATTTTATCGGCATAGCGTCGACGTGTTTCAGATGTAAAGCAACATAATTATATTTATTACTACAAAAAATTATTACTAGAAAAAGAGTAAACTTTTTTAAGTACAATACAATATTTGTATAATTCTCTTTTTCGTTTTTAACTTGCTTGAGTAATGAAATAATTAATATTCACAAACAATTTTTTTTTTTAAACTGACTTTAACAATAAATTTGTTTTAAAAATTAAGTTTTTTTTTTTAATTTTTCAAATATAGCTTCAATTCAGGATAACACAGTTTTGAAACCATTGAGAGGAGACTAAATGCAGTGCTGGATAATTGGTGGAAAACTTAGCTATCTGCTTGAAAAAGAAAAAAATTTTGGAGACAGGACTCGTAAAAAGCGGAAAGCCTATGTCCTCCGTATAAACATTCTCTTAGTTTTTCGCTCTTAACTATACCACTCAGCAGCCTTTAAGTTTGAACTCTCTTTTCCGGTTGTTGAACTTAAATTTTAAACAAAATAATTACCACTAGCAACAAAGATTCTTAGGTAAATATACAGTATTATTTTATTTTTTTAAGTTGCTATACAACTATACATACTATTCATACATATTCTTTTATTAAACAAAACAATTTACGATGGAATTCTCAGTTTGTCACTTCAGCGAAAAAAGGGTTTTTAAAAATATACGTATATTTTGATCAATTTTTTTTATTTTTGATAACTGTTTTTTTACAGCAAGTCAATTTTAACGTAATCATTCGAAAGGATATATAGCTTACTAAATCCTCAGCCATTCTTTATCTTACCCTGAATAAAATTGAGTATACTTAACGGGTCGCAGTCTCATCTACCTTGGGTGACTCCATTCCTGCTCCTTGGCACAGTGACCTGCCTGCCAATCAGCAAGATGACTCCGACTAAATTGGCCTAAAAACCCGTATTCAGGCTACCAAACCAAAAATCAATTTCCACAAATCAGAGCAAACATGTTAGGTGGCCTGGCCATGAACTAATAATTAAATGCAGAGCAAATGTACACTGGCACTTCCGTCAAAGCTTAAAAGGTAACTAATTCAGTGTTCCATGGACTCCGGCGGCAGGACAATGTTGCAGCCAAGGAGGCCGCGTCCACTCCAAGTCTTGGGCACCAGGATCAGATCCAGCTGCTGTTCGCCTCGCTTCACTTTGAGTTGGACATTCTGGTTTTGCATGTTGCGCACCACCTCGCCAATTTGGCCGAGATCTCCCTTGAAATTGTTGCTGTTGACGGAACCGAAACGGAGGATGGCATCGCCCACACAGAGTCCCTGAAATGGCCAATAATATAGGGTTAATAATTGCTTTTTTTGGTAGTTTTTATATTTCCACTCACAGCTTTCTCGGCGGGTGAATCGGGACTAACTAGGTTCACCACCACGATGGCGCGAACAGGTGCAAGATCAGCTATATTCGCTCCTCCTGGTGATCGGTCGCTGTCCAAATCCAAGGCGGATGCGCGGTTCACCAGCTCGGGATCTGTGGTGGCAATCTCACTGTGGTATTGGTTAAGCAGGCTCTGGATCTGGTTCATCAGCTCCTTGTGGTCGTTTTGCAGGCAGATGATCGTTTGGCGGGCCTGGCGCACCTGGTAAATGTCGATGTCGTTGCGCGGAAAGCCCTCCGAGTCCACCAGCGGACCGCTCATCCCCACATTATCGTTCTGGAAAGGAAGGCCATAAGTTTGTATATTATAAATAGATTTGGGCAGCTTAAGAAAATACTCTTCTAGACCGCATGATTTTAAAGTATAATTATTAATTACAGGATGCACCTAAGACTTTTATCATCTGGTAAGTTTTAAGTCTAGAAACACATTTGGATTCTACGCCACAGGCACTTATATCAAACATTCTTCAACATTTTCTAGCTTCTAGTGCAAAAAGATTATGCCACTTTTAAATAAAAACAAAGTTTTATCTTTTTTAGTTTTTATAAAATTTTTAGAACTAATGAAATTTCATATTAAAAATTCATTATATTTAAAAATTAGATGTATTGTATTTATAGAAAGAGTATGCTTGAGAAAGATTTTAGTAATCTTAATTGGGCTTGAATTTTATTTACCATCTTACTATTATTAAAAACAAACTAAGCTATAGTTAAGTACTGTACATTTTATATTCCCAACGATCCTAATTGTTTCTATTAGAAGTGGTGTTGACAATTCGTAAGTCTCGTGGGCAGCGTGGCCAATTGCCTACTTAAGTAGATCTTTCCTTTTTATTGTAAAGGGTACAAAAATATTTGTATAATTTATATACGTTTGATCGTTTCCTTTAACATATGTATACCCTTCTTGAAGCTACAAATATTAATTCGATCCTTTGATCCCTTTAAAAAAAACTGCACAATGGTGTTGAAAAACGAGGGTAACTGACGAAAGTGACTGCCGCGTAACCAACTGCTTGTGAGTGTGAATATACCCTACCCAAAAGACACGGTATGAGATGAATTCGCTACTTTACTTACGGCGGCCAGGATCTGTCCGTTTTTGGTGATCTGCGCCTCCAGCTGCTTCTTCGCGTTCATCAGACGCTCCAGCCGCTCCTTGGTGGTGATCCCTGTGTCCATGACTTTCCCGTCGTTTGATATTCTAGTGTTTTTCGAAAATATATTTTGTTATTTTAACTTCTTTTGCCTCGTCTCGCCAAAAACAACAACAATTCAGAGTGTCTTGCAGCCCTGGTTGCTTTAGCCAGTGTGGCCATACTGCACAAACCTAAATTGTAAACAATTCGTTTTTTAGCAAAAATCGTCAGTTTTTCCACACTAAACATTGCTGACATAAAAGTTATCGAAAAACCATATACAGAATTACGACTTACTAATTAATCGACTTATTCGAAAGCCTTGGCCACACTGTCTTCAGAACAGCTGTTCTTTAAAAGTTAAAAAGGAATTAACAAATTTATATGAAAAATAGAGCAAAAGTGCTGGCGAGAGGGGTAACGGAATTCCAGGGGATTTCGCGCGAAACTACGGACGACGAGGGACCTCGAAAAATCGCAGGGCAAGGGTAATCCATTCGAGTGTTTGTGTGAATTGATACACAAATAAAGGAATTTCAAGTGGAGAGCGATAAAAACGCGCGTGTGCCTGGAGAGGATTGGTTGATTGGTTGTCCGGATAGGTAACTGACCTCCCATTGCAAGTCCCGAGGCTGCTCCATAACCACCAGTCCGACGGATCACGGCCCACCTGCGATATGTGATCAGTGGGTGCTGTCCCGTGGTTTATGCAATGTTCTAGCTCTCGACGCCGAGAAGCAGAAGCAGCCGGTGCGGGAAGAGCCAGGAGGAGCCTGTCCAGATGACTGTGACCACCATGGAGGCACAGATCAAGGCAGCACATCATCATCATCACCACCACCACGACGGCGGCGGCGGCGGAGGAGCCCAGCACAAGCAGGAGGAGGAGGATCCCGTCGAGGACGAGATGAGCCTTCTGCTGGTCAACAAGAACTATCACTATGACGCCGCCTCCGAGCTGGACGACGAAGCCTTTGTGGAACTCAAGGAGGAGTCGCAGCCCGCAGGCGCTTCCTTCTACAATCCAGATGAACAGCTGCTCGAGGAGCAGCCGCATCCGCATCCGCAGGTCACCTGGCTGGACGACGACGAGATCGAGACGCTGGATCGCGTCACCCTGGACATGGGCAACATGTTCTTCAACCGCGTCGACAGCCAGGACATCATATACCAGCAGAAGAAGAAGTGCATCAAGATGGTGGGCAAGTACATCATGGGCGATGTCCTCGGCGAGGGCTCCTACGGCAAGGTGAAGGAGGCCATGAACTCGGAGAACCTCTGCCGGCTGGCCGTCAAGATCCTGACCAAGCGCAAGCTGCGCCGGATCCCCAATGGCGAGCAGAACGTCACACGGGAGATCGCCCTGCTGAAGCAGCTGAAGCACGAGAATGTCGTCGAGCTGGTGGACGTCCTCTACAACGACGAGAAGCAGAAGATGTACCTGGTGATGGAGTACTGCGTCGGCGGGCTGCAGGAGATGGTGGACTACCAGGCGGACAAACGGATGCCGCTGTTCCAGGCCCACGGCTACTTCCAGCAGTTGGTCGACGGTCTGGAGTACCTGCACAGCTGCCGGGTCATCCACAAGGACATCAAGCCGGGCAACCTGCTGCTATCCCTCGACCTGACGCTCAAGATCTCCGACTTCGGGGTGGCCGAGCAACTGGATCTGTTCGCGCCGGACGACACTTGCACGACGGGCCAGGGATCTCCGGCCTTCCAGCCACCGGAGATCGCCAACGGACACGAGACCTTCGCCGGCTTCAAGGTGGACATTTGGAGCAGCGGAGTGACACTGTAAGCCTTCTCCTTGCTTTTGTTGATACCCTTTAAATAAGTCCTTGGTTGTCTGTTCTAATCAAAACTATTCTGTGTGTTTTCAACAGTTTTAGTGCTTATCATAACTTGTTCTTTGTCCCTAAGCTTTTTTTGTTTAGATAAAGTGAAAACCCATCAAGGCTTATCATTAATTAAAATAAGATTATCAAGTATTTATTGTGGTTTCTAAATATAAACAATTACATCATTGTAACCACTGTATGTAGTTTTCAAAGTTGTAAACACCAAGGCAATTTCGAGTTCCATATAAGTTTGGATCAATATTATTTCAAATTATCTATATTTTATCACTTCATTTTATGAAGAATGAAAGGCTGTAAATCGATTCAAGATAGTTAAATAAATATATGCTTGTTTAGTTTAACGATATGTCAATATAAAATTCGTTATATTTAATCCTTGTGTTTTTCCAATTAATACCATTTCACCAATCTCAATATCTTTTAGATACAACCTGGTCACTGGACAGTATCCCTTCGAGGGAGACAACATCTACCGGCTGCTGGAAAACATCGGGCGAGGTCAGTGGGAGGCGCCCGAGTGGCTCTATGAGCTGGACCCAGACTTCGCCAACTTAATCCTGGGCATGCTGCAGGCTGATCCCAGCAAACGCCTCTCCCTTCAGGAGATTCGCCACGACACGTGAGTTGAGCTCTCCTCTGCTGACTTTCCGATCACTTAACTTAAATTGATGCTTTGCAGTTGGTTCAGATCCGCCCCGCCGGTGACCGGCCCACCGATACCCATTCCCCCGCTGAAGGGCGACAAATACCGCAGCTCCACAGTGATACCTTACCTGGAAGCCTACCACTACGGCGATCAAGATCAAGAGGATGTCTACTTCACCGAGCACGATGTGAACCGTGAGTACCGAAAGCATCTGCTGTTCGAAGCAAGTCGGTTGATTTAAAAAAGGTTAAAAAAAAACCAAATATCCGTTTAAAGAAATATTTTCTAAAACTTCAATAGTACCATTTCAATTTTAAAAACCAGAGATCTTTCTTAAACAAACATTTTCCTTTAGATACAATAGTTCTAATGAATTTCAAATGGGGTTTCTCTGCCTATTTGCATTTCAAAAATCAAAAGTCCTCTTTAAAAAACACTTTGTAAAACTCCTCTACATTGAATAGTTTTAAATAGCACTACTTTTAAAGAGTTTTAACGGGTTTCTTTGCCTGTTGTATACAATCGCCAACATAAAGTACAATTTGGCTTTAATAGTTTAAATTAGAGTGGTCTTGAAAAGGTTTTGATCGACAAATTTATATCAGTGTCTTAGCACTGATTAATGAAATCGACCCACTCTAATGGCTACTGCAACGATGGATTTCTATTAACCATTTCTGATTTCTTATGCAGAGGAGCTCGCCCGACAAGCCCAAGCTGCGGCATCCGAGATCCGGTCCAAGCAGTCGGCGGCGGCCCAAGCTGCCTGCCACGCCTACGAGCCGCCTTCCACAAGTGCTGCTGCAGCTGCCGCCGCCGCAGCCGCCTCCGGAAATTCCCTAGGCAACGGAAGCAGGGAGGAGGCGCCGGTCAAGAAGAAGGGATCGGCCCTGAAGCGGCGCGCCAAGAAGCTAACGTCCTGCATCTCCGTACGCAAACTGAGCCACTGCCGGACATCGTAGGCACTATCAATGCCGCCACAAAACTTAGAAGCTAAGATTAATTGAAAGGAATAACTTTGTTAACAAATTGTGAGGAACTTTTTGGTTTTGTTTTAACGTTTTTGTTGTCCTACATTCGCCAAGTATTTGAACCCATAGAACCATGTAGGAATGCCAGGATCACCCTGGACGCCCGAGCAGCAGCAGTAGCAGCATCGGCAAAGACTCTAAGTAAACTGATGAAGGGAGAAGCGAGATCGGGCGACACAAAAGCTATATATCCATGTGACAATACTGTGTATTATATGAATCAAATGAAAACGTAAATTAGTCGTTAATATGTATATGATGTACTGAAGGCAGCGGAGGATTGCTGGAGGAGATGGTGCCCATCGGTTCGCACACATAAAGAAAGATGTTCAAGTGAAATTGTTGTTGGCTTCGTTATATTCTAAACAGACAGATGATGCGACTTCCAGGAGCCATCGGTACAATAACTGCTGGACAGTATTTGCAAGGCCTAGGTTGAGATTTTAATTTTTACAAACCAATGAAACGAAAATAAAAGAATCCATTGAAGATCAAAATACAAACACTGCATTTAGTTCGCACACACTCCACACACGCTACAATTCCGTCCATTGCAACTGCATTGCATTCCATCCACACACGCTCAGGCGCACACAACATTAGGCTAGCTAACTAAGATGCCTTAATCTAGTTCCACGATCTGCAGCCGGGCCGTGGGATCCGACTCGGAGTTCGCCTCCATCAGCTCGCCCATGATGAACATCTGGTGGTAGTGGGGCCCCAAGGTGGCCAGTTTCCGCTGCATCAAATGGCGCAGCGTGTCCACATACTGCGGCGGCACCTTGGCCACCTGGGTGTTCGTGTTGCGCCAGTGCAGTCCGTTGTTGTCCACGTGGAAGAGCGCCGGCGAGGGCACGTGGTCCTTAAGGTAGTTCCAGATGCACTCGCGCAGCAGAAGGGCGATCTGGAAATCAAGAGGATTTGGTTAATAAGGTTGCAGTTTTAGCTTAATTAAATGTCTGTCTACCTCTGCCGATTCAAAGTGCTCGATGATGAGATGCAGATTGGTAAGTGGTGGCGGAATCAGTTGGCTCATAGCCAGCAGCTGAAGCATTTTCTTGGTACAGAGCATCAGTTCATCGTTGGCAGCCGTGGGCTGGAATCTATTAACTAAATAGAGGAACATTTTGTTTTAGAAAGTTGTTAGAAACTCGACAAAGTCCCGTTTGCTCACCATTCTTTCCCCGCCAGTGATGCAAACAGGTGGCGCAGAGTGCACGCAGAAGCACGGAGGAGTAGCAAAGTGCCGGCCTATGACCGGCAATCAGTCCCAAAACCGCCCACAGCACGGGTGAGGTGATAAACGCTCTCCTGATCTGCATGTCCCGCTCCATGGTGACCCTGGTGAACTCCTCGTCCGGAAAGGGCAGCCCGTTGTACATGACATCCGTGGAGACCAGCTCGACCAGCAGCAGCGAGACCAGCGAGTAGCCCTCCACGTTGTTCGGTTTCTCCAGATCGGCGCAGCAGGCATTCAATGCCTTCAAATACAGCGCCTGCTTCTCGGCGTCGCAGCTTCTGTCGTTGGTGGGCAGCACTGGTCGCAGACCCCGCCCAATAATCCCGGAATGCAGTACGGAGCGATTCGAGTTGGCGCCAGAGCTGGTGTGCAGGTTCTGCAGGATGAGTAGCTCGTGCTCGGGGATCTGCAATTCATCCAGTTCATACTCCTCCAGCTGGCCCAGCAGATGGCCATGGTAGAAGAGGGCGCCTTCCACCAGTTCGCGCAGACACACAGTTCTCGCTATCTTTCGGGCGGAGCACTGCCGCTGCAGCAGGGTGAATGATCGATGCGAGGCCGCCGCTCGACGAATCAAAGCTGCAACAAAGTGCGTTTCATAAGTGACTCAATACAGGTAAAGTTTAAAGGCCAATGCCAATAGGCACTTACTCTGCTCTGTTAGGCCCACAAAGAAGTACTTTACGCTAAGCACGGCCAGTTTCAGGACCTGTGGAGTACGCAGCACATTGCTGCGGCTGCCGGCATCTATGTTGTTTAACAGATCGACTATTAAGTGGGCCAAACGCATTCGCATGACGTCCTCGTCCTCCACCTTTTCCTCTTCCGGCTCTAGTTTGGGTCGTTTTCCGTATTCCTTGCCATTGCACATGTCGTTGTTGTCGTTGTTGTTATTGTTGCTTTGCTGCGCTCTAAATTTTTGCGCACTGCGCTCAGCAGCATCTCTATCCATCCGAAGAACCAACTTGTTCACGGTGCAGTCGAAGATTTGGATAATTTTTGGCAGACACTCGTTGAGGGCTTGGTTTAAATGTTGTGCCTTGATGTATGGAGCTACATTTTTACTCTTGTGCATTCTAGAGGCCATTGTTAATTAGAAGAGTCAATGGTAGGGCTTAAACAAGGTGCAACATTTCCTACCTGGCCAGTATGTTGAGGTTGGAGAAAGTGTTGAACGCTTCTGAGGGCGTGCCTGGCGGTTCTGGCAAGCGATTGTTAACCTGAACATGCAGCGTGATGTCCTCCAGGACCATTTTAAAGCCAGGCGTGAATCCCGGAAAGTTCACCATTCCGCTTTGGCCACCCAGCAGACGAATGAGGGCGCCAATTCCATTTGGATTTTGAGCGTACGACTTTTTCAGAAGTTGAGATATGGTCTGGTAGTAGATGTGTGGATGCTGGGAGGCTAAAAAGAGGAATACCAATTGTTATATTATTTGAATGGCTATATTTAATGGCAAGAATGAAGTAAAAGCAAATCCTTTAACTGCTTATATCATCACCGATAGCCTTCAAACATAATAAGGTAAATTTCGAAATACCAATATAAAAACAAAAGGTTTAGGCTTACAGACAACCAGCAGCAGTCGCACGGCCGTTTGCTGCTCGAAGAGATTAGTGCTGAGGCAGCTTTTCCACAGCATGTACTTCGTTTCCTCATAAGCTAGGTCCGCCAAAAGCGGGAAATTTCTCTGGTTGAGCACCCACTGTTCCAGCTCCTGCATGGAGTTGTCCAGGAAGTCCTGACACCAGACATACTTCTCGGCCATCCTGGCCGCCGTTAGCAGCAGCGTGGCTCCGTGCTCGTTCAGCCGAAGCACGGCGTTGTTCAGCGTGGGTTGCATGCCGGCGAACATCTTGTTGCTTAGCCAGAGCGGCGACTTCTGCACAATCACCTCGCACATGTCCTCGGTATCTGTATATATTTATAATTTAAAATAATATTAATGCTTATTGTAATAGTATTTAGAATAAGTTATTAATTAATAAGTTACAATTGAAGTCTAAGCTTAATGCTTGATGGATTTGGTTCGGCTTTAACTACAGCAAAGTGACACTCACATATTTCCACCAGCACATTGACCAAGCTCTGCAGGATCGTGTCCGAGTAGTTGGTGGTGATCAGCAGAAAGGGAACGACGGCCACGTCCAGCGGCTTCTTGGGCGCGAATCCCTCCCTGAGCATCTCGCGGAAGGCGGCCCTCAGCTGCTGTTCGTGGCACGAGGTCATGTAGTCGAGGATGCCCGCCTCCGAGTCCAGGTGGCAGCGGTAGTCGTCGACAAATCGCTTGATGCCGCACTGCAGGATCTGCATGATGATCTTGTAGGGAAAGCAGCCGCCCAACCTGGCCACGATCCAGTCGAAGGTCATGGGGAAACGGTGAAAGGCGTTCAGCATGATCTCCACGCAGGCCTCCTCCTCTGGCTGGGTCAGCTTGCGGAAGCAGCTGTTGATGAGGGTCATCAGGCCGTGCATGGCGCTGCATTCCAGCCAGTAGTTGCAGCTGGCCGTGATGGTCATCCGGCGTTGGGTGTACTTATCGGACAGCTTGGCCACCAGCTCCAGGCTCCAGTTTGCGATCAGGGGCGACCACGCCGGCGGACCCTTCCACACCAGGCTCTGCAGCGCCGTCTTCACAATGTTGAAGCTCTCGTACTCCGGAGCGCGCAGCTGCTGCTGGCGATTCCCGGCCTGCTTCACCTGGGACACCGGCATTCCGGTCTTGGCGTCCGCCATCTCCGGCGACACATACAGCTGCACACTGATCTCGGCCAGCAGGGCAAAGTACTCGAACACTATGTCTCGCGTGGCGGGCAGCTCCTCCAGAAATCCCAGCCTGCAAAGAGTCCGGGTTTTGTTTACTCCGGTACGGGTGTAATATGGGCCATTGCGGCCGCTACTCACGCGAGCTTGATGAGATTGGGGCTGGTCAGCAGCTGGGGACAACTGTGGCCATTGCTCACCGTCTCTATGAAGTGCTTGAGCTGATCCAACAGGTTCTGGCGCAGCATTCTGTCGTTTTAGGCATCGGGTTAAAAAGTTGACCAAGTGAGCAGCAGAGGTGAAGAAACATCGATGCCAACGTCGATGACATCGATGTTTTGAAAACATCGGTTTCGATGTCGTTGTTTTTCCATCTCTACTCTGCTTTCCCTCTGCCGCAGCGCTGCCAACTGAACTGGTCACAATAAACAGGCTTAACATAAGTTTTTAAAAAGAGGAATTCTTAAAATCTTTGTCATTTCTAAGTTTCTCAAGCTTGGCAATCCTTTTCAACACTAATTATGCTATGGTTTTCTTAATCCTGACAGAATAAAAATCCTAATTGTTTCGTAGCAGTTGCAACCAAACGGATATTGCTAGTGTCGGAGACGCCAAGAAATAATATTAAAAATACATCAGGATTAACAATTGATTTGATTATCTAATATAAATTTGTAATGCCTACATTTTCAAAAATAAAATTTTCCAATGCGACCGTATTACCCACCGACATGGTCACACATTGAAGAAAGTTTACACGTTATTGCACACTGTTTTGCGGCGACTTCAAGCGAAAAACAACATGGCGTCGCTACGGCGAATCCTCTCACAGTCCACAACTTTGTCGTCTCGTTTCGTTTCGGTCAGACCAAAAACGCTCTAGCGTCGGTCCGCGGAAAATAGCAAAAATCACAATTATCCGGGCAGTTAGAATTGTCGAAAATAGCGCGTGGTCCCCCCATAAATATGCGCAAGCGTAAATTGTACATAAACTGAACGAATGCAGCCAACGTGCGAAGCACTAAAAGCGGAAAAACAGAAACAAGGAATTGCAGCGTGAGTGTATAACTTTTTCAGTTAGTATTGCCCGCGCTCTCTTTCTCCCGCTCTCCTGCTCTCTCTCTCTTGCCCTCTTGCGGCTTCTGTGTTGTCTGCGTGCGAGTGTGTGTGTGTTTGACTGCGACTGTGTTTTCTCACGTACTTCGCAGATGATTTACGGCCTTGCAAAGGAATATTGTACTACATGTCCCGACTATATCCCATATTGGATCCCGATCTGGAAGAATACTGCCCCCCTTGAATCACACTTTATGCAACAAATCAAACGAACGTTGTGTTGAGTTTCTCCGCTCTCCGCTGTGTGTAGTGTGTTGGGTTTTGCGCAGCGTGGTGAGTTCACCATCGTCTGTTTTTCTTTTCCCTGTGTCTTGTGTGCGTTTCAATTAAACGCGAAATCGGTAGCGAATATTGGGGAAAATGCGTTATTGCTATATGTATACAGGAATAAACTATCGAATCAAAACAAAATCTGTCTGCAACAACAACAACGTGCGGTCAGTAGTGTGTGGGTGTGCGCGTGTTTATTGTATGTGTGTGTGTATGGTGGGGAGACGGCATTTTTCTTTACCACACGCCTCTTCTTCTTCCCCAAAATACGCTGCAATTTGTGCGATTCTGTTTTGCGCCTGCCATTCGCAATAATTTTATTGAATGAAAATGAACCGCAAAAGAGACGACCGAAAAAGCGATGTACTTGCCAGACAGTATGTGTGTGTGTCAATTGTGTGTGTATCGCGTATGAAAATACATCAACTGTTGGGCGAAAAAGTAAAAATGAGTAAATAATAAAGGAAACTAGCTGACATTGCAATAGCACCGGAGAGTGTTTATAATTGTGAAAATTTCGAGTTATCCGCCCGTTTCTTTGCGCACCCCCTTTCGTGTCCCACTACCACCCCAAAAAGTTGCATACATGCACACACGCCTTCAGTTCTACGAGTGTGTTGGTGCGAGCGCGCGCGTATTCTGCACACATTGTCATGCATGCAAAAACAAGATACGACGCGTTCGTAATCGTCAGACTCCTGCTCCCCTTTCTCTCTACTCTTCTCTTTCTGACCCTCCATTATTCATTCCGTGAGAAAGGAGGCAAAAATATAAGGAAAGGGAGACCATTTGGACCCATTTTTATTTTTTTCCAAAGTCCTGCATCCTTCGTTGTTTCCTTCCCACCTTTTTGCTCGCTCCTTTTCACGCCTTTGCGGGACACTTGCAGCTTTCGCGTATGTGTGTGTGTGTATATGTGTGTGTGTGAAGAAGACAGCAGTGAGACTCTAATTTAGCACTTCAGTTCCGGCTCAAATCATTAGCTGTAGTTTTATTAACCCAAGGGAGTTTTATTAAGGCAGAAACAATGTTTAAGTTTAACTAAGAAATATCCCTTAAATCAAGTTTCTAGTGTTATGACGAACCCGGATTGAAAACTTTTTGGTGTTAAGTAAAACAGTCCGTATTGCTCAGTTTTTGTAAACTTTGATCATATCAAATGTAATTTTATTTAATATTGTTATAAAACACCATCCTGAATCTCAATTCAATTTCACAGAAAATTTGTAAACGTAATCATCGTTTTAATTTATAAGGTTTAGAACTGAAGTGTAATTCAATAGGAAATTGAATCGAGAAGGCCGTTATCTTGATCGTAACTGTATCTCTCACTTGCTTTCAATCAAAAACTAATTGTTGCTGGGGCGAAAAATTTTGCAAAGTTGTCGTACTTTGTTGGGGTTTATCGATGACTCCAGGGCACATTTTGCATAAAGATTTTCTCTTGGCACTTTGGCAACCTTCTGCTGGTTATATTAATAAACATTAATAATAACTGCTGGTTATATTAATAAACATTAATAATGACCAAAATCTCTGTGGCACTTTAAGCATGAGCATTCTCCCGTTTTTTTGCAGCTGATTGCGTAAACCGCTCGAGACGTTTGTTTTGAATTGCTGCTTTTGTTTTGGTACCGATTCTCGGGCCTATGAGTGTGAAATCAAATCTCTATCCATGCCTCTCTCGCTCGATTCTCCGGGTGTTATCAGTGCGGAATTGGCCTTTGGGGCGCTTTATTGCCACTGGTATAAAGTAGTATAGTATAGTATAGTATTTCGTTTCTGGGATCCTTATCGCTGAGCAAATCGTGTTGAATTGACAGAGCACGCATTTTCTCAGCGCCATCTAACCTTGGGCGGGTAGTACGGTGGGTGGTGGGGAAGTATATGTATTTTTGCTGTCGATCTGCGGTGACGTAAATGTTTGCGGTGGATAGCCAACTTTGAGGTGGCGCTCTTCAACGATGACGTAGCTCTTGCTTATTCTGTTTACTCGCACATTATTTTACACTTGCCCATTGATTTCGCCTTGCACGGGGAAAAATGTATATTTCGTTTGTCCGATTACGAATTATTCCCAAAACTTGGTTTTTGAATTTAGATTTGTAAGCCATTTCCGCTGATTTCTGATTATCGGGACCAAATTATAGATTTTAATTATATTTTTTATTTTGCATATCATTGAGGGCATATATGTCAAAAAAGTGTTTATCATATAATTGACATTTAAAAAGATAAAAGAAAAATCAAAATAAATTGTACAAAAAAAATATATCTAAAATTAAAAGTAAAAACGCCTTGTATAAAAAATGTTAATATTAGGCGTACTAAATTCGATTAGACATAGAGTTGATTTTTTTCTGTGTGAGAGATTGGATAGTTTGCTTGCATCCCAAACTTACATTCTTTGATTCTCCCGCTCCTACGCTCTGGCCGCTGTTTGTTTTCTTCGCGCGCGTGTTTGCACTTGCCGTAGGGCGAAAGCGCAGCTATATAATAGTATACCCCACTCATACCAAAAACCCCACAAATACACAGGCACGCTGCGAAAGGCCTAGATCTAGTGGAAAACGCTTAATGTTTGTAAACAGACCGGGCAAAGCATATTTCTATTTTTTTTTTTAATTTTGCATCTTAGTCCAAAGGTCTTTTTTTTCTAGTTCTCTCCCTACTATCTTTCACCCTAAACACTTACTACGAACATAGCTTTCACATTTTTATTCATCGCGAAATGGTAATAAGATAAGATATGTATGTATGTATATGTAAGATGCATTTGTGAACCCCTAATTACCTTTATTTTATGAACTAGGTGTATTATAGATGAAAACGCAGATTTAAAATAAAATTTATCGAGTGGCTTTATTTTGTATTTGTTTTAAATGCAAATAGTAATTACTTCTTTACTACCGTATTGTTAAATGAAGTCTTTAACATTGACATATTTTATTTTGAATAAATTAGGCCAACACCGTAAATGAAACAAAGAAACAAACTGCTTTAGTTTCGATTCTAATAGCAGATTAAATGTGTTAATATGTAAATTCAGAAATTTGTTTTAAAACTCAGTAAACTGTTGGCATTCTGTCATTCAACGTATATTAATTTTGTGAAAATTGTTTTATTAACAGAAAATATAAAATTAATCATTATTTATATTATAAAACGCTGAATAAGTTGGGTTATGTTTGTAATTATTTTATAATACATAATGGAATATAGTTTAAAATGATCTTTACCTTATATTTTTACAGTGCAGTCTTGTCGTGGGCACATCCCAATCCCAATAGTCCCCACCCGACCTTGGAGTGGTAGCCTATCATGGATATAGAAGTCAAGCATAGAGATTAGAAGAATCCTTTGAATTCTAAATTCAAGATCCTAATTTAAATTAGCCAAGTAGCATAGCCTAGCCGATAGCCCCTAGCCAGAGGAACGGTTTCAAGCCGCAAACACCCGCGTTTATAGTTCAAATCGAAACTCAACCGAATACGAAGGAAAGCAGCGTGAAAATTCAAAGGAGCACTTTCAGTAGCACCAACATCATGACGACCGACACCCGCCGACGCGTTAAGTTGTACGCGCTGAATGCGGAGCGCCAGTGGGATGATCGTGGCACTGGCCACGTGTCCTCCACCTACGTGGACAGGCTAAAAGGTGGGTTAACTTGTCAACCAAGCCCTAGAGCCTGGTCTAAGTTTTCGCATACTTTAACTACTTTCAGGCATTTCGCTTCTAGTGCGGGCCGAATCCGATGGATCCTTGCTTTTGGAGAGCAAGATACAACCGGACACCGCCTACCAGAAGCAGCAGGACACCTTGATTGTCTGGTCCGAAGGCGACAACTTTGATCTGGCCTTGAGTTTTCAGGAAAAGGCAGGTTGTGACGAAATATGGGAGAAGATATGTCAGGTAAGCGTAACAAAGGTACTATAGATTGTTAATGAATTAATTTCATTTCGATTAAATTGATTTGAAAGCTTTTGTTTAATTGGTTTACTAACCAATTAGTTATTTCACAATCATTATAAAGCTTACAAATCGTCATCAGGTTCAGGAACTCATTTAATTTCTATAGAATTTAACGACAAATCAAAAACTAATAATCCTACAGGTGCAAGGCAAGGACCCCTCTGTGGAGATCACACAGGACATCGTGGAAGAGTCGGAGGACGAGCGCTTTGAGGACATGTCGGACACGGCTCCACCCATCGAACTTCCACCCTGCGAGCTCTCCCGGCTGGAGGACATTTCGGAGACGATACAGAGCTGCCTCTCCACACCGCTGCGCAAGGAGAAGCTTTCGATGGCCCTGGAATCGGAGAGCTATATCAAGAAGTTGTTAAACTTGTTCCATGTGTGCGAGGATCTGGACAACACCGAGGGTCTGCACCATTTGTTCGAGATCTTCAAGAACATATTCTTGCTAAATAAGAACGCGCTCTTCGAGATCATGTTTGCGGATGACACAATCTTCGACGTGGTCGGTTGCCTAGAGTATGATCCGAGTGTGGCCCAGCCAAAGAAACATCGCCAATATCTAAAGCAGTGGGCCAAGTTCCGCGAGGCTGTGCCGATCAAGAACCAGGACCTGCTGGCCAAGATCCACCAGACGTTCCGTGTTCAGTATATCCAGGACATCATCCTGCCCACACCTTCGGTCTTTGTCGAGGACAACATGCTGAACACGCTGTCCAGCTTCATCTTCTTTAACAAGGTAGAGATTGTGACAATGATCCAGGACGATGAGCGCTTCCTGCTTGATGTGTTTGCCGTGCTCACGGATCCAGCCACCGGCGATACAAAGCGCCGCGACACAGTCCTCTTCTTGAAGGAGTTCTGCAACTTTGCCCAGAACCTGCAGCCGCAAGGCAAGGACTCGTTCTACAAAACACTCACCTGCCTGGGCATCCTGCAGGCGCTGGAACTCACTCTCGTGATGAACGACAAGAAGACCAAGTCGGCCTCCATCGACATCCTCACGGCCATCGTTGAGTTCTCGCCGCTGGTGGTGCGCAACTACACGCTAAACCAGGCCAATAGGCCAGAAGGGGTAAGTTTAGTTTAAACGAGCGATTGATTATGTCTGTAGTTAAGGATGAAACTTCTTCAGATGCTGAAGTTTTTCCTACTTTTTATGGTATTTTTCCCCGCTTAATCTTCATGAACTTAAAAATGCTTATTTTTGTTTACCACCTCTTGTGTGCACTTAGGAGCGTGTGCTACTGAACATTGCCATCGAACAAATGCTGAACGACTCGGAGCCAGAGCTGGGCATTGCGGTACAGCTGATGGGCATCGTTAAGATCCTGTTGGAACCGGAGAACATGCTCACCGAGAAGGGCGATTTTCTCAACTTCTTTTACAAATACAGCGTCCAGACGTTAGTGGGTAAGTTGTCGCCCTTCGCACTTGGATGTTCAGCGATATAACCGTTCGATATTTGCAGCTCCATTGATGCATAACACGATGGGTGATCGTCCGCAGAACGAGGACTATCAGACGGCCCAGCTGTTGGGCATCGTCCTTGACATTCTATCGTTCTGCGTGGAGCATCACAGTTACCACATCAAGAACTTCTTACTGCAAAAGGATCTCCTCAAGCGAATTTTGGTGCTGATGAAAAGCACACACACGTTCCTTGTCCTCGGCGCTCTGCGACTGCTCCGCAAGATAATTGCACTTAAAGACGAGTTCTACAATAGGTTAGAAAACTGTTCTTCTTCTTGGTAAACTTATCGGCGTCATTACTAATCAATTTATCCTTCAGACACATTGTCAAGTGCAATCTATTTGCGCCAGTGGTGGATGCCTTTATTCGCAACAACGGCCGCTACAATCTGCTGGAGTCGGCCATCTTGGAGCTGTTTGAGTTTATAAAACTTGAGGACATCCGCACTCTGTGCGTCTACTTCGTGGAGAACTTCAGCAAGATATTTGATGAAATCGAATATGTGCAGACATTCAAGTACTTGAAGAACCGATACGATCAGTACCAGGATCGACTCAAGGACCGCGACAAGATGGAGAACCGAACGGACGGGTAAGTGTTGCTATGGCGCTTGTGCTCCAACACAATGTGAAAATGTTTGGGTGTATTATCTTAAAGTGGCCTGCCCATCATCCGTAGCGGTGGCCGGTTTCGTCGTGACCAGCGGCAAATGGAGGAGGAGGAGGAGATGTGGTTCAATGAAGAGGACGATTTTTCTGAGGAAATCGACACATACAGCAATGTTATGAAATGTAAGTAATTCCTTTCAGTCTACATAAAATTAAAGATTTCAAAAGTAATATCAGTAAGCAAGACAAGTAATATTCATGATAGTATTAGGGAAATTAGTTAATCAATGTATTACTCTTCTTGCCCTCCAGCCGTCAGCGAAAAGAATGGCCCGCAAACACAAAACCAGCAGAAATCCTCTCCGCCACACAGCACGTCGCCACACAGTGGATTGTTGGGTAGCCTGAACACCACCGCGTCATCCACTGCCACGTCCGCATCGTCAGGCGCTCCGGTGGCCAGTGGTAGCAGTAGCCCCGAGGCGATCTCTGCCGACGAGCAGACGCAGGCGGCGGTGCAATTAGCCGCCGCTGCCAACATTGCACTTCAGCACCACCAGCAGCAACAGCAGCAGCAGAACCCATTCCAGCAACAGACACAACCCGAGATTGCGGAGCTGCAACAGCAGCTGAGCAGCGTGGAGGCGCCACAAAGCCAGGAGTTGGAGCTTTCACAGTCGGCCGCCGCCAGTGTATCGCCCTCTTCATCATCCTCGTCTCTAGAGGCTTCCACGTCCTCATCATCGGCGTCTTCGTCCTCATCCTCGTCGTCGTCGTCCTCGCCGCCCGGCTCTTCAGCGGCCGCAGCTTTGTGCGATTCGGCGACGGTGGCCGCCGTGGCAGCTTCACAGTTTCTCTCAACGATCGCCACGGCCATGGCGGCGTCTGTGACGGCGGCGGCGGCCACAACCAGCTCGCCCAGCCTGTCCCCAGCTCCGGCTGTCTCCAGTCCGGATATCGAGAACGCCGACGCCCAGTTGCCGCCCAGCGATGACGCCAGCAGCCCGGACAGTGGAGAGCAGGATGCGAACAGCACAGAGGCTGCAAGCAGTGAGGCCGATAAGGCGACGGCCAAAAAGGTACATTTAAGAAGTTTAATTTCCACTGAAGAGCAAACCCAGGGCTTATGAAACTGCCAAAGTATTTGCTGTAATATGTGCTTGTTAAACCTCATTAAAAAAGTTACTGTTACCGACCAGACTTTAAATCCTGTTCTGATTTCGGATTACAAGTTTTCACTTTTTAAAAACATATCTAATGTTGGCTTTATCTTACCCAGGGTCTGGTGGACTACGAGAGTGATTCTGGCGAAGATGACTACGAGGAGGACGAGGACTCCGAGGGGCCACAAGCACAAAAGCGCGCTCGTCTGGCATAGTTGCAGACGATGAGCACAGCAGCATCAATTATAAATTAGTACACACACACACACATAACAGAACACAACAAACCACGGCAAACAACAAACAAACAACCAACAACACACTGACCCCCACACACCAACGAATGTTAGGATTGCATTGGCGGCAACGACAGACATACAGCACAGCGGACAGCCGTACGATGTAAGATCGAACAAGAAAACATACAATTAAATTTTAGCATAAAATTTATTTTAAAGGAGAAAGCAAAAACACCTAAAGTAAACGAGAAATTATAAATCTTACTTTACTAAATTAAATAATTACATATAAATATATATATTCAAATATATATGCATATGAAAACACAGATAACTATAACTGATCAGCATCCCACAGGCAGAGATGCATTTGAGTGCGTGTTGTTCGAGAGTTGGAAAGGCATTAACGAAACAAACCAAAATAAAATGTATTTAGTAGTTAAATCCGACACAGAGACGCAGGTGAGGAGGAGGAGCCGTCAAGTGGTGTAGGACATTTGTATACAGACGCATCCATTCGCAATGTCCCTTGTATGACAGTGCTTAACAAATCCTGTGAAGTTGGCTTCTGGCCTAGAATGTTGTGGGGATACCAATCTAATTTTGTGCAATAATTCGTTGCCGGTATTTTAAGGACAATTGCAAAATGTATCTTGTCTAGTTTAGTTTTAACGTTTAAATTTAATCATTTGTACCATAATCACCTATGAGAACGATTCCCTGCCAATTGCACTATCACACGGCACTGTTTCCAACTGCCAATTTGAGTAAACAGTTCTTATCGCGAGACCCCTTATAAAAGTTGGCTATTGTAAACAGAGCTGTAACATCGAAAACAACGTAAAAAGATATTAATAATGTTAATTTTAAATTTTTGAACTATTCCTAAAGCATTGAAATATGTGCTTCATTAAGATTCAGTGTACTTTATGTTGCAATTGTTTTCTAAATACCAACTAGATGCCATGGCCAACTTGACAACTTTTGTTAACCCCTTGAGTTAGACGCAGATGGCACTTGAACCCAATGAACCTTGTATATAATTTAGTCAGTTCCAAAACGCGATTAGTTAATGACTGCCCTTGCACCACTGACGCCGATATTAAACACAAACAATTGGACTTCAACACAATGCGGAAGTTTTACACAATATCGAGCAGATTGAAATCAGAACTCTTAAATCTTAAAAAGCGTTGTCTGACTGTGTAATTGTTGCGCTGTCCTTGCGTTATTGAACCACACACACATCAATAAATAACTAATTATAATGATAACAAAATAGAACGTAAAGTTAAACTAAAATGGGGCAAAACAAACATCAGCAAACAAACAACAATAAAGTAAAGTAAATTAGTCTACTTACGTTTTCGTGTAAGTTTTTTTTCATATTTAAATATAATATTAATTTGTATTTAACGAATGTAGTAGGGCCCACTTGGTAAAACTCCGCTCCACCCAAACACGCATACATACGCTCGCTCACACTCAAACCAATCGACATCCCACAACCACACTGACAGAAAGTAATAAAGTTATTTGTTAATAATCGTATTTGCCATGTGCGTTGCGTACTGTACTACATTTATTTATTTTAGTGTTAAAAAGAACTTGTCACTGCAAACGGTTTCTCTCGAGCAACCGATCGTCGTTCACCTTCACGAAGTCCACGCCCAAAACCTATAATTCACCTATATATTAGAACGGGGAGAACGTATCCACACATTTATCCTTCCAAGTTGATGTTTTTGTTTGTTTGATGGATTGAGCAAAATTAACAAGACGCATCCACAAAGTGCATAAACAAGAATGAAGATAACGAGAAACAGAAACGAACACAAAGCAAAAGATAATGAAAACTAAACGTAAACGTAAAGCGACAAAACTATAGTTTATACATAGTATTTATATGAATCGTGTATTGTATATGATATGCTGTCTAATCCCTAATCCTAACACATACCCATTACATCTATAATTTGAATATTTTATTTAGTTGTTTAAACATCCGTGCGTAAAAAGCGATATATATAACTCTATATTATGATTATGAGTAAATTAAATAATAGTTTTTAATAGTTTTTAAACAGAAACAAATGGCTAAGCTCTCAAAGTGTTCTTTTATTTAATGTATCAAACACCTGATGTCTGGTGGCGGCGGGTGGTTATTCATTATTGGCATGGCAACCGATTCAAGGACCAAACAAATGTTTCCAGCAATTGTTGACTAAACTTTTCGTTTTAGTGTTTAGTCACACATTTGAGTTGTTACGAAAATGTCCGTGGAAGACTCTTGGGTGTTCGATTCGCTGGTGTGCTTTTTGCACGGACCCATTTGGAATGCTCCGCTCCAGACTTTTATAGAGCAAAAGTCCTTAGGTGAGATTCTATTTCGAGCGTGTAATTGCCAGTAAGCTAAGCGTTTTGATGCAGTCTTCGATCCTAACCTGCAAACGGATGAGAACAACCCAGATATACTCCAGATCCACGAGGAATACAAGAATCTGGTGGATTACATGCTGGGTAGCTTCATGGAGGAGATGCAGATTACGCCGGAGCAGTTTGAAATGGCCTGTTTGGAGGGACGGCAGCAGGGTCAGGGCGAGAATCCATTCCAATTCCACCAAGTGCTATTCCAGCAGGTTAGTGTAGTTGTGAAACTCTCAATCAGCAGTGCCCACCAGATGAGTTCTTCCAGATATGGGCCGCCAATGACCTCAAGATATTCATACGCATGATGACGCAACGAAACGTGGAGCTTCAGTTGCAGGCCCTTGATCTCATCGAGAAAAATCAATTAGCCCAAAGTGCCGCCGATGAAGGGGATGACCGCAGTGCGGACGCGTGCTCGGATCCGGGGTGGGTTATAGTTTCCCCTTAATATAAACCCGTCTTATGCAATTTCACACATATGCACAGCGCTTAATTTAATATCTTAAGCAAAAAAAGAACAGTAAGGTAGTTTCCAGCAGTCAGAAGCTAATTAAAATAAAAGAATATTAAGTCATTTCACCAGAGGCTTTTTATATGTATAGATATATAGTAAAAATATATAGTATATATATATATTTGGTAAATATCTCTTTAAACCATAAATTGCAATCTGTTAGAACTGTTTCTGTTGAAATTGTAGAAAAGGACATTAATTTCAGTTTTTATTCTCTATATTCCGAAATGTTGAGATGTTAGTTGAAGTATCATTATGAAAATATTAGTCATATATATTTATATAAAACCAATCAAAACACTTTATAATTGATCTAAGACACGGAAATCATAGAAGAAAGATCAGTATTAAACAAGTTTTAACCTAAGCTATTATGATTTCCAGCCTGTCGAATATCATATTAGCTGAAGAGAGGACCAGAGGAACAAAACTTGTATATGTGGCTGAAATTATAGTTTTATTATATTTTGTAAAAATCATTGAAGTGCTTAGTTAAAAAAAATATTTATTTTATCATTTGTATATCTGATTGAACATACATACTGTCTACTACAGTGATACCGCCTCCGAAGTGGAGCAAATGATAGCAAAGACGGTGTCCGACGAACTGGAGAGTCCGGAAGCGGCATTGACCCCGGAACAGGATGCCAGTTTGGACCTGGTAAACGACAAGTTCCAGCGGCTGAATCTCTTCTTCGAGCAGGAGGACCATGTGGATCCCAGCGATGTGGTTTCGCGTCAGGAGTACCTGCGGCAGCAACGCGACAAGATCGTGGAGATTAAGAAGCAGACGCGGGCCAAGCAGCTGCAAGAGACCATGTCCCGCGGGACTCCTCATGCTCCGGAGGGTGCACGTCCCAGCTCCGCATTGGTGGCCCAGCAACTGCTGGAGAACGGAGGCCAGACCAAGGAGCTCTCGATGCCGGCCCCTCTGGAGGCCGAGGAGAATGCAGCCCTTCAGCTCAGACGAAATCTTGCCAAGCGGCTGCGCAGCGAAGTGGTGGAACAAAAGTAAAAGGAGGGACGGACATCATATTATCTCTACTATTCCCATTTATTGTAGATGCTTAGCCAGAATTAACAAGGTGCAAAAGGTATTGCGACATGCAGACTAGTTCAGTTGGTGGATGCACAGGGTGTGTCTTATGTTGTACTTATGTGTCCCATCTCCGCTCGCTCATGTCCACACACAGCCAACCCAGCCACGAAGCTGAGGAATGTGTGTGGGCATGGTCGGGCGGAACTATCAATTTTGGGTTACGCTTTTCGTAAAAATAAATATAATGCTTGTGAAGTGTTGCTCAAGAACGGTGTAGATTGCTCTTCTATGTGGGTATGCGATCGCGCAAATAGGACATGATTGCATCGGTGCCCTTCATCAGGATCTGGTGGCGAGGCTGGCGGAAAGGATTGCCCACCAGTTCCAAGTGGCTGGAATCGAAAAGATATATTAGTTCGGGTGCGAATTTCCGGTCAAGATCTTACGTTATATTGGTTAGATTACCCAAAATGGGCGGCACCGCATCAATATCGTTGTTGCGCAAATCCAATGTGCTCAGACGAGGCATGCTTTTCAGACCCGACACATTTAACACTTTGATGTGGTTCTCACTGGCTATAAGGATCTCCAGGCCTTGTAACTCATACACACAGTTGGGAATAAGCTGAAAACTGAAATGTGGAAATGCCGAAATTAAAAATGTTCTTCCATCAAGATAGAGATCATAAATAACAACCCACCGATTGTTTGCAATGTTTAGCTCACGCAGAGTGTTTAAGACACCGAACTCATTTGGCAGATCAGTTAACAAATTGTTAGACAAGTTAAGGTATGTAATACGAGTGAACTGGGAGATGAACTGTGGCACATAGCCGATAAGATTGTTGGACAGCACCAGTTCCGTTACCAGATCTTTCATGTGCTGCAATCTAAAATAATTTCTAGTTAAGTGGAATTTCGAATCTCAGTAATCCTCTGGGACCCACCCATTGGGCAAGGTGCTCAGCTGGTTGCGCGCAAAGTCCACCACATGCACTCCCTCATTTTTGGCGATTTGAAACACCTGGTCGGGCACTACAGTGAGTTCCTCCAGATTGACAGCTAATGTGCGTGTATGACGTAATTTGTATCTGCAAGATGAAGGAAACACTCAAGTAAATATTGAGATAATAAGAAGGTGTACGATATAATAAAAAACAATAGGTGCAAATCTTGGAACTTGGTGATACACTACACCCAACGAGGATCCACAGCTAAGCGAGAGGATTCGTTCTGGCCATAGGTAAACTGCTGTTGTTGCTGCTGCTGGTACATAAAGCAGCTCGGATAGGGATATTGTATTCGCTGATGCTGCTGTTGCACGAAAAGTGATCCTAGGTGGCCATTTTGGTGCTGCTGCTCATAGCTCTCAGGCTCATAAATGTGTGGCTGGGCCTGGCTATGAAATTCCCTGCAATTCCTAATCGGTTCATAAGCACAGAAAGGTTGCGGAGTTTGTTGCTGGCATGAATATGCACACTGATATTGGAACTGTGGCTGGTGGTAGCTACAGTGGCGGAGATCAATGTGCTGGCCTGGCTGAAAGGAAAGCACCAGCTACATACCTATCCGGAAAATTTGTGGGCATATCACCGTCGTCCGATTGGCCAGCACGCAAACGGGTTACACTGATGCCCGCCGATGTGGAGGCACAATCGGATCCAGCTCCCTCCTCCTTGGATTTGGCCAATGCTCTTTCGTGCAGCGTCTTTAAAATCCGTGTCGTTCCACATTGCAGAATGTCGCGACGGATCGTCTTGATGGGATTTCCCTCCACCTGCAGACTGATCAAGTGGGCCAACGAAGACAAGGTGACTGGTAAGACGCTAATCGTATTGTTGGACACATCCAGACGGTTCAGATTGCGCAGCAGGCAGAGTTCATCCGGCAGTTCGGTGATCTTGTTGTCCCGCAAATCGAGTATCTTTAGGTGTGGCAAGTTGCTGCACATAGCTGTTGGTATGGTCTAAAAGCGGCGATTGCAAATAGATTAAGCTTGGAAAACATTCCAAACATTTTAAAATTACCTTTATAAAGTTATTGCTGGCATGCAGTTCGTTCAAGGTCTCGTTGCCCTCGAACTCGGGCAGCTCCAGGATGTCGTTGTGCTGCAGATAAAGGCATTCCAGCTTTCTCAGCAGCCCCATATCCTCTGGCAAGCAGGTCAGGTCATTTTGCATCAGATCAAGCTTTTGCAAAGCTAAACGTGCGAACTTGGATTAGCAAGTATCTGAGGAAGAGGACCAAGGACCACTTACAGCGCATGTTAACAAGATCGGGCGGGAGTTCCTTGACATGATTGTAGGGCAACAGAAGCGCAGTTAGGCGCACCAGGAACCCAATGCCGCCGGGCAGGGATTGAATGTTGTTATGCCCGCCGTCCTTTCGTTACAATTGGGTTAGCAAGCAGTTGGTTAAAGGGGAAAATATCGTTGGGGATTAGTCAGATAAGACACCACAACCAGCATTACATAATTAACTAGTCTACAAGTCTAAACTCGCATTATTTTAATAAAAAATTGATTTGTTAACTTCTCAAAAAGTTGTAGAGGTCTGTATACTAATATCAGAATTTAATGTCTGTATACTTATATCAGAATTTAATATTAGAATGATTAGTTTATAATTAACATTAAATATTAAAATTCCATGGTTTAACGGCCATACATGGCCTTTTTCTTAATCGTTTATACCAATTCTCCATCTAACTCACCAGAAACTCGAGCATGTGAAGGTCACTAATGTCCGGATCGATTTCGTTGAACTGATTGTACGAGATGTTGAGATGCCGCAGCTCCGGCAAACTGTACAACTCACGGGGCAACTGGCTAAGCTTGTTGTGGCTTACATTTAGCCGCATTAGCTTCTCCAGCTTCCCGATTTCTGGCGGCAGTTCCACCAAAGCATTATCGTGCAGCTAAAAAGCATGATTAATATATATTTACAAAACTAAGATTTAATGAAATTAAACACATACTGTAAGCACGGTCAGCGACTGCAGGTTCTCGATCTTAGGCGATAAGTGCATGAGGGTGTTAGAGCTCAGGTCCAGGTTGTTTAATGGCACTTGGTTCCACCAGGCGTCCTCCTCTTTGATTGTTAGCTGTTCCAGATTCGCGGCCTTGCTATCCGCATCCGCCTCGTTGATGTCGTAGAGTCGTTCGGGCACTGAAAAAAAACAGACGTGGAATCAATTAGAGAGCGCTTGTCCTGCAAAGGTACTACACTACAGGCTTCTGCGCGGGACAGCGGCTTGGGATCGTCCAGTTCCAGCTCATCGTCCGGATCCTCGCTTTCCAGCTCGTCTGCCGAGGAGGCCATCTGAAATTCGCGGATCTGGTAGTAGCGACGCCTCCGCGGATAGGGACCGCACATGCAGAACGAGGTGAGCTGTTTCCTGGAGGACGCAATCTTGGGTGATGGTTGCTTGGAGTCGCTCATTCGACGTCGACCAGCTCCCTGGGCAGACTGAATCGAGCGATGACTGGCTTCTGGACGCACCCCTGGAGCACCTTTATGGATCGGTTTGAGGCGCGGATGCTGTCCAGTCAAGCGGCAAATATGTTCCCAGCCTTTTTCGGCCGCTCCAAGGTCAAGTTCGAGATCGAGATTGCGATCGCTATTACCTCACATGAACTGGAACCACAAGGCGCTGCTGTCGACAAAGCCGGGACTCCATGACACCAGCCCCTCCGGATTCGATCGTCGCGGGACCTTGGACTTCCAGCGACGCAGTTGCTCCTGGGTCACTACTGCTTGCAGGCCCCTCAATGTAACTACATTCAAGTGGATAATACAGTCGAAACTCTATGACTCAAAGCCTTTGGGATTTTAGATTTTATTTTTAATGGATTTCCTTAAAAAAACATAAACATTTACTATTTTACATTACACTTTAATGACTAGTAAAGAAAATGTTTGTTGCTCATAAATAATTGTAATGTAGAAGCATAATTTAAACGGTATTTCAGCATTTTATGTAGTTTTAAATCCGAAACTTTTTATATTTATGTATTTACATACAGAAATTGATGAAAATTAAATGTATTTATGAATAAATATAAAGTCTTTAGAAAAATTATAAATGAATATTGTCAAACGCTTGTCATAAAATTATTACAAAAAATCCAATTAAAAGTTTTAAAGTTAAAGTCCTTATTATTTTTTTAAACTCGAGTTACAGAGGTTCGACTATATTGAGATAAAAGATGTAATGCACCCCGTGGACTCACCTCTGGCCAATGCCTTGTTGGAGAGATTCAGGGTGCCCGACTTCCGCGCCAGTTTCCACAATTCCTGGGTGAGCACGGAGTTGTCCTCGGTGCTGGTCCTCTCGTGAAACAGCGGCCGAAAGGAGTAGTTGGGCTTGGGCGAGTGGGACATTTGGCGCGGACTAGAGGCGCACCGGGGAATGCGGCTGGTGGTGGATGAGGGGATCCCACCGGGCTGGTGACCCCGTCCACGGCCCATCCTGTCGCTCATATCGCTGGGACAGCCGTAGTGGGTGAAGCAGGAGTGGCCGAAGGAGTCGAAGTCGCCGCCAAATGCGGATGCCTGGTCACATTCCTGCGCTCCCTGGAACGAGCTGAATTCCACCTCCTCTGGATTCGTAAAGCTGCCGGGGATCACGGGACAATTGGGTAAGTGGGACGCTAAAAAGCCACCGAATTGTAGGTAAATTCGGTTTTGTCCAGATTTTGCGTCGTTTTATTTTGGCTCACTGTCGGCAGTCAGCTGTTCGTCGTGCGCTTTACAACACTGGTCGGTTTTGTGTTGCTGATGTTCAACGGTAACTCTTTTAAATCACCAAACGCCGTTACAATCTGGTTTTAATGACGGTCCTCAAAAAATATTCTTTTTGTTTTTTGTTCATTAAAACATCCCACATTTGTATGCCTTACTTAAATTATTAAGTAAACTATTAAAACTCAAAATCAAATTTGCTTGCTTTAACAAAAATAAACTAAAAATAGTTTTTTATATAAAATTGAACCTACTTTTACTTTTACTAAGATTGCAACATTCAAACTTTTGTTTATATTCATTTTAGTTTCTAATTCAATACTAAAAATGTCTGGTAAAATAAAAATATGACTTTTACAATTTATAAATTAAAATTAAAATCACGCCATAAGCTAATACAGCTAATTTGTAGTTAATGAATTTAAAAACATCTGTAGTATTTTACGATTACAAAATTGAAATCAATTTGTTTCCACAAGAAGCGGCAGCTTTTGAAAACGGTGCACCTGCTCAGCCATGCAATATGCATCTGAATAAATTAAAACCCAGACCCAGACGCCCCCCAGAACGGTAATTGATTTGATCGTGAACATAAGTCTGGGCTGGGTGTGTGCAATCCGTAGTCCACAAGCAGATTAAAGGCTTAGGCTAAGTCGGTACTTACTTCATTATCTTCTTGGGCACCCGTTTGCCAATCTGTTTGGCTTCGGTTTCTGCGGGAGACAAAAGATACCCAGTTACTTTGGAGCAAGGTCAGCCGCAAAAGTCAGTCAGTGGGGTGTATTAGATTTCCGTTGTTAAGTTCTACAAATAGTACACCCCCTCAAGTACACCCATACCCCCCTAAAAATGGGTGGTTGACGAAGCGGCAAAAATGCTGAGCCACTTGTCTTTGCGCCATACCCATTGCAATGGGTCTCAGTCTGGCAATGGCTATGGAACAGGGGCATAGTACACTTAGTACACCGGCGTGGCCACGTCGACTGTCAATCAAAATTATGAATAATGCCGGGTCGGTGGTTGCCACCAATTGGCCGCCTTCCCCATCCATCCATCCATCCCCTACTCAAAGTGACGAGGTGCAAAGCCCGCGGAGCTCTGGCCAGTTGTCATTCGGTTCTCATCGCAAGCGGACCGACCACGTGACATAGTTTCGGTTTTCACTGATTGCATCACTTGCAGTTCGGACTATCCTGAGTCGAGCCCAAGGAGATCCCCGACTCACACTTGTAATATCCACGCAATGGCTGCCGGTGTCTTCAAGAGCCTTATTCGAGACTTCTTTGCGGTCAGTTGATGGACTAATCATCCACGTGGGTTCTCAATTTGTAACTAAAGATTTTTTTTTTAAATTTTACCAAAGATTTCTAAAAGTTACCCAAAGGTTGCTGACAGAATTTTAAATGAAACCTAAATAAATGTTGGAATTGCAGTAAAAGAAATGATTTGAAGCGATAGAAAATGTAGGACGTTCAAGAAAGTTTTATGCGATTTTATTGTATGCTTAATGGTTTTTTCTTTAATCATATTCAATTTTTATTAAATTATTTTTTACTAGACCATGCAATAATCTATTTTGAAATAAAGTTTGATTTTTTAAATCTTATATATTATATTATTGTAAGAGTTAAAGATTTATTATATATTTCATTCACCAATGTCGTTGTCAAATTAAACGTTGCCAATTAAACCTAATTATATATTTGGAATATTAAATTTTGACTTAATAAGGAGGCCCTTCTATAAAATAATGATTTCTTATAGTTGAGACTCGACTATAGTTAAGACCCCACAGTAGTTGAGAACTATTCCAGCTGTTGAAATGTTTGGAATGTGGGAAATCGGGACACTTGGCGACTGGATAATCCCTGCTAATCCACGGCAAGAATGCAGCTAGCTTAGGGCGTTCAATGAAGGCAGCGAAAAGCGTAAAATCCCAACCGCATTTACCCACAGGTAAAATACGACGAGCAGCTGAACGATCCCCAAGCGGAGCGACTGGATGGCAATGGAGGGCACTATCCCAATTGCTCCTCGGATGTCTGGCTGCGATCCTGCGAGCGTGAGATAGTGGACCCCATCGAGGGACATCATAGTGGCCACATTCCGCGATGGATAAGCGGCAGTCTGCTGCGCAACGGACCCGGCAGCTGGAACGTGGGCGACATGACCTTTGGCCACCTCTTCGACTGCTCGGCCCTGCTCCATCGATTCGCCATCAAGAATGGACGTGTGACCTACCAGAATCGATTTGTGGACACAGAGACGCTGAGGAAGAATCGTTCTGCCCAAAGGATCGTCGTCACAGAGTTCGGAACGGCCGCTGTGCCCGATCCCTGCCACTCAATCTTTGACAGGTTTGCTGCCATCTTCCGACCGGACAGTGGGTCGGACAACTCGATGATTTCCATCTACCCCTTTGGGGACCAGTATTACACCTTCACAGAGACACCATTCATGCATCGGTAAGTAAACTTATTTTGGAACAGAACACAATAATGTACCCTGAAATATTAAAAACTGGTTTTTAAAATGTAAAGAAATCGGGGTAAAACCGACGGGTGTTCGAAAACCGACTTCCCCGAACTATCTTATCTTCTTTATATATAAATTATTTTGCATTATTCATATATTTTTTCTATAATTGTTTCAGAATCAATCCCTGCACTCTCGCCACCGAAGCGCGGATCTGCACCACTGACTTTGTGGGCGTGGTGAACCACACTTCGCACCCGCACGTCCTGCCCAGCGGCACCGTCTACAACCTGGGCACCACAATGACCAGATCTGGGCCAGCTTACACCGTCCTCTGTTTTCCGCATGGCCGCCAGATGTTCGAGGACGCCCATGTGGTGGCCACGCTGCCCTGCCGCTGGAAACTGCATCCCGGATACATGCACACCTTCGGTTTGACGGACCATTACTTCGTGATTGTGGAGCAGCCGCTGTCCGTATCCCTGCCGGAGTATATCAAGGCCCAGTTGCATGGACAGAATCTCTCCGCCTGCCTCAAGTGGTTCGGGGATCGGCCGACGCTCTTCCACCTCATCGACAGGACCTCGGGAAAACTGGAGCAGACGTACGAATCGGAGGCCTTCTTCTACCTACACATCATCAACTGCTTCGAGCAGGACGGTCATGTGGTGGTGGACATTTGCTGCTACAGGAACCCCGAGATGATCAACTGCATGTACCTGGATGCCATAGCCAATATGCAGACGAATCCCAATTATGCTACCCTCTTCCGGGGACGCCCTTTGCGATTTGTCCTGCCGCTGGGAACGGTTCCCAGGGCGAGTTCCGGAAAGCGGGGACTGGTCAAGTCCTTCTCCCTGGCTGGGATCAGTTCTCCGCAGATTTCCCGCACCATGAAACACTCGCTTTCGCAGTTTGCGGACATCACCTACATGCCAACAAACGGCAAGCCGGAGAATTCTGGTGAGGAGAGCCCCAGCAGAGATTCCAAACGGGGTCGCTATGAGCAGGCGAATCCGATTAATCTGGTGACTCTGGAGGGCAGTCAGGCTGAGGCTTTTCAACGATCCGCCGGAATCCGACTGCGTCCGGAAATGCTCTGCGATTTGGGCTGTGAGACGCCGAGGATATATTATGAGCGGTACATGGGCAAGAAGTATCGCTACTTTTATGCCATCAGCTCCGATGTGGATGCCGAGAATCCGGGAACGGTAGGTAGTTCCGAGAAACTTATACGGTATATTATGGAATTCCATTTGAATAGCTCATCAAAGTGGATGTGTGGAAGAAGACCTGTCTGACCTGGTGCGAGGACAATGTCTATCCCAGTGAGCCCATTTTTGTGCCCTCACCAGATCCCAAATCCGAGGACGATGGCGTCATCCTGGCCTCCATGGTGGTGGGTGGTCTCAACGATCGCTATGTGGGCCTGATCGTCCTGTGTGCCAAAACCATGACCGAACTGGGTCGTTGCGACTTTCACACCAATGGACCGGTGCCCAAGTGCCTCCATGGATGGTTTGCCCCCAATGCCATTTAGCACCGTATTTCTACCGTTTGTATGGAAAGATCATTAAATTTGGGGTTAATGTTCTTACTGCCCGCCCAGTATTACGCATTGGAGTAGACTAGAGACTTTTGTATTAGCTTAAAACTTGGGATTCAAAACGTTTGCAATAAACTCATGCCACTTGCGCTGGAACACCCGATTGATCTTGCGTCGCTCGTCCGAGGTGAGCACTGAGTACTTCAGAGAATTCAGAGCCAGTTGCTTGAGGAACCGCAGATCCGCCTCTGCCGGCGCCAAGGCCATGAAGGCGTAGTAAAAGTCATAGCTCAGACCCTTGGCCCCCCAGACTCCTGGATCATCGGAGGATATTACGATGGGAAAGTTCTCGGCCACCAGGAAACTGGCCGGATGGTTCCGCAGATCCCAGACAAAGCCCAAAACTTGGTTGGAAATGGGGTTCACCTCGATGGCGATGTTGCGCTTCTTGATGGTGGACCACAATTGTGGATGCTTCGGCAGGGCAAAGGCATGTCCAATGCGCTTTGTATTCAGCAGAATGGCATCCATCATGTTCCAGTCGGTTCGCCCATGCCAATCTAGGGGTAAGTTTATTTGGTTTATTCCAAAAATATTGTTTCTTTTGCATTACTTACTCGTCTCGCCGGCGTGAAAGAAATAGTTGGCCGTGCTGGGCAGATCGGACAGTTGGTTGACATACTTGTTCAGAGGATCTCCAGTGTCCTCCTGGCCAATCAGATCGAATCCAATCACAAAGTTCGGCTTGGCATGACTTTGGAAAAATAAATGATGAGATAACTTTAACTGGCCATTATAAGTCTACGCTTTCCATTTCAAAAACAAAACAAAAAATGAGTATCACTAAAGTTTGGACAACAGACTTACATTGTAATAGAATTTTTAATTTTAAATCCAAAAATATTGGATGACTTAGGCAATACGACCTATATGTTATAGTATTTATATTTATATTAAAATTCTGGTTATTGTTTCTATGCTTACAAACTTATAGAGAAGTAATGGGTTTTATAAAGAAAACTGTTTTCCGAAACTGATATACATTGATAAACTTACTGAAGTTGCTTGAACGTCGTGATGCGTCTCAGCATCTCCTCCTCTGAGGCCCGATTCCGCTTGGCATATATCACTTTGAGGCCCACAAAGTCATGGTGCTTGGCCTTGAACTCTTCCACAATCCGTTCCAGCTCGTTGGCCACCTCCAAGGTGCTCAAAGTGCGGTTGTTGTCGTCGTAGAGCTGTAGATAATAATTATAATAAATAAACATAATATTATTACTTACTAGGATAAGAGTTACCCACAGGCGACAGGGAAGCTCGGATCTCCGCATAGATGATGTTGTCTTCACACAGCTCCTCCAGCAGACGCTTGTGGAAGGCGCAGTAGGTGGGTCGGTATTTGTAGAGCCGATCCACGGTGGTAAAGATGTTCTCGAAGCGCTCCCAGATTTTTTTGCGGTTCGGCAAGAGGGCTTGTTTATTGAGATTTCAAGTTATAGGATCAATACACGCGAAAAGAACAGATGGTATACGCACCTTCTGGCCTTGGTCCGAGCATATTGATGTGCTTCTCCAGCTGCCGTTCGTACTTGCCCCGATCCTCGGCGTTTATCCGCTCGGTGCAGACATTTTGCACCTCGCTGTGGCATCCAATCTGATCGTAGGTGAACATTAGCAGTCCGTCTACGTTGCGACAGGTGTACAGGTTGTTGGTGGTGGTCAGGTTCTGGATGATCCACCGCGAGGTCACCATGCCCGTGTTGTGGCCGTGCAGGAAGGCGCCCTTCGGCATCTTCTGGATCATCCGGAAGACCTCGCTCTGGCGCACGTACTGCCTGCCCTGGAAGAAGTGCATCGCCGGGGCGTACTTCTCCGGCGTCTTGAGGCCCTCGGCGATCTCCGCCCGCTTCGCGTTCATCAGGATGCTGTTGGCCTTCTCCTCGTCGGACGACAGCCAGATGTTGCCCCCCAGCGAGGCCACCCGCTCCGCCTCCATGATCTGCTCCCTCAAAGTTTCATATGCTGCTGGGTGAAAAAGTCGTATTAATTCAAGGTTCATAGCTTTGTGGCTTTAAATATATATATTTTTCTTTTGCAGATCTAAAAGTCTTGGACGTATATAAAATTTTAATTTAAAGTTAATAAGATATAATATAGAGTAAGCTCAAAACCATTTTGCTTAAGGCGAAAAACTTGTTATTAATATAAATATTTTTTAAAAGTGTGGAATAATTGTAAGGAGGAGATAACTTCACCTAGAAGAGAATCACAGAAGATCAATAGTTGATCGTAGTCAGTTGCACGTCGTTAGATCTAGTCAAGTCCCTAGTGCTAGAATTAGACCTAATATATTAAATACATAATTACATATACTTAACCACTATTCAATAAAACGATATAACATCCATTTTGAAGAAAGCAATACTTCTCCTGAATCTATTATTTACGAAATTTGAATCATAATCTGTTTTTCCATTAGTTACGTGTTTGACTTACATCCACGTAGATGCTATGAGATTACCGTTGTTTGTTGTTTGTTTACTGAGCCTCTTTTAAGATGTGGAGCTTTTAAAAATTCAACAAAAATAAGACCTGAACTAAAAACCGTGAAGATAAGAACTCAGCAATCATAATTTAAACACATGTTATTGGGAAATGTATTGTGTGATTGGCTTGAAATACAGAATTCGTAGAAGTCGTAGGTCTCGAAATCGAATAGCTAAAACTCAACAACAATATGATATTGTTTATTAAGAAAGTTTATCACTCATACGCAGTTTCTATTACAGATTGCACATCACCACACCACAATAAAAAATTATATTTCCGGAGCACCTTAGAACTTTAGCGAACTGATGTCTGATAACAAATATTTATTAATGGAGCACCTTAGAACTTTAGCGAACTGATGTCTGATAACAAATATTTATTAATGTTATTTTTGTTTTAAATCATTTAAGGTTTTTGTTAACACATTTCGCAGGTCTTTCGAAGGAAGTTAGGGACTTAAGAACCGGACTTACGTAGGTCCGTGGCCTGCAGCCTGCCAAACAGCATAACCACACAGGCTACCCAAACTGCCAGTAGCAACATCGCCTTCCAGTAACCTCGGTTCCGCTTTTGGAATATACGCCGTACTTATTTGATGCGCGTCTCTTGGCGATCGCCAGGCAACTGATAATGCCTCCCGTTTGGAACTGACCCGTATACGGATTTGTGTAATTTCCCTCTGATCATGATCTTGGTCGCTGTGGAAGCAGCTTCTGTTATCTGGCATCTGGTGCAGTTCAATGACGGGGACTAGTCCGCTCCGGAATGGGGCGCGAAATGTTTGAATGCCCCCGGGTTGACACTTTCGTTGGCACTGGCCGGCCCCCTCCATCCAATTTGCAAATAAATTTCGTGACGTAGCATGGTCAGTGCCAAAATGCCCTACGCAAAAACGATACTGTGTATGGAGCATAAACGAACCTTCAGGTAAAACATAATGTAGCGCATCATTAGAGCTCGACAGGCCGACCATCTATGCTTCCATCAGTAAAGCTATGTTTTTACACATATATCGTGGGTATATTTTTGCAAACCCAATTTGCTTTGTTTACCCGCCGAAATTATACTTGACATTGAACGCGAAATGGGGGCATCAGGGCATCGATTATAAAAGCGAAATCACCTGGAAATATAATCTTTTTCAAGGTAAATGTAGTAATTTATAGTTCAAAATATAAGTCTATACTATATATACAATACTACACTAATAAGGAAGGTCCATAAATTTGCTAATAATAGCTACTTATTATTGAGATACTATGTTTATTCTTGTTCAACTGACTATTATAAAAGTTTTGTTGTTTAAGATTAAAAAACTAAAATAGAGACCTTAAAAATTATTTTGTTTATTACTTAACGCTTCAATTTGTTGTTTTTAATAAAGGGTGGTTTTTCTTAATATTTAATGATAAGGCTACTTTATTTAATTAAAGAAAACTTTACTCGTAGATGGTTTATGGCATATGCTATTTTTTCTGTCATGCTCACCAAATATTTAAATGAATAATCTTTGTTTTCGTTTGCATTTCCCACAAAACAAATTTTGTTTTCAATTTAACAACAAGTTTTAATAATAGCAATAACAAAGTAAGCCCGATGAAATTACACTTTTTTAGATAATGCCACCTACGGTTTAGTAACAAACAAGCCAGCCCAAAACAAACATTACAGGCACTTTAAATGCCTTTTTTGAACAACCTTTTTGATGTGTAAGCGGGGATAATTGTCACATCTGTAATTACCGTAAATGTCATAGGCATCCAGGCGACTTTGTTGGGTTGGGGGAACCGAGGAACTTGTAATTCCATCGTCGTATGCTGGTAGTAGAAACCAACAACCGCGTCCGCCAACGTCAGTGAAAATTTGCCAAAATAGAAAAATACAAATAGTTAAAAATCAGCGAGCGACGGGCGCGCGCGCCTTCGTCATTTTAAATCACTTAATATGCACGGGAGGCATTCAATCACGGAGATATATAAAAAAGATACCCAAACAATCCATCCAGCTACTAGAATGAAATTGTTTCGGCAATTCCGAGCTCAGGGGTGTTGTCAACCGTTAAGAGTCGCGGAGGGTGGTGTCCCCAGCTCCACCTCTTCTGGTTTAATCTTTTAATGAGCGGCAGGCTTCGCTGAATGATTTTGACAAAAATTATAGTTGATTTTCGCCTTTCTTGGTTTGCACAGTTCGAACACCAGCTTTCGGCGATGGTATCCACAGTTCTAATCGGGCACTTCTGGCGAGCGGTCGCAAAGAGAAAACAATTCCCCGTCCAAGACCCAAGTTAATAATAATAATAATAAGTCAACGTGTCCGTAGTCGAGTCAATATTTGGATAGTGCGCTCGTTAGCTGGACAGGAAAATCACATAAGTAAAAGCCTTTTCACACGATGAAGCTATTAGTGTTTTGGCTAGTCTTTCTGATTTCACAACTACAGATCCAGGCCCAAACCCAGCTAAGTATGATTTCCTCTATTCACCGTTTTGCCCATGCCAATTTGAGACTCTTTCAAGAACAATTTTAATTATTAAGTTGGACTAAATAAAAGAATATGAATACAAAACTTAAATATGATAGAAACAAGAAAGAAATGCTTAAATGTGAAAACTAAACTACTACAAGTTTAGTTTTAATAAGTGTGTCTTGAAAATAAACTACAGCAGTATTCAAGTTCAAGTACTATTTCAATACAAAATAATATAACCCCTATACTTTCAAATATTGTTTCTATATCAAAGAGACTAAAACTGTAGTTTAAGGCCTTATTTTTAAACCACTTAAGTTTTATTTTGTTACCTTCGTGAAAATAATTTAATACTCATTTTATTGGGAAATTTTTCATACCCAATAATTTAAAATTCATGTAACAATAGTATAGTATCTGACAATTTTTATTTTGGCTGTACTGATTCAAATTTGAAATGAGATATTATATATATAATTAAAGCCGTTCCCACCATATCCTTAGGCTATGAGCAAGCTCGCCAGGCGGTACTTACGGCGGAGGAGGAGCTGATGACTGGTGGACACACATACCTGAACACCCAGGAGGCCAAGGTGGACGACATATTCATGGAGTACAAGCTCGGGGAGCTGGCCCAGGGGTTCCGAAATGCGGAGCAGAATGCAGCAGCTCTGCACTTTTTCAAGGCCAAGCCGCTGATCGATCGAAGTGGCGTCTTCCGGTTCCTTCAGAAAATGCCCAAGGGATCGGTCCTACACCTGCACAACAGTGCCTCCGTGAGCTCCAAGTGGGTGGTGGACGACCTGTCCTACATGTCCGGACTGCTGCGCTGCACCACGGCCACGGGCCGAAGTGTCCTGACATTCCGGCGATCGCCACAGAAGCACAAGTGTCAGTCGCAGTACGTCCGTGTTTCCGACGAGCGGCGCAACTCCTTGGATCGCCAGGTCTACGATCAGAATTTCGAACGTCTGATCAACTTATATACCCCAGTGCCAGAGCGTAAGTTGGGGGTATCTTTGTGAAAATATCCTTGTTATTTCTGGAAATTCGTTTTCAGTGGAGTACCCAACCATAACCCATGTTTGGGATCGGTTTCAGGACATGTTTGACGTCCTCGGCGATGCAATAAGCTATTTGCCAGCTTTTCGTTCTTATCACTGGCAGATGCTCGAGGAGCTCTACAACGACAATATTATGTACGCTGAGATTCGGACGAGTTGCAAGACGGTTAGTAGTAACAAATAAAAAACATCGAGACTTAACATAGCGACTTTTTAAATTTTACCGAAACTTTGAGTATATATTGTAAAGCTGCTAGGCGTATTTGCAGCGATATATAATTATAGCATTATATCACTATGGACTTATATATTTTTGCAATAACTGAAAGGGTATATCAAATTAGGCCTTTCTTAGTAAGCTTTCTTTCTCGTTTACAATATAATAATACAATATATATATAATATACCTTTTTAGCTATATGACTCCAGTGGACGCACTTTTCCCCGGGAGCGTACTATCCGAGAGTTATACGATCTAAATGAGAAGTTTGTGAAGCTGCACCCCGACTTTCTGGGATTCAAAGTCATCATTGCGGTCTTTCGTGGCTACGAAATGGATCAGCTTAAGGAAAACGTTGAGGAGTTTAGACAAATGCAGTAGGTTTGGTAGTCTATATAAAGAATAATAACGTTAATAGACTCTTTACAGCCGAGCTTTGCCCCATTTCGTTGTTGGATTTGATTTGGTAGGTCAGGAGGATAAGGGAAAACCACTTTATAGTTTGCTGCCTGCCCTGAAGGATTTGCCTCCAACCGCTCGCCTTTTCCTGCACGGCGGAGAGACCAGTAGGTGGTGTTCTCATGAGTTCACTCTATCGACTATATAATCCTCTCCTTACAGATTGGTTTGGTGCCTCCACGGACATCAATCTGCTAGATGCTCTGCTGCTCAACACCACTCGAATCGGCCATGGTTACGCTCTGGCCAAGCACCCTATCCTGCTGAATGCCGTCAAGACCCGCCAGATCGCCGTTGAGGTGAGTCCCATTTCGAATCAGGTGCTGCATCTGGTTTGGGACCTTCGAAATCATCCGGGAGCCCAGTACTTGGCCCTTGATGTGCCCGTGGTGATATGCAACGATGACCCCGGGTTCTGGAATGCCAAGGGTCTGAGCTACGACTTCTACTACGCCATCATGAGTCTGGCACCCAACAATGCGGGTTTGAGAGTGCTCAAGAGTCTGGTGTGGAACTCGGTGCGATACTCCACGCTGACGGAGGAGGAAAAGTCTCGTGCCTTCCAAATCCTGGAGCTCAGCTGGTCGCGTTTCATTGACAAGGTGTTGCAGGGCAAAGTGTTCTAAATAAAGCTCAAATTAAATTTATTTACCAAAGAAGTAAAGATTTTTTCGTGAGAGCTCTTATTGGGTGATTAGGCTTTTATCTTTATATTAATTTTAAGACATTTAAATCATTATAATTCAATTAAATTAATCATTTTTGTAATACCCACTGAGTTTAAAAGCTTTGGAATTATATCAAATTAAATATTAGTTTCAAATATTATTAAAGTTCATGGATTAGTCTGAAGCATCTCATCCTCCTTGCGTCCAATGTAGCTACCCAGCAGTTCAATCTTACAGTTAGGACTGGGACTCAGCCCAGCTGACATATGCTGAAGTTCCATCAAGTTGCTGTCATCCATGGCGAATACGTAATCAAAGTCATAAAAGTCTTGTGAAGTTATCTGAACAAAAAGTTGAAAATATTACAAAGAGTCAAGGTGTCTTTTAAATGCAACACTACCATACGTCCCAAGTGTTTAGTTTTAAGTCCATGCTGTTTAAGCAATTGCTGACCACGTGCCTGAGGCTCTACGCCCACATTCCAATCCCTGAGTCCAGCGCTATCCACATGCCAGTCCTGAAGGTCCTGCTTTTGGATCAAATGCTTCAGGATGGCCTCGGCCATTGGAGAGCGACATGTGTTGCCTTAATCAAAAGTACACCCTTTAATTTGCAATTAAACGATTTGATTTGTTGACACTTACCAATGCACACAAACAGAACCTTCATACTTACGGTGGGAACTGCAAGTTCCGATGACTAATGCAGCTGATTCATTTAATAATATATACACCGGTTCACGTTTCATATCAGCATTTATTACTTTAACTATATCACAACATCTTTTCATATTATTTACTTCTGTAGGCGCTCTTTCATGAAGGCGGCACATGCCACCACGCATTGCTGATAGGCAGTTTCAAAGCCCTCCGCTCCACGCTCCTGAAAATACAAATGATAATCATATTAAAATTGTTTTTGTTTATTATATTTAATTTTTAAAAGACTTTTATAGTACCATATATCAATCTTAAATTTTACTTATAGTCAAAATACTTCAGACTTATGATGGTAACGCATTAAAATGATTGGGAGGGAGGATTATAGTGCGTTTTAAAGACACAAATATAAATTTTATCGACTGAGAAATCTCAACTAATTTTATCTCTATTGTTTGATTTATCTTTCTAATAAATACTTTAGACTAAAGATGGAAAGTAATTGTCAAGTTAACCCAGCAATGTGTAACCTTACATAGTAGGGATCCTCGATGATGCGGTTCTTCTTCTCCAGCCCGAAATCGCCGAGCATCAGGAGTTCGGCCTTGGAGTCCTTGGGCGCCAAACGCTTCAGCTCGCTCATGTTGTCCTCGTCCATGCCGAAGATGAAGTCGAAGTCCGAGAAGTCCTGCTTCCGGATCTGGCGGACTATGTGGGAGCACTTGAGGCCGTGCTTCTGCAGCGTGCTGATGGCCCGCGGATCGGCCCGGTTGCCCACGTGCCAGCCTCCAATGGCCGCGCTGTCCACCTCCACGTCCTTGACCTTGGCCTTTTCCAGTGTGTCCACCATGACGACCTCTGCGATGGGCGATCGGCAGATGTTACCTGCAAGATCAAAATTTCGCCTTTTTAGGGTCATCTACTATTTCAAAGACATCTCCTTTATTACCCAAACAAATCATTAGCACTTTCTTGACCATGTTTCAAACAATTTGCAAGGGATTGAACTGACAAACAATTTTGTGTGTTGATTTTTTCCGGCTAGCGAACGAGTGTTCCGAATTTGGCAGCCCTGGTCCCGGTACTCCGAACTAGTTGGAAACGCGGCAGTCAGCTGTTGATTAACCCTCGTGCGGTCGTGGGGTTGATTTACAAAATCTCCTTTAGGAGCGCTTGTTTCAGGAAATGCTGGCACGCAATCTCACACTGCTGGTAGATTTTTACAAAAGGTGCTTCGCCCACATTCTGCATGAATCAATAAAGTGTATATTAAATATTTTTGATAAAAAATAAACAACAATATTATATAATTAAAATAATTGCTTTATAATATAGATTTTTAATGCATAAATAAATTACCTTTTATATAATTAACATATTAATTTTAAGTCTAAACTCAAAGTATTTAAGGAAGTACTCATAATTTAATTTCTTAATTTCATAAAATCAATGCTTACGTAATATGGGTCTTCAATAATGCGTTCATCCGGCTTTAAGCCAAAATCCCCCAGCAGGAGAAGCTTGGCCGTGCTATAATGCGGAGCCAATCGCTTTAGGGCAGCCAAATTGCTGCGATCCATAGCAAAGATATAGTCGAACTTGGTGAAGTCCTCTGGAATAAGTAGCCTTGCTCTGCCATGGTACTCGATGTTGTGGCTGGCCAGCACAGTAAGGGCTCGTTCATCTGGTCTCCTGTCGCAGTGCCATCCTTCGATTCCGGCGCTATCCACATGCCACTCCCCCTGAAGCCCCGCCCTTTTCACTACGTCAATCATAACAGCCTCGGCCATTGGGGAGCGGCAAAGGTTGCCTGCATGTGCCGTTCATTTGCATATTAATTAACCAAAAATGCAAGGATTAATATAATACAAGAGGGTACACACCCACGCAGACCATCAGCACGCTGCTCTTCTGTGATCTTCTTCCCATGGCTCACAGTTTGATATTTTGGGAGTGTTTTTTCTCTTCCCGAACTATGTGGACTGAGAAATTTGGGCGGTCTCGGAAATGTAATAGTCAATGGGTGTGTTTAAGTACAAAAGTGTTTAAAAACGTGTGTCGAAAAACGTTATTGATATCTGTGAAAAAATGACATCTGAAACAATAAACACTGCGTTTAATATTCATACCTTTCCAAAAAAGATGTTTCTGTAATTTATTTATTATATCAATATCAATTTATTGTATGTTCGATAAGAATAAACTTTCAATTAAATTAAATCTTGATTTGCATCTACATGTTTTATTTTTAAAATTCGAAGTAGCAATGGGTACAACTTTAAAATATGCTTTAAAAAATTATGTTCTTAACAACAACATTGCTGATCATGTTCAAAAAAATCTTTTAGCTTTCGATAATGCATAAATAATTCTACGGTTTCGCTTTGTAAGTGCCCTTTTAACAATTGTCAAGAAATTGTTAATGATAGCCTGAACAAGACATGTAAACATTTCTGAGATATAAACAATCTCCGGATTAGTCTACACCTGTGTAGTCAGCACTGAGGATGCGAGCTCAGTTTGGCCGTTACACTCTGTCAAGTGGTTCCTAGTTCGGATCACACCTCTGGCTCTTCCGGCTGCCTGGTGCATGCACCACATCCTGTTTATCCAGCGTATGTGCACTTCGAAAACTCGGACTAAAACCTGCGCTTGAAGCAACTTTAACTATTAGCATTTAATTAAAGTTCATTTGCCGGCGACAGACTAGGTCACTTCCACCCACTCTGTTGGGGGAATGGTGTTGCCCAGAGGAATGAAGAGATGTTCAACTCTGGCCTCCGTTCTGGTTTCGGTTTGGCATTGGGTGGCCCATGAACATGCAAGCTGCACCTGCTGCTCAAAGGACAGACTGGACCTAAAATAAATAAATAAAGTTGCTTTTTATAAATAAATTCGGTTTGAGTTTTATGCAAATTCTACACAACCATCAGGGGCAAACAAAAGCCAGACGAAATGCATGTGCACAAACTTTGCCAAGTTGCTGTTGTAGCCGTAGTTGTTGATGTTGCTGTAGCTGTTGCTGCTGATGTTGATGTTGCTTTTCCTGGTAGTTGGGGGCGGCTTTGATGGCATCAAAGTGAGCTTGTCGTTGTGCAGACAAATGTTACGTACTCTCGTCACACTCTTACATATGCAAATTTCCCTTGCCGGCGCAGTGCTGCAGTGCGTCCTCCACAATTGACAATTGTTGAAAATGCAAATGGAAATGGAAATGCCAAGACATGTGCCCAACAGCCACACCAGCAATTCATACATATGCCGTTGATATGAAGCCATGGACGAGGGTTAAGAGGTAGAGGTAAAGAGGTATAGAGGTATAGACAAATGCAAAGGCGTTGTCTCTACTATCATCATCCGGCGACGACATCTCCTCAGATAAGATAAACGATGGCAGAGTCAACAGTAACAGAAATAATGTACGAAAAGAAATTAAATAATATTTGTAATATAGGACAGAGATATGTAAAGCAAATACAATCACAATTAAACTTGGCCAAAAGATTACTGAAAATTTGTTCAATTTGGTTCCTCCAATTTTTAAGGGATTCTGAAAAAAACATTTTAAAATATTTAATTAATCTATAACAAATTAAAAAGGTGTATAAAAATGTGCGGTCAATATGGTAGCCCAAAAAAATTGTTTTTATTACCGTTCATAAAAATATATTGTGTTATTAAGCCGGTAGATCATTTTTTTTAGATATACAAATATATTTTAGTTTTGAACCAATTCTATAACTCGAAGTTTCCTACTTAATATATTTAAAAGTATTGTGTAACTATTGAAGCCCCTAATACGAACGGAAAGTGTGTTTTAACTGAATAAGACTTTGGTACAGTACTTTGGTCTTTAAAAAATTGTTTTAATATAAGTATGAAAATTTCTTTATAGTTTTGTCCACTGGTTTTCTCAGTGCATTAGGGTAAGGTCAATGTAAATAATGAAAACGGCATACGTAACACACCGCAGGCCAAAATAAGTTCTCAAGTGCAAATGAGGTGAATGACAAGAGGTACGAAACCATCATAACCTCTGACCTGTCTCCCGGCGACCCAAAACTCCCACTCGGCTGACAGTCGAGAGCAAACATGTCCGAGATGAACATCCATTCTGCATTTGGCAAATGAAAAGCGGGAAAGCTACAGCTGATGTAGTAGCTGGCAGACAGCTTGTCTATGCATCGCTATCTCTATCCATCTGGGTCTCTACCAGATGTATCTGGAATCTGGTATCCGTATCTTTCTCTCTGTCTGCCTTTTGCAGCTTCATCAAATATTTAGCGCCAGGCAGGCGTCTTTTTTCCCGGGGGACAGAATGTTGGGACGGAGGGACGGAGCCATACAAATAAGCGCATTCATTGTGTTCGTTCAGTGTAAATACGAAACGGATGTAGCACTGCTTGGAAAATAACAACTTTGAAAACTTAAGAGCCGACCTCGACTGTTGTGATACTGTAAACAGTTGATAAGAGAAAGTTTATTGGGCATACGGAGACCCTTTAAAAATATTTTAATTAACCAATTATGTATGAACTTAACAATAAGTATTCACTATATTTTTTATAAATAAAAAATTAGTTAGCAAATGATAGTATTTATATTTGTGGCACCTCTTGAACCCTGGACTTACACAAAAGTAACAAAACACAAAACAAATTTGTTATAATAATACATGTATAACAATAAAATAATAACAGTATTATAAACAATATCTAATATCTGACTCTAGCTTATTTTGGTTAGCTTTCTCACAGACAATTTAATGACATTACGTTTTTCAGTTTTATTTGGTGTTATAAATGCTTCTATGTATTCAAACTTCAAGAATTACTCAAAGTGTGTTAGGAATACCATTTTTTTTTCTTTTTTACGAAATATTTATAAGACTGTTAGAATTTTTAGACATTTTAAGACATTTATATTAAGCTAGAGATTTTAAAAGGTATCTAGCTAGACCCTAACTTGCTAGGTTAAGCAAAAGAACACTAAAATTGTATCGATTTGTCATATTAATAATTTTCAACCAACAAATGTTAGTTTCAAAGTTGCCAATTTAATGGACTGCATGTCATGGAGATATATAAAACGCAAAGGAGCTGTCAAAGTACCGCGCACGAAACTAATGAATAAAACCAACTTTGAGGGAATCGATTTTAGTCTTTGTTGTTTATACGTAAATTTAATAATCCGCCCGCACCCTCCCAAAACTGAATATACCCCTCAGAACAGCAGATGCTTTATAGAGAGCAGGCGAACTACCCTTCAATAAAATGGGGGTGTGGGCAGTGCCAACGACCAACGAGCCGCAGCAGCAGCAACAACAACCGGCACAGCCAAAAAGCCGGCAACAACAAACGCCCTCGCACCGGCAACATGTTGCATGCTGCTGGCGTACCAGCAACACGAGCGCCAAACATTGCATTCGCGACTGTGTGGTGTGCGTTTATCTCGCTTCTACTTGTAATGTTGCTAGCCAGAAGTCAGCAACATCAGCAGCATTTCGAAAACTTGTTTTCAACGTAGTTGGGTTTAGTTTACTTTGAGACTGCGACGCAGGTGGACGTGTCCGAGAACGAGTTCAAGTGAAAGAGAGCGAAGAACGCGAGCGGAACGTAAGCGGACCGCGCTATAAAAACACAACAACTACCCAACAGTTCAGTGTTTGTCTTTAGTTTTATGGCGCGCGCGTCGCGTCAGGTAGTTTTTCAGATTCAGATTCAGCCATAGGTATATTTTTTTCGTGATTCGTCTCGCGGCGGTGTTTTATGGCTGACAAAACCATCGAGCGTGTAAAGGTTGTACTACCCCAGCACTAAAAGGTGGTGTACATTCTGCGCGAAATGTGCTAGTGTTTACCCTTTGCCGGGATTACGATTACTCATCGGCGGCGCATCATCGTCATCATCTTCATCATTAACAACAACTCCAGTTCGCGTACAAACGAAATCCCAAAACCAGTATCTGAGCCCAAGTATCTGCAAGATACGTGAGACAGTCCAGACCACATCCACATATTGGAATTTACTTAACACGTATGCAACAACGCCGCACACCAATACCAGTCAACATCGAGCGGGACCCATTGGATTTTTGAAAAACTAAACTACAGGGTAGGTAAAATCGGTAATCGGGGTTCGATTCCCTAGAAAAACCACTCACACTTGTCCAGCTGCGTTTTTCCAACCCTCAAAACCTTGAGAATCGTAAAGACCTGCTACCTGTTTTTGGGATTGACCGTGGTTTTCCGTTTAGCCGCTAGAAGATTTCACTGCACATATATCGAAAGCTATGGCTATTTATAAATACCCTGCGTTTTGGGGCCCAGGCTCAAATCCGGTTTTCATGCCACCATATCCCAGCCCAAGTCTGGCGGGGCCAACATCAATTCAATTTCTACTGGCTGAGTGAGTTTTTAACTCCCAACAGAAGAATCTCCAGGTCGACGAGCATCTTCTCTGTGATCTCTGGAGCTGGTTTCTTCGAGCCGTTTTCTTTTCCCTCGCTTTGTTTTCTTTCGTTTCGTTTTCGTTTTTTACTATTTGCCAATCGTGCCGATCAAGATGCTGTGGCTTATTGCCGCCAAGATTTGGTTGGCCTTTTTTTTTTTGCCGATGAAGGTGCATGGCCTTATTTACCCAGTTTCCAAATCGCTCACCGATTTCTGCTTGTTCTGTTTCGGGGTTTGTTTTTGAGGTATTTGCTGAATCACACGGGGATCATTTGAATGTTTTAGCCAGACAGTCGCTGGAGTCGGTTTTTTTTTGTTTTTCGAGTCACACCCATGGCGAGTAAGTATCCCGCTCCGGAATTGACTCACGGCCAAACAATGCGACATGCGGAGAATTGCTGTGGGGCCACTGGCACGAGTAAAAGAGAAAAAATCAAAATGCAAAACTTGTTGCTAATAAACAACAATTACAACAACAAAAACAAGTTCAGCTAACCACAAAAATGCTGGCAGCTAAACTCTAGAGTCGTTGCCCAGGAGCTCCGCACACGTAAAACAAGTCGGAGTACGGAGCCGTTTGCTGATGTTGCTGCTGTCACACTGGCCACCAGCAATACCAATAGCAACAGCAACACCAAGAGCAACATCAGCAATTTGTTGTTGCTGCACAAAGAAAAAAACACGGCCATAATGGGTATATATATCCTGAACAACCTTTTTCTGGGCTGCAATCAAAAACAATTATCGTTTAACATCAATAATGTTTTAGCGTTTAACAAAATCGGTCACAAATTTATTTGTTTTCAAAACCTTTTAATATTAAAAAGTGTTTGGGTGTCACAAAAATTATAAAACGCTCAATTAACCCCTAAATTGACGCAGACGTTTACAAAAAGAACCTGGCTACTGTTGTTTTTCGGTAAAATATGTGTTAACAAGATTTACATGGCACTTCTCTTAAACTAGTATTTATTTTTATGGTTTTTATGCAAATTGTAAACTATTTATAGGGTTTATAAAAAAAAAAAAAATTTTCACTGTAAGAGCGTGTATTTTTGTCGCGATGTAAAGACCATAAAAAGCGGCCAAGTGGCCAGCCGCCTCGGCTCTCCTCTGCAAACCGTAGACCAAAGAATAGTGCTCGGGCAAGAGTTGCCATAACTGTGTCAGTGTGCAACTAGAAGAGGTATAAGCTTATTAAGCACACTGGCTTAAGATCGACCGATGCCACAAGATAATACCCGTACCTCTGCGGCGATTAAGTGTAATTAATGCCGACAGGTGTCACCGAATTGGCGCAGGCTCAAAGAGATTGCATCGCCCTAATTGGCCACACCAATTAGCAGCTATGCACGCACTTTCGCCACTTCAAAGACGAGACTTCAACTAGTTGCTCTCTTTATTCACGTGATTAGCATGTAGACCGCTACGGATTTCTCGTCATGTTGCAGACTCTAGACCTCCTCTTGACTCCGGCGGACGCACCTGGTGACCTTGCGCTTGAACTCCGCGTAATTCTCGCGATACTCCTTGGCCGCGTCCACATTGGCAGCCGACTCGTCATTGGGATCGGTGAGCATGGAGATCACCGAGAGGAGGATCGTCTCCACGGTATGAACGGGCAGCCAGCGCTCCTCGGCCTTCTCATAGCCCCATTTGTCGTCACCCGGCTCGTGGAGGATCGAGATGCAGACGTCGCCAGCCTTGTCGATATTCGGATGCCAGATCTCGGTGATGAACTTCATCCGCGGCGGACGCAGTGGGTATTCCTTGGGGAAGACAAGGTGCGCCTTGAAGCACCCACCCTCGTAGAGGGTGTCCGGCGGGCCTATGATTACCACCTCCCACCTGAAGATGTCCGAATCACTGACCAGGCCGGCGGAGAAGCCCTCGACGGGATTGCGCTGCAGCTCGGAGAGCTGGCGATTGAGCAGTAGCGATGCTTGCAGTTCGGACATGTCACTGGACTGCGGGAATTACGTCTTTTAGTTGGATGGATCACCAGAATTGGCCCCTTCTACTTACTGGAATTTTGTTCAATTTATTTCGAGTCACTTTCTGGTTTACTTCTACAGCAGCGACCTGCCAGCTAGCCCAGTCAGCTGGTGCGGCGACTACTCTGATTTCTAGCAGTTTTGATCAAGGCTACTTCGAACCGATCAAAACACTCTACAAAATTAGATTATTTATGCTGAAACACTTGTTTTTCACATGATAATCTTTTGAACTGAACAAATAATATTGGTAGTATCAAGCCGTTAATTTAATTTTAATTGATTTTGTTTTATCTAAACATTTTTTAATCTGGCAATTTCTTTCACTGAGATCAATTTATAATCTAACAATTAATATTAATTTCATATTTGTATGTTATTAAGAATGATATGTTAATGTTAACAACAATATGCACTTCATTATTTTGTGGATATAATTGTTGTAGAGTTCCTCAAAGATCCATTCCTTAAGTCTAGTAGAGAAATGTCATAAATTGTAAAAAGTTATTAAATTTTTAACAAATTTTTAATGATAACAACAAAATGCATTTCATAATTTTATGGCTACATTTTTACTTACACACATGCTTTTTTATAAACCTTAAGAACTTGAACGCATTGAGTGCAATTCAATATAAAAGATAAATTCCTTTAGTATGCTGGAGAAATGTCTGCAGTCATCTTGTAACAATTGTAGCTCTTTCAATGGCGATGGTAGAGAAACTATCTCCATAGAAATCCTCTTGAAAGCGACTTGAAAGTTGCCATTATAAACTCTTTTGCTCATGGTCTGGAATGGGCCGAGGAAAGTCCCTCTTTCCTTTCATTTCCCTCCATTTCATGCAATTACTTGGCCGTCGCTAATGCTACTGGTGCTTGTGGCTCTTTTCCTTTTTGTCCGTGCTGGCTGAATGGAAATTATGATGGCCGCCACATTGTTGCCGTTGGTTTTAGCCTTTCGTAATTGCGCACAAATGTTGGCCCAGCAGAGTATCTTGTTGGCCGGCAACTTCGACCACGACATGTGGCTGCCCCAAACTCAATCGCATCCATTGACTTTTCCGCAGCTCTGCGGTTTTTCTTGTTGCCAATTGCATTTTACTTCGACAGAGTTTTAGCTGGCATTTGGAAATCCCAGCGCTAGCCGACTATCTGACTATCGCCAACTGAAATTATGTTGCCGCAAATGTGTGAATCGTTAATGTCTTGCTGCCAGCTGGGGAACATTGCGCTTGGTGTTTCGGCACTGCCGGTTTTTCAAGTTTTCCATGCTGCGCGTTTTCACGAAAAAATTCCAAACGCGTTCGCGTCGCTTTTTTTTATGCATTATTGCTTTTGTAATAATATTTACCTTGCTCCGCTGCAGCAGCAGCAGCAACAACAACCTCATGTGGGGAGTTCTTCTAACAGAACCAAGTCGGATTCGAAATTTGCTAAATTATCCAGCACATGCACATGCCGAGGGAGGCGGAGGGTAAAACATGTTTGGCCAGCACATAAGACCGACAGCTGCTGCTCGGCCGGTTCTCCAGCTCTTTCTTTATCTCTCCGTATCCATTCGACTCTGCCCATTTAAGTGCCACATGTCGGAGATGTTACTCCGGATCCCGCAGGGAAAGCGATATGACAGCGAGAGCCGGGAAACTCACACGTGCCACAGCGCTCCTCCCAGTTAAACTCAAATTTCCATGGCCGCTGCACTAGGGGAAAAACGCCCACCACAATCCAGATCAAAAATCTCGTGGAAATTGAGTGCTAAGCATTTCAACAGATCAATAAATATTCACTTAAGCGTCATATAAATTAATGATAAACGTTTATTGGATAAATCTAAGCAAGGCCTTTAAAGCATTGTTAAATATCTGCTCTAATTAAATTATTGCTGCTTAAATACAATTTCATTAGTTATTGATATTGAAATCATATTATAATTTAATGCCTTTTATTGAACAATAAATTTTTGAGGAGATTTGGCCATTAGGTTTTTGGCTGTTACCTTGTGGTTTGAATTTTGATTTGTTGCCAATCTATACATTTTGAGGCTGCTAGAACTGTTTTAAACAATATAAATAAAGTGTATAATTAATGTATCATATATTAGGTCTTATGTAATAATTAATATTTGTGCCTTCATGAATTTGTTCAGTGTAGGTAAAGTGTCGCGTTCGTGCCTATTGCCAGTGTTAAGTTCGGCTCACTTTGTGAAATTGATTTCCAATATTCATTAAGACACCCACACGCAAATATAGAGACCGCCTCGGGGTCGTTGCCATGGCGTTTGTCCATTTAAAGGGGGGTGTTTAAAATTCATCTGCTCGTAGATTTTCCGTTACTTTTTTTTGGTGGGCGTGGCGGTTGCATGCGACAATTGCACTTCCGGCAATACCAGCATACACCACTCCTCAATATTTACTTTGCATTCGGCTATTTTCTCCCTTTGCTCAGACAACTCTAGCTTTTTTTTTGGGTTTGGCCTCTGTTTCAAACGGGAGCAGGTGCTCTCCTGGCTGCGTGCCTCAAATTGCTGGCTCATGTTGCGTCCATCAAACCAGCTGACGGCGTGGATCAATTGAAATGGCTTTTTCTCCGTTTTTCCATCACCCTTCGATGATGCACCGCCGTCGAGTTGCTGCGGTTGCTTCTTGTCGCTGATGACTTCCTGGATCTTATGACGTGGCAACCTGCAGATGAATTGTCTTGCAACTCGATCATAAAATATATTAATAGTTTATAGAGCGGGAATGCAATGTTTCGTATTGGAAAACGTAAGAGGCACTCAGAAAGAAAGTTTAAAGATATCAGATCATAATAAAAAAGTATGACCCACATTTGTTTTATTGGTGTATTTTAGTTTTGAAAATAAAATTAATACGTTCTTTGGGTTAATTGGGGCTTTAAGGTATTTCTTTCCACAGTAAACCGATATTAATTAAAATATACCTGTAAAAAAACATGTTTGACTGCAATAACATTTATTTTTATGCTTCTTTTATAGTCTATTTAAGCATTAGTTGTTTTGGCGATGTCTTTTGGAAACACATCTACTTTTTCGAAGCTAAAACTAACAAAAACTAGCTACATTAAAAATAAATTAAAATGTAGGCAATACATTCAGGTTTTGAGCAGCAAAAACTTGAACAGCAGTGCAAAAACAGAACCTCTCTCTGCACTTCTCATAAATTCAACTTAAGTGAGTGACCAACTGGATTTTAGTGCTTTATTGGCGCTCTGAGTTATGCACTCCCATGTTTATTGCCCCCCGCGCACATGTTCCAATTGCATGCAGAAATATGGGGCGGAATTGCTCTGCTCGGAGAACTGGCCATTATATCGTTCCGCATTGAGGCAGCAAAACAATGCTAAAGAGAGAACTCAATAAATTGCAGAAAAGTGTAAAGAATGAAAAAATAAACAAGAACGAAACTGCAAAAAAAATAGAAAGGAAAACAAGCTTTCCACTTGCAGTTTTAATGTGTTTTGTGCGTTGTTCCTCGTTTTATAATTGAGTTGGCAGTTGCAGCTAAAGTTGGAGTTGCAGCCGTGCACTCTCGCCACGCGAAGCCCACTCACTCACCTCCTCTCCAGAGCAAAGAATCCCCTTTTTCACGTTATTCCCCGGTGGAAGTGGGAGTTGGCATCTGGATTTGGGCTCGCTGCTGTGCGTTCGTGTGCACTGAATGCGAAAAAGTTCTGCACACTTTTTGACTGAAACGCGATATTATTATTCTTCATATTTTTATTATTATTTTCATAATACTCAGCCCAGTGCGGACCTACCTTTGTGCGCTGCATTGAAATGGAGGTGCAAACTCAAACGCTTGGGGATTTGGTGCACTACCGCCAGACAGAAACCACCATCCTTGCGGTGGGTTTCGTAATGAGCGCTTCCGCCAAGCCATTTTCTCTTTGATACACTTGAAAAAAAATCGTTTCATTAGGTTTGACTTGGTCCAGGTTTAATTATTCCTCAATTTGTTGTGGGGCTTTCTTTAATCACACTTCAGTAGGATGGCCTTAGATAGAACATTTTCAAAAAATGTTATCTTATCAATTCTTATGCCTTATCTAACTCATCCTTTTCTTTTTTCTTTCAGAGTTTGCCTGATTGTATGGTAAGTTTTTGAGCTGAATTTTTTAAATATTAATGTTTTGAAAATAAACATTTTTATTTCTCTACTAGTCTGTTTTTTGTTGAGCACACTAACACTTAGTCCAACGGGGCCACATTTAAAAGGGCATTTTCTTTCCATCACCACACGGCGCCCTTTAAACTAGATCGAGTCTCCATAATTTCTCAATTTCTTACTTCATTAACGGGTTTTTCATTGCATTTGGCCAGTAATTTGTCGGTTCCAATGAAAGATCGCCCAGGAAGCCAAAGACTCTTAATTTGTCCGAACATAAACGTTGGCCGTTTCCTATAATTTTCCTACACCGACAAGTGAACCCAGTAAACTGTGAAGTGTGAAGCGTTATGCGTACGAGTGTGTTTCATAACTCACTCATAAGACCGGCAAACAAATGAGCAAAAGTGTGCTACTGGGGAATCTGGAATCGAGTTTGGGGTCTGGGGAGCCCCTTCTGCCAGATGACCCGTTAGACTGGGCCGATGGCGCCCCCAGAGTTCATTTACTCCGCTCCGCCAGCAAGAAAATTCTATGGAAAGAAAAGGCTGGCGGAAAAAAAAAGTCGAAAAAGCCCGAGCAACGTTATTTGTAGTTTTTATTTCTTTTACTTTTTTGTAGTCTTCATCTTTTTTTGTCCACATTTTGCTAGACCATTTCGTTTTTAAAAGCTTTGCTGGCCGATTCTGTTGTTCCGGGGTGAAGAGCGCGGGTCAGACTAGGGCTTGAAAAAAATCCAAGCTTGGCCTGAAATAGTGCTTATTAAATTTAATGACACCACGTTTGCTTGCGAAAAGCGATTCAACGTTTTTGTTTTGTTTTTTTTTTAAATCTTTTTTCCAACCTTTGCTTATATAGCTTTTTTGAGTAGTTTTTGTATCGCATTTGGTTTATTGAGGACTGTGGCTCATTGAGAGCACTGGGGCCATAACAGCACAGTATTTAAGTTTAATTATGTGCCAGGGCTTCTTGGCCCGAACTCCATAAAGGGGTCATAATGGACATAATAGTTATACAGTTTCAATTGAAAT